ACAACGATTTGTCACTATATCCAAGAAGTATCGAATTTAAACCCTGCATAAAATTTAAGTGATAAATAAATCATTACTGGTAAATGAATGATCTATTATGCATATAAAACAATTAGTGCCATGAGTTGTGCAACTGCATTGCAAGAGGGGTAAAAAGCGTATATCGAAATTGTTGCTTCCTTTTTTGTTAAGAATTTATTGACATTAATCATTAGTCTATCCTAAACATTGATAATTATATTATTATATATATACGTTAATTATTTATTAAAACACATCAGGTATTCCCATCGGGCTCAAACTCCAATATACCGTCACGGCTTCCAGCAAGACACAAAAACATATATATATAAGATTCCGCCGGATTCTATTGATTACGAAAGTAAAATTTCAATGGAGACACTGCATGTATGTTACTGCTTCAACGTAATAAAAATACTTGTTTTTGGTGTCTCATTAAATCACGAAGTTTGGATAGTAGATATAACAGATCAGATATAACAACCGCTAGATATTATATCTTTTTTGCTATATTTCATGACGCATTAAAATACTGAAAATGCATTTTTATGGCAGAATGGAGATTGATATCCGATGGAAAGGCAAATGCTCATCCGGAAAAGGTGTGTTTTCATTTTTTTATGTATCAAGTGCGAGGTCTTAGTTTTCTATTCAAGCCATGCACGTCCTCGTATAACCTTATGTAGTTAAAAAGTTTTAAAACTATATAGTGCCCGCAAGCTGTTCTTGCAAGTTACTTTTTAGTAAACTCTTACAATATACAGAATTACAGAATTAAAAAATTGCTCCTCTTTTTCATTATTTCATCGAATGACTATTCCTCCTGCAGGTTGTTTCACACTGGTATGTACAAAATATATACTCAAATCCAAGTTTCACACCCGTACACTGAAGAACGAGCGGTGGTTACCTCTCGACCGGAAACAGTCCGAATGAGTTGCGAACGAACAGTTATATTTTCGGTTGAATTGTACGGTGGTGGCGGATCGTAACGTGCGTCGGAGATGTAGCGGTCGCAATACATAGACAGTGCTTGCATCGTTTCTGATCGACTGAGAGACGAGTCTTGGATGAATGGCGAATAATTACTTGGGTATAGTCTGTAACCCTGTCTCGAGTTCTCCCCATAGTTGTCGCGGGGCGAATCTCGAGTTGAATTTCTTGGTAGAGTCGAATACAGTGGTAGCTGTAACGCCTGGCTTGTACAATAATTCCTTTCTTGCTCAATGACAGAATACTGTTCTTCTTCGTTCAAGATTGGTTCGTCTGTGTACGTAGTCGAAGCAGCTGTGTCCTCTGTCGCACATTCTTCTAGCCGGCAAGCCACACCGCTCCCATTTTCCGAAGGCTGCCTTTTACGTCTCATACATTTCTTCACAACAATGAAAATGACAAAAAACCATAGAAGTAAAATAAAGAAAGGCACAACAATCGATAGTGTGATTGTCAGAAATAACCCCTCCATACATGTCCTTGAATATTCCGTGCCCTTATGTCAACACTCCTAATACATAATGAGGGCCATCCACGTCAAAAATTGGCTTCCGATCTCACAGGACGAAAATCGAAAACACGAGGACGGACTTTCAATAAGATCTGGTGAAAAGTGTCGGCATTTGCATATCCGCGTATATTTGTACAGGTAATAAACTCGCTGAAAAGATCATATCACGGTGTCACATGTGGTCATAGAACGGGTGTTCTAGTTAAATATCGACAATCGCGATAGCACTGATATAGCGTATAGTTACATCGATTTTATATACTAGCACTCTCTTACGTCTCCAACATAAATGTACCTGCTTGTATGCATGAGTTTGGCATCTTATAATACTCCGACGAACTCCAGTTAACCGATGCATCTGTCGTTTTATAATGTATGTAATATAAACCGCATTAAAAGCTTACTTTATCACAGCAAAGCAAACATATTTCGAGGACTATTAACGGATAAACGGGTTAAGTGTTGTCTGCTGAGGTTTATCTCGAAGAGTTCTTTACATCCACGTGGAAAATATAAAACAAATGTTGTATAATCTATAAATGTATATTTGTAAATGTAAAGGTGAAACGCGATAAAACAAATTCATGCGGTTTGTTTGTGGCTGAACATGCGATCATTTCATATTCATTTCAATCATTTGTCTTGTCAGTATAGAACCGTAAAGTTTTCATGCAAATATTCTTATGCATTATTATATTATATTGCCTTGTTACTAGGCAAACGCTTGCAAGCACGATATAAAGATATCGGCGGTATTTTCAGTTAAATTCATATTAATAATTCGGTACTTTTGTAGCACAGCTGACTAACCGTAGTTAAAAAATAACTAACAGCTATAGTCATTACAGAAAGAAAACATAACAGTCTATATTGGCCTTTCTTACTCTTGACAGAATGACGCTAGCAGCAAGCTTATACATGTCATATTAGATCACGTTTCGTTATGTCACCATAGAATTGCGCAAGTGTCATTATCAGACCTTTATCATATTTGGTAAATGTTTAAGTTATTCCGAAATTTAAACGTTCGTATACCGGATAACTATAATGTGTTTTAAACGATGTTAGTCGGTATATGATCAACATCAACTAAGATGTAATCATTGTAATGATATATATGCATGACAATGAGCTCTACACGGAGCCATGACGGAGCTTAACCCGCTAAAGTAAATTTAATATTTGCTCTTACGTTTAAAGGCCGGACTAAATAGTCTCATGCATGCATTTGTATATACTAACATTTGCCATATATTTTATTCTATACAATTCATCTTTTTAACAATGAAAATATGAATAAAAATGTGACTTGCCGCGATAGAAACTAAGATAGATATATGTATATAAATATACATAGCCTAGATGTTGGCTAATCTCTGGCTCTGCTCTGACTTAAACGTATTCTGTGGCTGCACGTGTGCATGTATATAGGAAATAAAAAATATGTCAGTTGAAGCAATAGGCCACAGCACGTGAAGTACATAATTATATAGTCAATATTATTACTGCATGGTACTAATGAATTATATAACACTTATAGCTACTTCATCAAGGCAAACAAAAGTTCTGCTTCACGAAACTACGAGTATATACCCACTATGTAGTGATAATTAAAGCCTTCGTCAACGGCAATACGTACTCTTTTGCGGCTGCTTGAAAACAATGAAAGCAAGACAAGGAAAACAAGAAAGCGAAACAACATTATATTGCAAGCTTTAAATCTGGTTTGCGCAGAGGAACTTGCTTTTGAGTAATTAATTTGTTCCCGAGCGTCATCTCTCATTTGTATTTCAGGACCAAAGACAATGGGGATTTTAAGGATCATTGACAACGGATTACCGCGACTACGGCCTTTTGTCTACTGTTCGCAAATGCAAATTTGTCATTATAAACGCTAAATTCTTGTGCTTCGCGAGTTTAACCTTTGCGTTAAGTCTTAACTTGATAATCAAACGAGCTAGACTTACCTGGAATCTTGTGTGTATATTTGTCGTTAATATGAACGTGAGCGCTTAAATGATGAGAACGACCATCAATGATGAGTTCGACGGTCCACGGAATCGAAATTTGCGTCGGCGACATCTGCGACTAATTTTTAGTCGCCGACTCTACTCTCTAGTCGGGAAGGGTTTAACTTTTTTTAAGCCAAAGGGGAACTACTCACTGACTTGTCGCAGTTTTCAAAATGGAAACATCAATCTGCTTTGCCTGCGCCAATTCTCCCACTTACTACAATTGGAGCAAAGGAGCATGCCAATTTCCAAAATGGCGGAAGAGAAAACAAAGTCCTTTCGTTTATTGCCGCTATTTTTAAAACTCCCGCCCGCAAGTCGGCGACAAGGGGTAGGGCAGATCATGGTCGAATATACCATATTTCGGCATATTGGATTGAACCTTACCATGGTTGAGTATACTATATTCCGGTATATTCGATCTGCACTGAGGTCGAATTTACCATATTCTGGTATATTGGATTGAACTTTACTATGGACCTTACAAAAGTCGAATATACCATATTTCGGTATATTCCTGTAATGCCATATACTTGTAATCAGAGATCAGTGCCTGTAATAAACAACCAAAACAAAAGTCCTGTTTTTACACTACACAGTCTACACTTATCATTGCCAATTATGCGTTTTGCCATGCAAATTTGGTTTATCGACCAGAACATACAAAGATTTCTATCAGTAAAGTAGCCTAATATAAAGTAGCTTTAATATTGCTTTTAGTAAAGCCATATTAAAGCCAGTAAACAGTTATAAATGCGTGTCAATGTGTAAATAAATTGCAATAAGACTTATAAATTATAATCGCTGTAGATTTCTCAACCAATAGAGAACCCGGCCCAATTAAAATGGTAACAAAATTACAAAATAGCGGTAACTCGGATTAAGATATTAACCCGACACCGTTAATAACAATCATGCACTGTTTTCCGCCCGTTTCTGGGTGTTTACTTTCAGGCTGCAAACAACTAAGACTGAACCCAAAATTTAGAGAGGCTCGAATTTACTGTTATGCCAGTTTTGACTATAAGGAACCAACTCAATAACCTTCTTGGCCGCCTGTATAGTTCAAAAGCCGGTTAGCTCAACCCTAGCTTATAACAAACCTTTACATCAACATTTTAGATCTCGCAGGCAAATAAGACCTGGACAAATAAAACGTTTCCGTCGCCATTCATGATCATTTTGCGTTTTCTGCTTTTTATGATTATGCATCCGACCGAATCTAGCATAAAATTACCAGATCTGGTCACACTGCCAGGAAATAGGGAGAAATAGTGGTGTATTTTATGAATGTTTATGCATCCAATTCTTTTCTGCAAATGCATAAAATGTTATCATGATGAATGATTTATAGTACTGATAAAAAAGGATGGACCGTGCATCAAAAAATAATTGAGTGTAGTTGCATGAAAATGTACAGTATTATTATAAGCATTATATAATATATATATTACATATAGAAATAAATAAAAATTGATATCTAAGCACAATAATTATTATGATGAAAATTTTCATTACATTTCAAATATATTGCCCGTATTATCATTTAGATCATTGGTTATTATATAACGGTCAATCTTCTGTTACCTCATCCACTTTATATTGTTTGTGGAAGGGTATATATTAATATAAGAGGGAGCGGGAGTTTCTTAAGGTGGCTCGATATAGTTCAGCCCAACGTAAATTGAGCAAAGAAGAAGAAATAAGGTGGAAGTGGAAAGATGTTAACAATGTTATTCGGTAAAAGGCTGCCCCCTCGCTTTGAAGCAGAATACTGAGAGATTATCATAGGCTTGTTTTAATTGATATTTTTCGCGGTTTTATGGGGGAGGGGAAGGGAGGGGAGGCATTTGGGTTAAATTAGGGGTTAAATTAAATAAGGGGTAAATAATGAATATATTCACAAATTAGTCATTCAACTGACATAGCATAGCAACACCACGTATTATCCAGTGATCTGGTGATTTGTCAGATGGTAACTGGATTGTGAGAACATAGTTGGTAGAGTGTCCTGTCGTCGAAAGAACACCACGACGTGCAATTGTCTTGTATACTACAGATAGAATCTTAATGATTATAAAAGCAATCTTTCTGTGACATGAGAGGGCATGTTAATTTAGTTTAGGACCAGGCGTTTAAATTTTTTATTTCAAATTGAGAATAAAAGGAAAGTCACTCAGATGTTCTCCCAAAGTTTGAGATTATATATAGTGTTTCAAAAACGTACCTGGGCAATCATACACATTTCTTCGTTCAGTACTCGATTTAACACCTGGTACTAGACATATCTTGGATTTTGTTAAACAAAATATGAGCATTATTATACTTACACAAAAGAAATACTACAACTCGTCCTCATGGAAGCTAGCGCATAACTAAACCAATATACCAACAGATCGCAATATTCACCAAAATAAATTTGGTCAATATTCAACACAACCCAAGTTATAAACATACCTACGAAGGTTCATGCATGGTTATATTTCACAACCCAACTGTAAAAAAAGGATACAATTGGAACAGTGTCATAGAGTACTTTTGACAAAGATTCCCCGATAACCTGAAAATATAAATCAATTAGCTTTTATTTATACTCAACGTTGTTAGAAATATGTCCACTGAGCATATTTCGATGAATGCCTCCGAAATCACATTACTCATTAGTGTTCTTACCATGTTATCTCGATCCCATCTCGCACCTTCCATGAATAGTCCTCTTATGTACACACCGTTTTCCTACAACGATGGTAATAAAATAATTTTAAAACTGACCGTGCTCAATATATTAAGTAGGCAGCGAATGAGCGAAATATACAGAGGAATATATATATTTTGTACCTCATATGAGAAATAAGAATACAAGACGGCAAACATCACAACGAGGTTTTAACAAAGTTATAAAAATAAAAATAACTTAATAAGCAATATATAATGCGTGCTTACATGTTTACTCGCTATTTTGATATCTTCCTTCATAACTTCAAATTCAAAGTCCAGGCGATCAATTGATATTTTGTGTTTTCGAGCATAATTCTGGGTGACTCCTATTGAAGAAATATACAATTTCTTCTATGAAAAGAATGATGTGATTTATCAAAAGAATGATGAATTATGATAATATTCCAACTCAAACCGACGAAGCCAAAGGCACAAACTGTTGATTTTAAACCCATATTTGTTGAAGGCTCAACACTTTTATACAATGCAAAAATTAAAAAAAGCATTGTACCTGTTAGAAATGATTGCGTAAAGTAAAATCCCGAAAGCCAAAAAACTCTTGGAGGACCATTATCAAACCATGTCTAGAAATATACAGATGAAAACAGAAAGTTTTCAGTGTTATTAGTATGGTGTTGTATAACTAGTGCATGTGAATATTAATAAAATTAATCAGATGGATTTTACCACACAAAGAAACTGTCAGTAACGAAAACAACGAATGAACATTACAGAATATACGATTGCAGCATACAAAAAGGGAAAGTATTATATAGTAAGTATATATAGTATAATTAGTATTATATAGTAACTTAACTAATGTTCTAAAATCAAACATTTTTTTCGCAAGTGCATGCATGGGAATCAATATCCATGGTGTGAGGAGCTGTCAGAAACGGCGACTATTATTTTTTAGGGCATGCGTGAAAATTCCCCCTAATTACACCCCTTACTTGAAATTAAAAAGATAAAAGGTGAAAACGTGGGTTATTAGTTTCCATGCCTACGCCACTTCAACATCACTGGGATGTTGATGGTGACCATCAATTCAGGCAGCAGACGAATAAAATTGAAAACAATTATATCCGACTCCTTTTTCGGCTCCTTTTTGGGCACAACAATCTAAGAGGTATTCAATAAGTGCCTAATTGAGCCGTCATGCGCGATAAGCTTTAATATACGATACAAATAGGACAAAGCAACTAAGGAACAACCCTTGCGAGCACGCGCGATGAACAGTGGTCCGGAACGACCCTTGAGAGCACACGCGATGAACAGTGGTCCGGAACGACCCTTGAGAGCACGCGCGATGAACAGTGATCAGGAACGACCCTTGAGAGCACGCGCGATGAACAGTGGTCCGGAACGACCCTTGAGACATAGAGATTATAAATAAAACTAGAGGAGTCATCGAGGAAAAATTGGGGAGCGCGTTAATGGGGGGCAAATCCAAGTCCCGGATGTTCACTCATTCATGATGTCCGAGGCCAAAATATGTCGTTTTTAACGAGTTTTTTTATTTCTAAATGTTTTTTTGCCTAAAATATCGTCTCAGGATGTCTAAATTAGTAAAACCAGTTTCAAAAAGCACTGTTTTTCCTTAAAAAACCGGCAAAGCGACCTAAATAACGAATATAATTTTTTTAAAATTGTTGCTAACGTGGTTGCTAAGGAGGCATTGATCTAGCCAATCAGCGCTTGGCTTAGCATCCGGGACTTGAATTTGCCCCCCATTATCGCGCTCCCTTTTTTGACTGATGTTTCCGATACCAATGCCCCCTCTAGTGTTATTTATAATCTCTATGCCTTGAGAGCACGCGCGATGAACAGTTGTCAGGAACGACCCTTGAGAGCACGCGCGATGAACAGTGGTCCGGAACGACCCTTGCGAGCACACGCGATGAACAGTGGTCCGGAACGACCCTTGCGAGCACGCGCGATGAACAGTGGTCCGGAACGACCCTTGAGAGCTAGCGCGATGGACAGCAGTCCGAAACGACCCTTGAGAGCTAGCGCGATGAGCAGTAGTCCGGAACAACCCTTGAGAGCTAGCGCGATGAACAGTAGTCCGGAACAACCCTTGAGAGCTAGCGCGATGAACAGTGGTCCGAAACGACCCTTGAGAGCTAGCGCGATGAACAGTAGTCCGAAACAACCCTTGAGAGCTAGCGCGATGAACAGTAGTCCGGAACAACCCTTGAGAGCTAGCGCGATGAACAGTGGTCCGGAACGACCCTTGCGAGCACGTGCTATGAACAGTGATCCGGAACGACCCTTGAGAGCACGCGCGATGAACAGTGGTCCAGGAAAAAATGTTTACTTCTTGAAAGATTTTTATGTAACCTACACGGACATGTAAAGACTTTCAAAACGTACCTGGAAAAATTGAATCCTTTGGATAAGATCATTGATATAACTTCCGAGTGGCTTAAGTGAAGGATAGGAGTTCGCCGCCCACATAGCTGGGACCTACAAAAATCATTAATTGCATAACCATTTTCAAACATGCACACTCCAGTTTGGAACACGCAAAAGGAATGCCAACAAGTCATTGCATGCCTATTAGCGTACGTACGTGTCTTTATGTCTCCTATTGACCCAGCCTAGTCCCATGGCCTTTCGCTTCCTCTTTAATATTCAAGGGATTTGCAGGTCGACCGGGAAGGAGTGTAAAGGCATGGCAGAGTTTTTGGTTCCGGATACTTTCTGAAACAGGAGACCTGCACGGCCTGTGACTTCAAGGCTGTGCTTCCCGAAGGCGGAAAGCCATGGGACTAGGCTGCTATTGACCTATTCTAATTAGTAACTTTAAAAAGCCTTCACTTAGTATAATAAATCACCATGCAGACACAGATTAGCTATATAGTTATCTGTGAGGTAGATGTTATATTTATTGGCATAAAAATATACCTTGAATACATACATGTATTAATTCTTCAGGTAATATTGTTGCTACAGTTACATATCAAACAAATAAAAGATAATGTGCTTATCACTGCATGTATTATACCTTGCCTACTAGCATACTGCCAAAAACACCTTCTAACTCGGATGACATAACAACCAAACCCTATAATAAAAGTTACGAAGGAAAATATATATCGATTAGATATAATTATATAATCCTCCCCAGATTGAGAGGGGAGAGACTGGCGGTAAAGGCAGGAAAGCAAAAGATTCATGTACCTTTAATGCTTTGAGTAATGCCTTTAAACTCGAACGTACGACTTGCGTCAATTTATTAAACCTATAAGATAGCCAAAGGAAATTAATGGGCATGCATTATATGATGTGTGACATTACGTATAGCTACAAGGCCCGAAATGAACTTAAAAGACTTCATTAATATTGATACGGCACATTAAGAGTTCGACGTCTAAAACGGGCCTAAGCAAAAAATAAATTAGAAGACGCTTACATCACACGTACTATAATTTTATTGGCATTCAAATTTCATCGTTGGACGAATAATGTGGTGGTAGGGCATTTTACGATAAATACCAGTTGTACTAAGTTGGCAAGATATACCTGATCAATTCCTGGTGTAGTACGGTATTCATAGATTCTTCATAACGCAGTGGGTACTTTTCCTAATAAAAAAACAAAAAGCAAATACAGGGTGTATCAGAAAACTATCATTTTATCAAAATATCTCAAAAATATATTTACGTCTAAGTATTTTAGCATCTTCTGGCTTATCTAACAGTAAAAACTAGCAGAAAAATTAACCTTGAAAAGCGGGAGAACGGTTTTTAAAAGCCTCATTTTTAACCGCTTGTGCAAAGAAAATGAGAGGTTGAAAATCCAAGTTCATTTAAATATCATACATAAACCTTGATTTTGTATAATTATAGACAAATCGCTTTAAGCGGTGGGGAAATGGGGGATACATCGCTTCAAGCGGTGGGGAAATGGGGGAGAGGACAAACAGCAAAATTTCCATCAATTTTTTTAAAATTTAAAAGTTTGCTCTGAAATTATTTAAAACTTTGAAGAATCGTCTGTAATCATTAAAACAATGGAATACAAATATTGTTTTACAATGCGTATAGGAAGGGGGGGGGGAGGAAGTGGGAAGGGCAAGGACAACTGAGGACAACAAGCAAGTTTTTCATCCAGATTTTAAAATTTGCTCTAATTGGCAATAAATACATAGTAGATATGCAAGAATCGATTTCGGATATTAATTTAGTGAATTATGCGGGATGTGTCAATGTTTACCTTTACAGCTTCAATGTTGAAATCCGCAGGAAGTTTAGATAAAATATCGACCGCAAGCTCCTGGATTACTTCGTGAGATGACTTACCGCCACTAGAAGACTGAAAATGAAAATATGCCTTTTACATGCATGTTAAAAAAAGCTTTAACGAAAAAGCTAAAATGGTTTAATGAACCTCGTTTGCTTATTAAAAGTGATGTGCAGAAAAGCCAACTAGGCACCTTAATTCAAATTCACCTTACCCTAAAACAGAGGTTTTCACTTTCACATGGCTTACCTGACGGGGCAAAGTAAGAAGAATGCTATCAAATAGTTGATTTGTTTCCCTCTGATTTTTAGTTATATCTGCATTTTCATGAAGACCAAACACCTAGAGGCAAGAAAAACTGCATTTGACACAAAATTAATTGTTCTCATATTGCGCTCATCAATTCTCAAGAGCTCTTTCTTCTTCTCTCCACTTCAAGAAATTTATTTATGTCATCCATTATGACTGCATCATTGTTGTACAGAACGTTATCGAAATGGGTATGAAAAAATTATATATATAGACGGCAACAAAATAACCTACTTCTGGGTTAGAAATGAGAGGCAGTTGTTTGATGTACTCAATGTAACTTTCGTACGAGCCCTAAACATAGAATAGAATTAATACCATTAATATATACATGCACTTACTTGTTTATCCATTAATATATACCGGTACACTTACTTGTTTATCCATTAATATACCCGTACTAGTTTATGCATGATTTAATTTTTTTGACTATTCACAGTCAATTTTCAATCGCACGCATAACGTACGATAATCATGACAGTTAGCAGATGTTGGTAATAATATTTCATGTTGGTCGAAGCAGATTAGTGAACTTTAAACACAAAGCTTAACACGATTCACACGTTTATTAATCAAAATGTTTTGTCTTAAGTTAATACTTAATAGTTAACATGCACCGAAGGACTTATAACCTCATTAACGAACGAAACTTACGTTAAGATCATTGTTCCCTACTGGCTGGGACTGCCAAATTCGTTCGTTACCGTAAAATGCCAGGCCCTCATTGGTTGAACATTTAGTGTCAGGTATGATATATTCATAATCGAAAATAAGTTTGCAGTTCTGTTTTGCATAAGTTCTTTCAACGCAAGTTGATTGCTTAAAATATATTCTAATCTTAAAACGCCTTTAAGCCTAGTTTACACTTGTCTGGGATTCCCTTTGGGCTTTGTCCTCAGACAAAGTTGACCGCTGGTGTGAAAAATGCTTTTCTGAGACTATCGGAAAGTAATACAATGGATCCTCGATTCTTAGGAGCCAGTGTGATCCAGGCCTTACACTGATCGATCATTATATATAGCTTATGCATGTACATTCAAGTTCATTTGACGTTATGTAGACCCTAAAATTCGCTCGACTTCATGGATTACCCTGCGTCCTCTCATTGAAGGCAGTAAAACTTTTAGTTCTATACTAGAAGTTCATCTATTCTCGCAGCTTGGTAATTTCAACTAAATAAATGTTTGTTTGTAAAAGACTGCTTCATATTTCCATATTTATTGTGCTGAGAGAGCATGTCCCAAAGGACTAATAGTCTTGATCTATCTTATGAAATGAAAATTTACACCGGCATTGCATGCGAGTTATAATTGTTTTCTAAAATTTCACAATGTTGTGCTTGTTGCAGGTATATGGGATGCTTTTTCCACAATCCTATGCTACAAAATTTATGGAAAATACCGAAAATATAACGAATTTTGAAAACATTGCAATCGACTATTTACTTTTAACGAACATCAACATGCTTACATGCATACATCGTCTCATTTGCAATTATTATACATCTAGCCAATCACAATTAGAACTTTTACGTTCGTACATTTGCATAACTGAATATAACGTCGCTTACGGTCTTCGGTGCATGTTAACTAGTACCTACATATGACTTTTCACAAGAGAGTTAATTATTGGAATTGAATACATATATACAAATTAACATGGCATGTATGTTTGATATGATAGTACCATGGAACAAGAAGATGATGAATATACCTCCTTAGGTGGAAAGTAGTTGCCACTTTCTGAGTATTTGTAGTTTTCTTGCACAACAACTTCTTGACAGTAAAAGATCGATAAGATGCTTAGAATAAGGCGTCTGCGAAAATAAAAGACAACAACAATTTTTGGGGGGAAAGGAATTTTTTTTACAAGATCGATTGTTTAAGCCTTATTCTTCGTATTGCAGGTCGCAAAATACACCACAATATACCGAAAACTGTACCCTCGGTATTTTGCCAAATCTGCCACAAATATTATTTTACGATTCTAAATTCGAACGCAGAAAACAAGAAGGGAGAGAGGGGTGGGGTGGATCATGGAATGGGCATGAGAAATTATGCCTGTAGTGAATTTCCAGTCAATGTGTTTCTATGGTACATGAATCCAACCTGTCCCAATTGTCAGTCACTCTCCCACCATAATTGCATTGACCAATAAGATAAGTTAAGGCGTCGTACGGAACGTTGCTGTAGTCATTTAAAAACATCTAAAAGTACAGAATATATGTCTGAGAAATGTAGTTGATACAACCTCTGTGATGTCTTGCATCACACATATCATCCAAAAAGTCAATAATCACCTGCTGTTGCCGAACACTGATTCTTAAATCGGACTCGTTAAACTCGTAAGAAATATTCCAGCCAAGTGGACCGAAATTTCTTCTCTCTTGCACCAGACCATGGAAGAAACATAAGCCAAAAAGCATTTTCTTCCATACCTAAATATTAGTGGAAACCGAGATGAAGGCGATTTTTGTTGAAGCTTGTTGTATTTTATAATCCTACGCTACGATGGGTGATAGTTCTCTAAGTGGGCCAATAGTTATCCACCTCAGGTTTGTTGCAACCATTGAAGAACGTGGGGTCCAGAATTGGATAGCTATGATAACTTCGCAATAGGTTGGAACGAAGACCTTTCGGTGGTTCATTAGTCATTTTGATACCTTAAAAAGATCAAAAGTGGAGTGAATTACTAGATGAATTTACCTAAGTTTACCTCCAGTGCTGTAAAATTCCAGGTTATAAAACTGGTTCAATAAGCTTAATTTTATAAAGTGTAAAAAGTTGATATTTTACTACTTCTCTAATGTAACGTGTAATGTAACGTGTAATGTAACGTGTAATGTAACGTGCAATGTAACGTGTAATGTAACGTGTAATGTAGCGTGTAATGTAACGTGTAATGCAACGTGTAATGCAACGTGTAATGTAACGTGTAATGTAATATGTAATATGTAATGTAACCTGTAATGTAACGTGTAATGTAACGTGTAATGTAACGTGTAATGTAATATGTAATGTAACGTGTAATGTAACGTGTAATGTAACGTGTAATGTAATATGTAATGTAACGTGTAATGTAACGTGTAATGTAATATGTAATGTAACGTGTAATGTAACGTGTAATGTAACGTGTAATGTAACGTATAATGTAACGTGTAATGTAACATGTAATGTAATATGTAATGTAACGTGTTTATTTATTTATTTATTTATTTCAAAACTTCATGTACATGAATAACAACGACACATACATAGGCAGGTGACAACAGGGCTATAACACCCTAGCTAAGGCCACCCACCTCTATTTAAAAACGAAAACAGACAGAAGGACAGACGGACGGACAGAAAGACAAACGGACGGACATGATCTAATACTAATCATGATCTAACAACAAGATGAGTCAAGTGACGGTTGGAAGAAGTTTCTGATGGTGTTGCAACGTAGACATATCGATCGCCAGGTTGAATTGATGTCAATGTCGTAGATATTTCGAAGAGCGGAGGTGTATGTAGTTTTAAGGATTGCTTTAAAAGTGTTATATGCAGGAATTTCTTTTAGAGGTGTAGGTAAAGTGTTCCAGAGTCTTGAAGCGCGAACAAAATAGCTAGTTTGAAAGCATTTAGTCCGAGATTTTGGAACTTGCAGATTTAAAGAGCATGAGTTTCTGAGGTTGTTAGGTGGTAGTGTTGGCAGATAGTTTGGTAAATCAATGTCATATTTTCCATAAACACATCCATGTAGAAATAGTAAGTCCTTGATTTCATGCCAGTAAGAGAGAGGAAGCAGATTTGTCCGGGTTAAACGTTCTTGATATGGAACAGAGAACCTGGGTGTGCCAAGAATATAAGATGTAGCCCGCCGCTGAACTCCCTCGATGTCCTTCATTTGGCTGATGCTCTGTCCAGACCAAACTTCGCTCGCGTAGTCGACATGGGGACGCACAAGAGTCAGGTAAAGCAATCGCTTAGACTGCTCACTAAATGACTTGGTGTGCCGCTTCAACAGGCCAAGCATCCTGCACGATTTACCCACTGCAGCTGATGTATGCTGACTCCATTTGAGGTCGGATGTCACCAGGACACCGAGGTCTTTTTGGCTCGTGGTGGATGTTATAGCATGGCTACCTACCTTATACCCAAAGCACACCGGGGTTCTCTTTCTGGAGATGGTGAGTGATTCACATTTCTGTTGGTTAAATCTCAAATGCCACTGTTGACTCCATTGAAACAGAATATCAAGTGCTGCTTGAAGAGAGTTGGCATCCAAGGTGTCACGAATAGTTTTTGAGCACTTCGTATCGTCAGCGTAGAGGTAGAGAGAAGAGTCGTCAACGGCGGCAGAAGGAAGATCGTTTACGAAGATCATGAACAATAACGGACCCAAGATGGAACCTTGTGGTACGCCAGAGAGTGTAATGTAACGTGTAATGTAACGTGTAATGTAACGTGTAATGTAACGTGTAATGTAACGTGTAATGTAAATATTACATCCCTTATTTGATAAATTGAAGCATCTCCACGCATCATATGATAAGAACAAAGTAATTGCAATAGTTACCATTTTGTAAAATAGAGACAGGAAAGCTATTTGTTGGATAGCTGGTCAACCATAATCTGAAATTTGGATGGGTTTTTGCCTCCTGCGTAATCGACTGAAATAAAAGGAGAATTATGATGATCAATGATTATTATTTATTATATTGTGCAGAAATACAACGGAAAAACGTAATAACGTATTGCTTCCACGTTATTATACAGGCTCATAGCACGAGTGGAAATATTCTAAACATTATGTTAAAAGCACATAAATTATATAATCCTCGTATACTTTATAATCCTCGCGAGTTGGATATTACGTACCTCTTCACAAATTTTTTCCAAGGTTGGTAACCAAGAGATAGCCAGATGGCAATTTTGTAAAACAACCCATCTTCCTTCTGTTGTGGCCTGAGAAAAAAGTCGACGCATGGTCATATTCGCCGAAAAAAGCCGGCGAATATGACCATGGCCGTATTTGCCATTTTCCGGCGAATATGACCATGGTCGTATTTGCCATTTTCCGGCGAATATGACCATGGTCGTATTTGCCATTTTCCGGCGAATATGACCCTGGTCGTATTTGCCATTTTCCGGCGAATATGACCGTGGTCGTATTTGCCATTTTCCGGTGAATATGACCATGGTCGTATTTGCCAATTTCCGGCGAATATGACCATGGTCGTATTTGCCATTTTCCGGCGAATATGACCATGGTCGTATTTGCCATTTTCCGGGGAATATGACCATGGTCGTATTTGCCATTTTCCGGCGAATATGACCATGGTCGTATTTGCCATTTTCCGGCGAATATGACCATGGTCGTATTTGCCATTTTCCGGCGAATATGACCATGGTCGTATTTGCCATTTTCGGGCGAATATGACCATGGTCGTATTTGCCATTTTCCGGCAAATATGACCATGGTCGTATTTGCCATTTTCCGGCGAATATGACCATGGTCGTATTTGTCATTTTCCGGCGAATACGACCATGGTCGTATTTGCCATTTTCGGGCGAATATGACCATGGTCGTATTTGCCATTTTCCGGCGAATATGACCATGGTCGTATTTGCCATTTTCCGGCGAATATGACCATGGTCGTATTTGCCATTTTCCGGCGAATATGACCATGGTCGTATTTGCCATTTTCCGGCAAATATGACCATGGTCGTATTTTACTGAAATATATTGCTAAACTTTTTGCTCTCACATGAAGAATAGCTGCAATTTGATTCGTTCAAGAGAGGTAATAAGACCTAGTTCAAACGTCCCACTTCTCATGCGTCAAACACCATGTGTTTGCACGGGCATTGACCAATCGAAATGCTCATATGAAAATCCGATTATCATGCATATGGCTGTACCTTCGTTATCATTTTCGCTGCTATAGGTCCTTGACCTTGCCCAAGTGAGATAGTATCACAATTTGATCGCCCAACACCTGATATAAAAATAAAGCCACATGCATGATGAGTGTTTTTAATCTTATAGTATATTAATAATGAATGTTTTCATTCGTGCAATGGTAAGAATATTTTCATGAGGTTAAAGATGGAATGTTCCATCCAACGAGGCGAAATTTGTTTTATATGACACCCAAAAAAATCAACTTAATGAATTATTTTTTCAAGTAAACATACTGCAAATAATATAAACACAATTAGAACTTAGTGAACAGAAGCAAAATTAGTAAAATGGAAATTTTTATTTAATGCCACCCCCATTATTGTCATCCAACAATCATGTATAAATTAAAACGTAGGCCAGTTTAGAATTATTCATAGCTCTGAAAATGAACTTACCCACATCGTCGGCAAATTTCAATAAACTCGCCATTGGATCAGCGCCAGGAGAAAGAATAAATATCAAAGGCACATAGCAGTTAGAGTCTTCATAACATTTATCTAATTCGAATGTTGGTGGTTCGACATACAATAAGCTGAGATTATAGACTATAAAATCTTGAATTGCCACGGTCATCTTAAAAATCAAAGAATGACAGTACACAAAATTCTTAGTAATTATTGCTTCAAGAAAAATATAAAAGAAGAATGAAAAGAATGTTTACAGAAAACTAATAAAATGATGCACACCTTATCTGGTCTAAGGCATCGCAATATGACCAGTTTTTGGAAGTTGTTTAAATCGTCATTCCAAGGATCAGGCAAATTCTCTTTATGTGGTTCAGACGAGTCATAAACTTTCTTCCACGCTGAAACCTTAACAATTACCAGTTACAATACAGTTAAAACTTCTCGACACAAAACTAACCAATCCAAATACAAGTCAGTTACTTCGATAGAGCCTATACGCTCCCCCTCCCCTATTACGATCATGCAACAGTAAAAACTTCCATGCAGGTATATACAATTCCATGAATTCCATGATATGCAACTTGCTACATACGTTCTTTTCAAAATGTTGACGTAGGCCAGAAAATGCAGCCATGTTTGAACATCTGACAATCTCCGCCCATGATTTGTCCAATAGCCAACCAGGCGCAGGATTACGATGTTTATTATCTAACGCTACTCCACCGGTCAATAAAAACCTCCACTCTTCGTCATCCATCTTTCCTCTATACAAAGAATTAGATACATGCGTTAAACCAATAAGATCTGAAAATTACTATTAAACAGAATTGGGTGAAAAGCATGTGTGGTATATTAACAAGCAATCGTTTTCATAAAATATTTTTTCAATTAAGAATAGCTGATATTTTTCACACAGATCCATGCACTCATCTTTAGAGTAGCGTTGAGAACTCGTAAAACTCGATTGTTATATATTCAGTACCGCAGCGAGCCCGACGATCTAGTTCCGCTATATATGCTAATATTTTGTGAAACATAAATAATTAGTGAATAACTTAAAATTGCATTGCGGGACTAAATCGCCAGCCTTGCTACGCCCCTGAATATACATGGGATGTAATTATACACTCACTTTCCTCTCAAAATTCCAACACACAGAAGAAACGAAAAGAGTAACTTGTCTTTTTCAAACAGCGATCGACTGATATTCAAGTAAACACTAAAAAGGAGAACAGTCTTTAGTCATTACACCTTTTAATAATAAAAAGTAATTAATGTAAATTGAGACGGAAATCTCAGTTTTAAATATTTTATAAAAATTTCATTAAACATTTGAAATATGGCAAACGTGCTTTGATTTAGAATTTCCACATGTGCTCTCTAATACTCGGTAATCTTGAAAAATTACAAATCTGGGGGGTGAAGCACAAGCCCATGCATGATCCACCCCCCGTAAAATACACCACATAAATTGAGATAATTAAAGGTTCCAGAGCTAAGATTTTCATTCCTTATTATACCTGTAGGAAAAATGATCGTTCAAATTATAGATCCTCGTCGCCAAATCCCCTGATCGTTCGCTGCTTGCTATGGACTAGATAAAAGTGAACCAAATTAATTTTGTGGATTCAAAAAACGAATAATAAGCAGTTCGTGCTATGAAAAACAAGTCCTGATATATAGGTTATCCGGTTGGTATTGTGAAAATCACATGTCGCAATAAACGTGTATATAATACCTGCAGGTATAATTTAACAAACCAAGCCAACGAATACTGATACATCGGTTCGATATTAGCCAGTGATGAGACTGTGAAGAACAAAATAGACGAATGCTTCGCCACCTATTAGCAAAATGAATAAGTTATATTTATATCCAACCTTATTGTTGGAGTATATAGGGTGGTGGATTTCACATAACAGAAGTGGCTGTAAAATATTCCTTATACATTTTAAAACTATAATCCGACATGCATGTCATAGAAAATGTATTGAATTGTATATGAATTGATGCAATATTGGTTTTATCAACACTTCCAATCACAGTTAATTACGTCACAACATTATCGTTTTAAATTTAGAACCACCTTAAATGAGATGGATTTCAAGTTTACTCTCACAATCTATGTGCAAAGATGCAAAAAACCTTCTATAACTCGTGTATGAAAATAATTTTTTGTTTTGACTAACAAGTCTGGAAATAAGCCATAACGCAGGAACGAGGCTCGTGGTCTTGGCCAATCAGCATCGTTCTCGTGTTATGGCTTATTTCCACATTTATTGGTCAAAACAAAAAAATCTTTTTCATGCATGTGTTGAAGAAGGATGTTTTGCATCTTTGCACGTGGCTCGTGAGAGTAAAACTTGAAATCCATCTCATTTAAGGTGGTATTTCATTTAAATTTAAAATGTTGTGCCGTAATTACCGAAAAGGTCTATTGCAACAACAGTTAAGGCTAATTTCCACTCCGGAAAACGAGCAGCGGATCGGATTTTTTTCCAAGCTGATCCAATCCATGAAGTCATTTGGGATCGGATGAAAAACAGTTAAAACTGTTTGAACTTTTTTTTATCCGGTCTCGGACGCTTTCCGATCAATATAAGCCAAACATTTCAACAGACTACGCACGCGCGGATTATCTTTCGTTCCGATCCAATCCGATCCGCTGCTTCTTTTCCGGAGTGGAAATTAGCCTTTACTGATATATCCATTTAATACAATGCGATATAAGTTACTATACCGGTTGATAGCCGTTTCTTGTTTGATCAATTTCTTTTTCTGTCTTCGTAGCGATTTCCTGCTTCTCCAAGATTTCCTTCGAAAGTAGTTTACTGGATGAAAGAACCTGTAAGACAGACATGGTTCATATAAAAAATGCAAGATAACTAAGTCACCTACAGAATATCTGTCATGCAAGCGGTAACTAGACCTTACAAGGCCTGATAGAATTTCAAAAAAGATTTATTTTGGAGGGGTATTTTAAGACACTTTCTAACAATGAAATTCGAGACGAAACTGGTTTCAAACCTCAATTGCAGTTTCATCCTCTAAAATATTCCCTTCACACGTGGACAGTACTTCCAGGATTTTATCCTCAATTTCCTTTAACTGCAAATAAAAATACAGCGTTACAAAAAAGAGGGAAGATTGTTTCGTAAAAAAGAATTGTGACAAAAGAAAAAATAATTGCCATAGCGCTATACAAAAAAGCATTAATGCATGGGGAAGAGAAAGGCGATATAATAATACAATGTATATACCTGTTTCTTATTTTTTGCACTCTCCAAAATTAACATGTTTTTCTTTTCTTCAAGTTCTGGCTTTTCCTTAGCAACAACAATACCAAGCAACTGATCTTCCAGCCCGAGTGGCGTGATCATAAAGTTCAGAAGGGTCACCTATATATCATGAAATCTGATTAATACTCCGAGGGAGTGAATGAATTTAGTCATTAATCTGAGATAATTTGATGAATTACCAATAAGCAACCACTATAATTATATACGAGCATATTTTAAAAGGAGATCATTGATTGATATCAATATATTAATTATATCATGCAATATTTTGTTATATTAAGTGTTGTAAATACCTTCACCGACACTTCTGGCAAGTAATGCGGATTCCTAAGTCTGGTGGTTATGTAGAATCTGAAGTCCTGTATTCACAGAATCAAGTGACATCATAGATAAGTAAAACTGATAAAAATGAGTGGAATATTTTACAGACTAGCTTGGTCAAAGAAATACATCTAAATCTCTGTAAAAATACATTTGTTGCAGTACCTTACTGAACTCTATGAAATTTTCGCCCATTTTCAAGTATTCCACGCCGCCCTAAAATATAAATTAATGTCCTTCAGTGGCAGAAAATAAAGGCAAAAAATAATATGACAAATTATGCAGCAATATCACATTATATTCCTATATTATATTATCTGACTGTGGAAGTTGGGAAGTAAACACTCTGACTCGTATATCTCTAAAATAGAGCAATGAAAGGGAGGTATATTTGTTCGAAAATAATCTTATGCGTTTGAGAATTCTTCTGTGTCATTTCCCTCCGCAGAATCTTTATGAGATTCTTCGCAAAGACTCGCGTTGCGAGCAATGATATGGATGTATATGCTGACCTGTTTGAACGTCTGTTTAAGAAGCAACGGTTCTAACACTGGATCCAGCTCTTCACCAACATTCTCGAGCAAAACTGGTGTGCCGAACTAAATAAAAATACGCATTTGCATAACTTATAAAATTCAAGGAATTATGGAAATGAGGTGCACCAAGCATATCTCATCTTTCATACAAGATTCTCACAAAACGTTTTCTATATCGCTGGATCGTTGTGTAAATAATCACAAGCACTTCGAAGAAGAGGGTATGCATGCATATACCTGTATGCAATTTTCCAATGTTCTAACAAAATTTTGATCGGACAACTTGATGATCTAAGAATAAAGATAGTTTATATTAAATTCTTCAATTAAATAACAACACGCATTCGCTAATTTTTTTTGCAAGTATCAACATATATATATGTAGTATGAAAGCACCACAGGCCAACATAAATATAGCGACAAGCCAACAGGAACCTGCAACTTATTTGGTTTCTCCATATTCTTTATCCAATAATTCGCCTGTCCTTGTGGATCAATCATCAACGTCCATCTCTGAGAGTTTGTCACGATTATACCATTTTCGATAGAAAAACTAACAAAAAATGATTGAAATACAATTATCGGTTAGCGGAAGTGTTTGAGACTTAAGAAATTACCTTAAATAATATTACGCCGTTATAATGATTTCTAAGCCCCGGAGTAAAGAATAGAGGTTTGGAAAGAGACAAAACTAACATGGATGAAGACAATTTTTATATGCACAGCGATAATACATACTTAAAGGGGATATTATATTTTTAGTATAAATTTCGAGGTGCATGCATGACTATTGATTTTCCTGTATTCTGATTTGTCACTGAAGATTCACTGTCTCTGAAGTAATTTTAAATTTTTATGAAATTATGTTGATTATTATTTGTAAACACCTCGAAATTTATACTAAAATAATACACTGTAGGCTTGTAATTACCTCGCCTTCGGCGACTAATTGTTAAATAGATGCCGAAATTATATTTAATACCTGTCAACTGGCAAACCAGCAATTTGCCAAGTTCTTGTTATCACGGCGTCACCCAGAGTTCCAAGTAGAGAAAACTGTTCTGAAACTGGAATCTGCTTTTCCTTGCACAATTTCCACCACTCCTGGACACTTTCCTGTTAAGAAAAGAAAATAATTTGATGTTTTTCGTATCCGCACATATTTTCTTAATTGCTAGGATATAATTTAGTGATGTGCATGTATGCAGTTCAGTAGAAAATTGACAGAAAAGAAATATTTCTTTGGCAATGCCCGGCATAAATTCGAAGATTTCAATGTCATGCATGGATATACTGAATAAAGAATTATCAGCGATTAAAGGATTCGTTATACAGGAAATGTAAGTATATTTCTAATTAAAAATATATTTTGGAAAATTTCAAAATATCTGCAGATAACGGTTGCTAAATGTCGTGAAATGATGAAATACGAATACATATATGAATGATTAGGAATTTTTTTTACTTCTTAGAGAAAATCCTGGAAACCACTCGCCATTAGTAATATAAATAAATGGAAACCACTCGCTATTAGTATAATAATGGAAACCACTCGCCATTAGTAATATAAATTAATAGGGACTGTAGAAACCTGTCGAAATTCCACTGTGAACGGTCCCAGATAAGCAACAATGGCAGATGATAGGAGAACATCACCGACTATATTGTTGTAGGTATCACCAAGATCCTCCGCACACTGCAAGCAAAAAAGTCGAATTAGACAAGTGGAAAACCAAGCAGTTACCGACAAATACAACATGCCAACTGAGCTGCTGAATCATGTCCACCGTGCCATTTCAATTGAACCTAACCTAACCTGACCTGACCTGACCTGACCTGACCTGACCTGACCTGACCTGACCTGACCTGACCTGACCTGACCTGACCTGACCTGACCTGACGTAACGCAACGTAACGTGAGAACATGTTATAATATATGCACAGCAAGTATATATTGTACTGGTCGAATGTTCTTCAAACCAATTATATGGATAAACAGAATCTTGCACGATAACTAAAAAATGTCACGAACCTGGATCCATCTTGACTTTTCTCCACCAAGACCTTTCAACAGTTTTTCTGCTCTTGTGAGTTTCTCTGAACACAGCTTAATATTTCGTTGCAAGTCCTGGTCAAATAAACATTACCGTTTAGAATGATTGTGAATGTCTTTTACGGTCTCATCGATAATTTCATATAAATCATGAATTTTCAGGTTTCCAGATTCTTAGAACAATGAAAAGGCCGGTGGCCGCTAGACCTGAAAAAACCGCTCAAGTGCTTAAAACGAGTAAATGTGAAATTATTGCAAAATATCAACATCTAAACATATTCGGTGCAATCATTATAACGTTCCTGCATTTATTTCTCAGCAGATTTAGCATAATCGCAAAAAGGAGTTTCAAGGAATAAAAAGAGGGGAACACACCCCTCAAGTTCCTTTCCTGCTGAAGATTGAGTTTGGATATTAAAACGTCAATAAATTTCGTTAACATATAGAATCGATATACTACTTCAGTAGGTTTTTTTTACCTGCTTTTTAGTAATCTTCATGTCATAATCATTGTTCAGAGCCTGAAGCTTCCCTTGAACCTCAGCAAGCGCCGATCTTTTTTCATCCAAACGACTCATTTGAATATTTAGTGTATACTGTGCTTCTTCCAATTTTTTCTTTTTTGGTGCAACAAGCTAGAGGGGGAGGGGGAGAATTTGTTAAATTTAACAAAAAATTATTGGAATGTAACTACTGATGATTGCATATAAGTTATTTTGCAATTGTTATTCTGTTTTGCATATAAGTTATTTTGATATAAAACAGCAAAACTTGTTACAGAAACATAATCTGGATCAATAAATGATCTTAATTATACATGCATGCTAATTGCAAGGATTAACATACTGAGATATGTTAATTTTCTAGAACATTTCCAACATTGCCTGTTGCAATAAAATTTGCAGATAGCTGAAATCATAAATTTTCGATGTAAGAATTCACCTTTGCAACTCTGTCGTAGACCTCAATTGCCCTCACCCAGCGACATAAACCTTCGCACGCAGAGGAAATATTTTTGATCAGAGATGGGTCAAATGTCGGATTGCTGACATACTTCTCACGAATTTTCTTGATCACTGGCGGTGGTATATTATCCTTGTCGAAGTCCTTCAGGTTCTCAAGAAACTTTAGATCACCTAATAACTGATGGGAAAAGAAATGGATATATGACTTTCTAAACCTATATTTGAATCACTTGAAAACCTAGAGCGGATAGAAAATTATCCATGAATGTATATGCCACATAAAGAGACTCCTAGAATTAGGTATATGTTATAACCGAAATTGTTTCGCAGGAATGGAAAAACATGTCTCGGTCTGATATAAGTAGTAGGATCTCACATTCGGTTAAAATGTAGATAAATTATTTCATTGCCTTCTTTAATGCATTTCAATGACATTCATTATCGTTGGTTTTCAATAACATTGGGATGAAAATGAAAATTCTATAAAGAAACCTTTTTGGAAGAAGCCCAGTAGTCCTCGAAGTGCTTGCCGTTGGCGTCAACCTTCTTTTCTGGTTTTACTCCCTTGATTGAATGTAAAAAGAAATAAAGATTTATTACCACAAAATAGTAGAATATAACTATATATGCTATCATTATTCATAACATTCAGTATAGAATATATAGGGTTTATGCAAAAAGGAAAATTAGGCTTATATTCAGAATATTATTCATATGAGTTTTGTATAAAATGCGAAAAGCTTATCTCTTTCATCATTAATTACGCAACCGCCGTAGTTGTGGCGATGATGACGTTGTAAATTATGGCGTTCATGAAAATATTCAAGGCCTGAGAAATAGATTAATTTTCCATTTCGTTAATAATGTATCAGCCATTCAATTTAAGGTAGCTATAGCAAAGCTAGACCTCTATAATTTTAAACACTCATTCCCGACCATAAATTTCATGCATGACATGATAACATACTTTAAGGATACATATTGCCTCCATGACTATCTTGACGCCAGCCGGAGGATTTGCCATTGACTTAACCATTGTTATGTCTGCTTGCTTTAACGTATTGAGTGCAGCGATTGCTGAATGAAGGGCAGGCATGGCAACTGATAACTGTTCCTCGCATTCATCCTTTAAGAAAACAAACTTGCTTATCATGGCACTAAACATTTGATCAAGCAAACATGCACGGCTTCTGCAAAAACCGAAAGCAAGTTTTGATATACGCACATCATAGGAAACATTTATGCGCGGTTGCGACGTTCATTGCTGCAAAGGCCTCCAGCAAAAACTTTGTTTGGGCCTATGAGAGTGTAGCCAATGTATAGAATTACGCTACTCACGGATTTCATCCAAATTACAGTGTAACTGAATTAGCGAGTACCTGCTGTCGGTGAAAGACCATACATGCATGGTAGATCACAGAAGGCGTTTGTATAGAATTATGCTATACTTATAATATATACTTATGCCCAAATTTATATAATGAACAAGTGCACTGCTTTTGAAAGATCGTTGTGTTAGACATAGTACGTATACGTACCTTTAAAGCCTGTGCTTCACTTGCAGCAGCATTCGCAGTAGCTTCGTCTGCCTCAACGATCTATTATAATAATGGCTTTTAGAATAAGAAGAAAAAGTCGGAGTCAACACACAATTTTAAATTATATAGTAATACGGCATTACAAACCTTCTTTTTGGCTGCAACCTCTTCGGTTTCTTCACCAATTTTTGAAATTAAATTTTCAGTCTCCTTACTAGTTTGAATGAGCTCCGGCTGTAGTTCAGTAAGCTCCTGCTGCATAACAGTAACTTGGGCAGCGGCAAATTCTAACTTCTCCAAGCCAACCAAATATCGATTTCTTAATGTCAGCAGTTGCATGCGTTTTTTACCAAGTAAAGACTTGAAGGTCTTAATGAGCTCAAGATAGGATGTGGGCGTGACATAGCAACGTCTTCTCAATATTTCATAATATCTAAAAAAATAACAAGCAGTGATGACATAAAATTATTTTTCACTATGAACATAATGAAGCACCACACAACTTGCATATATTTTTTAATCTTTTTGAAGACGTCTTGTGAATAAAAATTTACATATAGCATACAAATGGCTTACTTTTCTGACAAGGATCGTACACCTTCGTGAATATACTTGCATATTAATACGACTTCTTTGCGAACATTATATGACATTTCCACGTCGTCTAAAAACTTGTTTGCAACCATTTCTAATGCATCCTCTGGCCAAGCCTTACGTAACAATAAAAAAGGAGTAAGACCCAAATGGCTTTTTCCAACACCGGTACAATTGCCAGGTAATTGTCCAAATCCATGAGGTAACGAAGTGATTGAAGCATATTTTTTTTTACACATTTGTAATTTTAGTGGTAGCTATTAAGTATACCTAAGAATTAGCAAAACCTTACTTGAAACCAATCAATCGTACAGCAGTTGATCAACGAGGGGAATTTTCGCAAACGGTTCCGGAAGGCATCACCAATAGGACTCATTGTCAAAACAATATGAAGATTTTGACGAATCCTTTCAACAAAGAAGTTGTACATTGCGAGAGGACTAGAATCCACACTAAGTTCACCCTCTTGAACAATAGCTTGCATCTAAAAAATCATGATATTGTAAGTTTTCCTTTCTCTGTGGAGGTACCATAATTATTTGACATACTTAAAAGATACTTTTTTAAGGAAAATCGAAAATTCTATAATCAGCATGCAGATAGTGCCGGCTGTTTAAATATGCAATGAATTCCAAAGGCAATAAGCTGAAGATTTTTTTTATCTATAAGCTCCCTTAGCTTTATCAGTTCAGAATCAATTAGTTGGTATTTCATTATAAATTTAATTACATATGATTTACTTTAAAACGCATGTTGCCTATAATTGCAATCAACATTTTATTTAGTTTCGCTTGACTGATCATATTTAAAAAATCGTCCCTTTAATTACTTATATATTGTACCAATATTTTAGTGTTGGTGAGATTTTTCTTCATAATATGACTTTATCTCTTCAAATGTAATAATTATTTTTAATGAAAAATTTTCCTTTGATCAACGTCATTACTACAAATACTATTTGCACTGAAATTCAAAATCTTTTAAATTTTGAAAGGTGCACGGTTACCTTTGTCTCGGTAAATTACAGGGAAGTGCATTTCTAGGAGGTCAACTTGATGAATGACAATCGCACGAGCTCTCACCTTTTCAATAATTTCCAGCCGCTCATCATTTGGAAATATATTTGGTACATCGCCTCTGTTCAGTATCATATTAATATCTTCAAGAAATACCTCGTCCTAAATTAATTTTTTCTCTTGTTAGTAATTTAAAATAGCTGCGCAGGCAGAACTATATATAGGCAATAAAGCAATGCAATAGACCTTTCTCATAATGACGTCAAACGCGGAAAGTATGATGTGACACGAAGTTTCATTGGCTCGATAGTTTTGTAGAGCCGATCAAACTTCGTGTAATATCAGACTTTCCACCTTTGACGTCATTATAAGAGAGGTCTATTTTGCCCACGTTTCAAACTAATCCGTACAAAACCGGTCAGGAAAAACCCATACATTTGTACAATTATGTACTTGTGAAAATATGTAACTAATACAAAAATGTAAAAAATTTGCGTACTTTGCACGGCTCAATTTTAGCATGTTAGAAATTTCGCACCTAAACTTGACATTAGATTTACTCATTCGGACAATATTCTTTGTATCACTAAAATTTTACCTTAATCTGGTGATCACCAAAAAGAAATACAGTAGGGATTCCGTCATAGCCAGCCTTTCTAAGCACTTTTTTGACATCTTCCATCCATTCTGATGTATTGTAATTCTTTGTTATTTCGATTTGAAATATTTCGTAATCGGACATGAATGCGGCGAGACGCGCTACGCTTGAACGACCAGAGCCACCGATGCCTGGAAGAGGAAGAAACAAATATTAGAATATGCGAAGTGGATGAGGCTGTCATTATATAATTATGTACTATTATATACGTGTGCAATATATGTAGCGGATCAGAATGCGATGATCTGAAATCTACATATATAGCCAGGGCTTCATGATATAATCGAATATATATAGCTAAACGTAAAAAAAACCAATTCAACCAACCAACTAGTAAGGCGTGTCCATTTGGCTGACGTAGCACGCGACATATCCTGGAAACATGTTCAATAGCGAATCTGAACAGCACCAGATCCATAGGTGCCTTACTTGAAACGTTGTAATCGTCAAGATAATTCTCCATCGTCTATGAATAATGAACGAAACCACGAGCGTAAAAAGACGTGGAATATGAACAAAGTTCTTCGAAAAAAAATCTTCATAACGTACCTCTTGCAGGGCATCAAGATCACGAACTTCATCGTAATTTCTACCACGTTCTTTCTTACTCATGTAATCACCAAAGTATAAGCTGCAATTAAAAACATTTAACCGCATTAATTTTACAACTATTAATATCTATTTGTAAGGCAATCCTTTATGTGTATGGACGATTTAGCGGCGGGCATATAAATTACCTTCTGAGGTCGTCGCCTCTAACTTGGTTTCCGGACGTCACTAAATGCTCAAACACATTGTTGAGTTTTTCTTTAAATTCTGTTGCAAGCGCATTCTGTTAAGAAATGGTGGAAAATGAATTAGTTATACACAATAAATTATATACAAAGATTTTGTCATTGGTGATATTAATTTTACTCCGTGCTATAAAAATTGCATTATTATGCATATTTTTTTCTTTACAACTAACATAAAATTGTATTTCAAAATTAGCCGATTTTTTTCAAATGTTTTCAAACTAAATGTGCACACGATTAAATGCAGGAGATGAAATCATTTTTCATTAAAGAACCAATCTACGCTCAATCGTCCAAGTTTTAATTTTTGAAACATATATACTTAGGAAAGGCCTCATCAGTGCTTGCTATCGATGTGCTAAATAACATGTTTCACTAATTCCTTCAGATAAACGGACTTTGTGAAAAACAAATGCTGGTAAAATGACAATTTATCAATACCTTGACAATTTCGAAGAACGTGTTTTGATCTTCAAAGCCAACAAGGCGGTCATTAAACACCCTGTAAACCTCGTGTACCCAAAGACGGGTAATCTTGTTGCCATCAGTTGCACAGGTACCAGGGAATAACAAAATACCCTAAATGGACAAACATAATTACCTCGAGTCACGATAAACATAATTAGTTGGAAACACGAAGTCTTGGTAAACGAATAAAACATGTTGTGCATAAGAAGAAAGACAATCTAAAAAGCAACCTGAAACGAGCATGTATACTGTAAGCGATGTAACTTAGTCTATGATCCCTGGTACCAAACCCAACAGGTATTATTGCACAAATTTGATCGATGCCTATCATGCAAGAGGTAATTACCTGAACGACCCTAGAAAAATCTCTAAGGTTAAAGACGTAGTGTGATTTCGCAGGTGTTGGTAAGAAAGTAGATATTGCTTGCTCGTATACAAATAATGTTGCGTGAATTATTATCTAAAATGAAAAAACAATTATTTCAGCCTGCATGTATATAATTTATAAGAGGTTGTGGAAAACCGGACGTTAAACGAACTATACTACAATGTATATGAAGACTGACGCCTGTATTCAAGAAGTTTAATCACACACACACACGGTGAAAGTCTCTTCAATCACAGTTAATAAAATATACAGGGTTTAGATAATACTACAATACACTGACTCATTAACTATGTTGAGGTACATTTATGCAAGAAATTGTTCCTTACTCATTACATGTCTATTGTATTTTACACAGATAAACCAATAGCAATCTTATAATTAACATATTTTTCAAGTCAAGGTTAATGAGCTTAGCCAGACGAATGCAATGGGTAAATTTGGCTAAAATACAATACACGTGATGAGAAAGGAACCATTTTTTTGCATAAACGTGGACAATAACATAGTTAATGAGTTGTATTGTACTTTTATTTAGTCCCCAAACCATGTATATTCTATTAGCTGTGCTTCAATCAATGGAAAGATAACATGGTATACTTAAAATTAAGCTTTCGTTCTATAACTGCATGAAACACCGTCCGATTCCAAAATCCTTACGACATGATTGAAATCTACCTACCCTGGAGTATCTCTTCAGTTGTGTTTCGAAGTCTTTATTGAAATGCCAATCCATAATAACAGAGAAAATATTCCTCATCGTATCGTTTGTAAATGACTCGATAGCAATAACATTGAAATGTCGTAACAACCTGGAGCTTATATCATTGCGACCACCCCCTGGTGGTCCCATGGCCGATACGAGAAGCAAGTCCATTATGTTCATAGTTGAAGTATCATTCCTAGTGAGAAAAATTGAAACACAATATAGAACAATGTGTTTTGATTAAAATCAATCAGTATACCACATATGACTATAATATATAAATGACTATATAGCTTCTAGTAAATTTGACTGTGGGAACTGTATAAGAGGTTTATTTCTTCAAAATTTAGATAATCAACGAATGCTATAGATAATCAATGAGACCCTTGTGCATGGGGTGCAAAATGAATGTCACAAAGTTTCATGGCTCAGCAAAAATTACGAGTCAATCAAACTTCATGCAACATCATGTGACTTTCTGCGCTTGGCGTCATTTAAGGAAAAGTATATTCAACGTTTTCAGATGATTAGTGAAATTAACGTTTCTCATCACAGTGACGTTAGGCGTTAAAAATTCAAGTGACGCAAGTGCGAATGGATATAGACCTATTCGAAGAAGAGCATGTGGCATAATTGCACCTTACCGGTCAAAGAAATACTTGTGATCAACAAGATGTCTCAGAACTTCAATGGGAGGTTGTGCCCCATACTTCTCTTTTGCAGGCATGTTCAAATCATCAACGAACGTGATAATCTTCTTTCCAAACGGAGCGCCATAAACACCTTTCCGACGTCTAAAAAAAAATATATATATACGTCTTTAAAAAATATATATATACGTCTTTAAAAAATATATATATACGTCTTTAAAAAATATATATATATATAACTCCAATTCATCTCGTATGAACTAGTTATCGAGCAGATCGCAGTGAGCCATCAGTGGATTCTGACCCATTAGCTCATGCCGTTTGATGATAATAATATATTTAAGGCTTAATTATTGATATTCAACGCGACTATAGCAAATGACAACCCAACTGAAACACATTACCTGTCTAACTTCGAAAGTATTAAATCTTGCGTCTGATTTGCAGATGTTTGAGCCGAGAAGTTCACAAAATTGGCAATATAGCTGCAAAATTCAAAATTCAGTCCTTAACGGGACGATATTCGCGATTTGGGGTAAATTTCATCATTATCTGAATAAGCTTGTTCGCGATCTTAAAGGCGGTACAAAGACGTTTAAATTACAGTATTAAACTATATACACACCCTGATACGAACAAGAAACGAACAATAAAATGGCACAGTCAAGACTTCCTTACACAATCACACTGAATTACCTTTTCTCGTCCATATGCAAGATGTAATCAACGGTTATGGCTGATTTTCCAGTTCCAGTCGGTCCAACAAAAAGAAGCAAATTCTCATGGGATAAGAATAAATCAAGGAAATATTGTTGCCGTACGGTGTCAGTTGTTGGAACAATCAATTCATTGGGCTAGAAAATTACCACACAAAAATTCATGTAAGACAAGTAACGTCTCCTCTCTGCTTTTGGAAAAAGTGCAGAAAAAAAATAAACATGAATGGACGTAATCACGTAAGGAAAAACTTTTCTAGAAATAAAGTTATTGTACAAGCAGTAGTAAATCAATGACATGCTTAATGTACCTTAGCATTAGAAGGAATTTCAATTTTTAAAACATTTTTCTCCCAAGGATGCCACGTTCCAAAGGTAGTCTTGTCAAAATAATAATCGTAAATAGTTCCTTTACCAGGAAAGGCATTCGTCCGGGGAATTTTCAAATCCTTCGGCCTAAAATAAGGGTTCCATCATAAAAATTGATGTAGCATTGAAAATATAGACCCCATATATATCAAAATTTTGCTGCTATTCTCAACGACAAAAATGGTCAACACTTTTTAGCACTGGAAAAAATAACTGAAACATGGTATCTGAATGCACACACTTACTTAGGATTGGCTTTATCCTTTCCACTTGAGACATTCTTAAGGAAATCACTGAACTTTTCCCTTGAAGATCCGTCCAAATGACCTCCAACTGACCAACAAAGTGAAAAGAAAAATAAAGATTGTAACCACTGAATGATCTCATTTTCTGAACGAGATGGTCGTTCACTATCTTCTAGCTCGTCTTCTTTTTCAGACTCTTCCCCTGGTTGATTTTGTTTCTTCCTATATGGAGAGTCAAAAGAATAAATCTGATTATCGGATATATACGGCATGATTATAATCATTATAATGATGACAGACTTTATTACTATATGTGTGAAAGTTAAAAATGCCCCAATTAAACAAGTTACTATAAGAAGGTATCAATTAGTTCCTCTAAGTTTTTAAAATATCCTCATATTACAAAGAACTATTTCAGTTTTTCCGTACTTCCTTTCCCACCGGCCACCACAAAAGAATAGCTAAATAAAACTAAAAATTGAAAATGGCTAATAAATCAGACATCTCGTAATAAACACTTTGCGACTTGTCAAAAACACTGAACACATAAACGCATGAGGATGTGAATAAAACGAATCATTATTAGGCCCGTTTCAGCCATCGAACTTTTCATGTGCTGATAAAATATACAGATGAACATCAACAAATAGTTTGGCTCATTAACATATTAGGTTTGGCCTCATACATGCATGTAGCCACCTTTTTAAGCACATGATATAAACTATACCGCGCACCTCAACTCGTCCAATAGCGAATCATACATGACCAACATTTGCTTCACCAAATGCATCGATGAGACTCTAACGAACTGGGTGCAATGTCGGTTAACAAAATCCAGCACCGGAGGAAGTAACCAGAAAAACATATCCTGGAAGATACATATCCAGAGTCAATCACAGCAAAGAAAGCGATCATATTAACTGATTATTGACCGAGCGTGAGGTCTGTACTGTGAAATATCAGACCGAGGCTTTTCAGAATGCAAAAAACATGTCTGATATTTCACATGCAGTACAGATCGATAAGCGAGGTAAATAATCTGTTTATTATATGGCTGAACTGCATGAGACATCCGGGATACTGGTCCAGATACGGAATATACGGACGACGGTCCGGATATGGGTTTTTACGGACCGCTGGTTAACCAATCAGAATCTTGAAAAGCCATATAATTAAACCGTCTTATTCTAAACGACAATCTCTGGATCTCTATTAACAAAATTGCTACAGTTTTTTTGGTGAAATTCTTCTAGATCTCTATCATTAAATAAATTATGCGTATCATGTTTCCACTTTCAAAGTTTTTTTAACATACTGATTCCTCTTAAATTAAGTGGTTTGATTTTTAGGGTTTAATTAATTTTTGCAAAACAATTGCAGAAACTTGTTATAATAATTGAACATTAATTGAATCGTGGACTCGCTTACCTGTATCATCGTCTTCATTGCCAAGCCTAAATTTGGAGGAAAATTGTACATAATCCACGATTTTATTAATGTCATCCAACCAAGTTGAGTGGCTTCCATGTAAATCATCCCACATCTACGAAAATATCAGGAATAAAAATTAATCATCATCAGGAATCATATAAACAAATACTGTTCATATTCCTAACGAAAGTGACTCGCAAGGCTTGAATTGTTAACAACAGTATACTAATGCATGTGTATGTAAAGAAATCATATTACCTGCTAACTGTGGCAGGCGATGCCTGATCAAGATCTTTCGGTTCAAATATCATATTTTGCCGCCCACTCATTTGTATGATTTCTCCGCTCATTAAACACAGCTGAAAATTTACGTGAAATACAATTACAACGAGGAACGTTTGTGGAACGTTTTTGATTCGTAATTTGTATTTGTACAGGTAAAAGCGAAACAAGTAACAACATTAAGTAAGAACTCGACGTACACTAAACCACTGGTTAAAACAAAATTAATCAACTAAGGTTACATCGGAATTAATAAATAATAAGACGTATACGTACTACAGTATAACTATTCGGTTAAAAAGCCCGTCTTAGCACCGTAACAGAACTGAATGTACCTTTTTGTTGTCATCCAGCACGGTATTCATATTTTCAATCCAAACAGCATCGACTGGCCCATCAAAAATAATCCATTTTCGATCTGGTGTACTCAGGGATGCATGTTCCCGGAATGTATTGGCAAGAACACCTAAAATGGTTTTGAATATCGTGTTCAGCGAAGATTTATATTTTCTTTTCGCGCAAAATGTCAATTTCGCAACAAAATCAATTAGCCTTGTGCCTGCATTTTTCAAAATCTCCGATTAATGCTAATTAGCGATTTCCGATTATGCTAATTAGCGATTTCTGATTATGCTAATAAGCCGAGTCTTCCATGAAACCGTACGTTCGACAGAGTGAGTTGCATCATATGAACCAGCTGTCTTAACAATGAAATGTTTATTATGATCATGATACTCACCGTCAGTCCATTCATGCGATACGGGATCAAAATGCCCATATAGCTGTCCCATCGTCACAGCTTTTGGATTGATAACACGATAGATCACCTTTAAAAAGCAATAGAAAATTCACTTAAAAATTCCACTCAAGCTATTTATGAATAAATACTTAACAATTATTGAAGTTAAACATGATATGAAGAATTATCAAGCCGACGTTTGTCGTTATCAACCGAAGCCGAAGACTGATGTTGATAACGAAAAACTGAACTTGATAATTCTTCATATCGTGTGAAAATTGAATGCAATAATTTTTTTATTACTTTCGTTTAAACATTCCCTGAAAAAAACCTTTTAACAAAATGGAAACTTTTATACGTATATATTCTTATTATTTATTCACTTATTTTGCTCGCGGGTAACTAAACTTACAGGGTCTTGGCCATATTCTCGTTCTTTTGATAGGTCAGAGAGCGAGGCTGCCAATACTCTATACGCCGATGTCTTCCCGCCAAGAGTATCACCAACAATCATAAACCCATGTCGTACCAACATCATTTCATGTATCTGTATCAATTTATTGCCAAAAATAGACACGTTTTGAGCAAATGTGGAAAGATTCTATCTTTCTGTCATAGGTCAGAATTTAAATGGTAAAACAAATGGGTAACTGAGTTTAATCTTTCGAATAATAAAATAATCACTTTTATTTAATCATTAATATTGCCAGCTAAGCGAGTTGTTTAAAAATGAGTTTTTTGGCACAATGGGAACTCGGATTTTCTCTCTGAAAATCACAATTCGTTTAATTCTCAAGTTCCTAAAAGACGACTTCGACAAAATTCATTGGGGGTTGACATAAAATTGGTTGAGGTTACCTGGATTATTTTTTCGATGAACCACGGAACAGGCTGAAGCTTCATTTTGTCAATATTTCCTCGGATTGCTTTCTCTAAAACGCCATGGTCTGGCTTAGGAAGTGTCAAACCAGGAAACAGGTCGGAAACAATGCCTTCAAATAATGGCAAATCTTGTGAAAGAAACTAGAAAATTGAAAAGATTCAATTAACAAAAATATCTGTCATGGTACAAGGAGTATCTACATCAGCAGCGTCGCAGTTGACAGATGCAGTTACCTTTGGCAAATTAACATCGTTGATTGAACGTAGAACAAGTAGACCTTCGTCATTTTCTGGGTATCGCAACTTTAGATTGCCAGCCGCTGTCAATACCGATTTCACTGCACGCATGCCATAGTCATAATGATGTTGAGAAGAAAGCTAAAATCATCCGAATAAAAAAAGTTAATCAAGACCATTAACAGACATGAATATAGCACAGGTATTCTTACACCTTGCTATGATAAACAGCGCGAACGTCTTCAGTTGATGTTACAGAGACGATTTTTAGGATCAAACAATGATACCGTGAAAGATAACCCTATTTCCACAGAGTATTCTCATGCTATTGCTTTAATGAAACGTCTGTTTTTTACATGTTTAATCATACTGCATAGTACTACATGCGTTCATAGAAATTTGCAAGGTTCAAAGAACGTACGTCAGACCTTGGTACACTGAATACAAATTAGGAGTTTTCTATACACCTTATGCATATACGTTTATCCATAACAACACCCGTTACCTGTTCAGAACACAGTCGATAAACAGCAACAATCTTTGCAGCCAAAGGACGAGCGTTAACAAACCCCATCGAGTAAAGACTAATTTCGCTGATCAACGCATAATCAGGGACCATCATGGCAACAGTCCGGAACAAAACCTTCAAAAGTATAATTATCTCAAAGTCATCGACCTCAGTGCTAAAAAACGTTTCCAAAAATAGATCTGACTATGGGATTACCTTGAGATTGTCTGGTAATTCTGCTCTTCCAGCATAGCCAGGGTTCATTGTGATGAATATGGTACATGTCGGATCAATGGAAATTTCTGTTCCTTCAAAGATGAATGTCTTTACACCGTCCATCACAGCAGTTTGAATAGTCTGAATTTGCTTTGCAACCACCGATAAAACCTAAACAATGTAATCTTTAGTGTGTAACTAATAATTATTATTCCTATCAATGTCTGCTACACTAAAAGCCTACGCATGCATTCTCTCTTTTGAGTACAATATAGGACCATTTCCAGGAAGTGAATGGCCATGCACGCATACGTTCATTATAATGCAATCCTCAGGTTTAATGACATACCTAGCTATGCTCAGGTTTATTATATCCTCTTTTAAAAATAATTTCGAATAAAAATAAACAATACCACTGTACCTCCAGTTCAATACGATTGAATTCGTCAAAACAAGCCCATGCACCTGACTGAGCCAAACCCTTAAAAAACTTTCCCATCGCCTTGTAATCCAGTCCATCAGAACAATTGAAGACAACACACTGGGTACGTAAAAAAATGCTTATTACAATGAGACTTTTGCTAAACATTGAAAAAAATAAGAACACGATGCAACTGAAAAATTTTAGAAAGCACCATGTATCAAAAATGCAGTTACGCAAAGTGAAAGGACCCAGTATTTACTGATTGAGAAAGTTTACGTCCGTATAATAAGGCAAATTAAACAGGTCCATTTATCATAATAATGGCTCGTAGAGAAAAAGCTACAAAATTCAAATTACAACTAACTTGTTTTGCTACAGCTTTCGCGAGATCTTTGCACGTCTCTGTTTTTCCAGTTCCTGCAGGGCCCTCAGGTGCTCCGCCAAGATTTAAATGAAACGCTCCCATCAGGGTCCTAGAAAATAACAAGATGCCATTATTGTGAGTAGGTGGGTTTTAGATAAGACGGTGTTGAATAAACTTTTTTAGGAGAATCAACTCTTCAGCATAAAAAGAATGAAAATAATATACAAAATTATAATAGTTGGCAGTTGCGGGAAGAAATGCTAATATAGAGAAATGACGTATGTGGATACTATCCGCATAACGTACGCTTCCATAGGATATATACTCTCGATTTTTACAAATATACTCCGTTTAAGGGTCTCTTTATTACCTGTAACATCTGTCTGTAAGTGGTGTTATCACAAGGCGTCCAGTGTTCCCAAGGTATTCATAAGCATACTGTACTTCAGTTGTTATCATTCGAACAATCACAGCATCTTCCTGCCAGTAATATCTCAACTGCCTTATCCACTGGAAGTCATTGGGATCCAGAAAATCATGCTCTGCTAAGTCAGCAACTACATCACGACCTGAAAAAACAAACAGGTTTTCATCATATGACAAAATCAAGTACGTCTTCACCATTTGTTGTATTCAATTTCTCAAAACAATCTATGCATGCAGTCGTGGAATAAATTTGCCAGAGCAAAAGTTATAGCTACTGGTTTACTACATTGAATATATTGGGTTTAAGGTTTAATAAACGTACAACCAATTCTCAATGAAATTTAGCCAAATGAAGTGGCATAAGTTACCTGAGTAGCAATTCGATTCGACCCAAATTATAATTAGAAAGTTGTAACGTGAAATATAATGATATCAATGGAAAGTTACATAAGTTCACACACCATGAACGTCGAGTACAATCAACGCTCCCAATGTTGTTCTCGCCATCTTCGTAAGTTTTCCACGAACCAGCCGCACGATGTCGTCAATTTGTTCCGAGCACTTTTTGTAATAATTCTTGAGGCCCCCATTCTTGCTTATAGCCTGAAATGGAATAAATAAATTATATATAAAGTAATTTTATACCGATATTTGACAATGGAATGTAGTAAAAAATAGATATTACTAAGTTATGAATAGTATTCAGATAAATAGAATTGTGCTATGCACAGGTCTTGATGCATGGATCCAATACCTCTGTTACTTCAGACGTCCAGTAGATCAGGTCACCGGCTAAAACAACTTGTCCTGGCCAATCCAGGACCCAATCAACACGTTTTGTCCGCGAATAACTCTTGACAGCTTCGGCCATAACATCTTTCAAGCTGTCTTTCATTACAGCCTCAATCTGAAACAAGGTAACGTTGAAGATGAAAAAACGCATGTGAAATGGACGGATGTTTTTTTCCTTGGTCGAGACTAGGCTCTGTATGGTCGGATCTACATTGTTGATTCCTGCTGAGAGTGATCTTATCTCGTCTATAGTAGAGCATTGTACGTTTGTAGTAGCGACTACATTTCGTTGCTATAAGGAGCATTTTCTTCCTTCTCATTGTCTACATGTTTAGGATCAATCAAATTATCGTTTTTGATCCACCTACCTCGGCGAGCCATTTCTCAACAAGGCCACCTGCTTTGGCAGGAATGACTTTACTTGAGAAATTAACGACTTCGTCCTCGGCAGACACCATGGCTGTTATTTCTTTGTTTCGGCTAAAGTCCAACTTGGTGATTCCTTCAAAACATTTCTTCAAGTGAGGCTGCACGCGAAGAGGGTCTTTTGTTTCGGAAAGAATTTCCAACAGTTCGTCATTGGACAAAAAGAAGAACCTGAAGTGTTTGCAAAGTCGGTGATAAGTATTTTATTCCTATTATTGCTAGACAAGAAATTAAATGCATTATATGAATTAACGATGATGTCCCGTCTGCATATTGGTCAAAGTCAATATGAACAAGAATTCGTGTCTATCTAGAGAGTTCTGACGTAATGAGCAGAACTTCTGTAAACATCATAATGTACATTACCTTACCTTCAAAACACATGGAACGGATCTATAAATCTACATCTTCATGGTTATGAATATAAAAAAAAGAAGAAAAAACCTATAGCTAATTTACATACCTGGGAAAGAAGAGTCTCTTCTTTTCCAGATAGTCGTTTAAACCTTTCTGTATACTTTCTAGCATATTCTATAATGTAAAATGCTTGTTTAGATTTATCTGTGAAGTCCAGAAGATACAGAAAATTACAATGAATCATTTATATTTTTACCGGATAGCATATCACATTATACTGTCTACAGACTTGACGAAAGTACCTCTGATTCTTTTAATCTATGAAGCATTCCTTCTCTGGATGTTACTTCTAGAACATTTGGACTTTTCACAGATGACAACATAATGATTCTCCTACGAAGTATTTATGAATTAAAAATAGCACGCTTTATAATTGTACCATCAGGGAACGAATCTTTAGTTATTCTATACAATTTATAATGTATCTTGAAATTCCCTAGACATACAGTTTCTGTCACAGCACCTACCAATAGCCATCAACAGTTCTAAATTTCTCGCCTTCTTCTGGCATCTGTGCTTGAATGTCATCGGAAGAGAATATTGGTTCCAAATACAACCATCCAGCTTGAACCTATACAGAAAAAAGGTTGTTGGGTTGGGTTATTAAAGGTAAAATTGTTCAGTCACATTCCGTATGTAACAAGTACATATGTACAGAGCAGCATCTCAAAAACAAAGCTTTTCGAAATACTATATAATAGGTTATAATTGAAAGATATATACCCTTAGCCACGACTCTACAATTTGCTGTATCGTGAGCTAAAAAAAATTACAAAATCATTACAAAATTTCAAATTTTAGTATTAGCCATATTGGTTTACGTAAAAAATAAAAGATGCTTACAAGCATAGATATGCACAAATTTTGCAATTTGCAACCATTTCGAAACATTTTTCTTTTACTTCTTCTCGTAAACGAATTGCAGCCAAACGTTTTTTGAATTAAAAGAAATTCTGATATCATGCAGAAAAAATTAAAAGGTGTAAAGAATTAAAACGTCTAATGAATTTTATTGTTCCCTCTCCCATGTACAAAAATAACTGTGCAGCACATATAGTTCAAGTGCGTACAAACCAAGTAAAATGCAAATGACATAAAAGCAATATATTAGATTATATAAATTATGCATGTATAATTATATAGTTCTAAGAAATAACTTTATCTTAACTGATTATCATACCAGCTGATCCTCCCATTCACCAATTTCAGTCTCAAATGGACCAATAAATGGCGAGCCTTTCATAGTCTGTGTTTTTACAATTTGATCTTCCAATAATATCTGCAAATTTTCAAATACACCCTGTTTAGTATGTGATATAAATTATAATAATGCACTATACCATTGCCACCATATGTGAAATTACAGGATAAAATAAATTACACTTCTGACTGAATGTGGTGGAATGTAAGGTTTAACTAACCACATATTATCACATGTTAGCTACGATACGTTTTACAAAATGAGCAAAATGAGGATACTCAATTCCAGCAAATCTTACGGCTACATTAGTTGTTAATTTGACTGCCGCTGGTAAACATACCTGAATATCATCAACAGCAGATAAAATGCTAACTCCAGTTTCACGGTAAGCTACAAATGTGAACTGTACATTGTCCCATTCTGTTTTCATTTTCTTCAAAGCCTATGAGAAACATTAGAAATGAGACGTGGCTTGCTAGCAGTCCAAATCTAGCTAGTCTCAAAAATATAAAAACACGGAAAGGAGATTTGGGTACAGTATATATTTCTTGCCCAACATGAATTCAATGATTTAAAAAGAAATGTTTATACTGAATTTTTTCCCAGGAAATGAATTTATTGATATAATAAGAAATTTGTAGTGAACAACAATAATTGTGTTCGCATTTGACAATCAAAACTGTTCGAACAACTTGAATTCTTAAAAAAAGATTACAAAAAAGTACTTTTTTACACACCTTTTCCAAAGAAAATTCCTTGCTAGCTCTTGAAGCAACCTCCTGAAGCTCTTCCAAGTAGCGATCAAGGTTATACGAAAGCATCTCCTCAAGTGTTGTTTCAGATTTAGGAGTTATATTAAATCCCACCTGTATAGACGATTTATGAGTTGATTTTACATCTGAATTTATGAACTAATTTATTACTAAAATGTTCATAGATACATGTAACGACTGCATGGATCAGAGTGCAAATTATATGCGACCCAATGCCATGAATACAAAATCATTTTCTCCCTTCCCAAATCTTTCAATTTTTCTAGTTATATACTGACATCGATCAATGAATTTCACCTTTTTGCTCATCATTTCCCAATGTCTGTCCTTCATGCCGGCCGTACACAATGCAGTGATTATCGGTAATCTAATTTTAAGTTTCTCCACTTTTGCCTTCAGTGATGTGGCCACACGAAATGGACCCATCAGCTCTTGTTGCCCAAAGAAGGACTTCGTCAGCTTATAGCTAATTTTCCAGAGTTCCGATACCTGCATGTCGGATATTAGAGGTTATACCTAACATATCACTACTAAAACACACAACAAAGATTCTCCGTTGTGCCTGAAGGGTAAGATGGAAGACGGAATAGGGACGATCCTCTATGATAATAGACCATGCAGTGTTATCAAAGTTGAAACAAGTAAAAATTATTCAAATTTTGGTCTACCTCTTCTTCGATCTCCTCAGCATTGAGTTCCACCAAGCAACCTTTCAACCACTGATCTTGTTTTTCGGTAAACTTGACGACAGACCTCCATAATTTGTCGTACGGTTCCTTTACCTCCACAATCTCTTGGATACGGGGAAATGAGCTTATTGACTCTACTGACAACAGTTTCTCTTCCATATTAATTCTTTGTTTCTGCGAGCGAAAGAAATAAAAAAATCGTTCAATGTGGTGAATTGGAATCATCATGATGCAGCAGCTAAATTGGTTTGTTCTGCTTCGTTTGTTTTAAGTAAACGTTTATATGCTGTATACTTCGTCTAATAGGTTTTCAACTTCTGTCCTCAGCTCATCGAGTTTCTCAACATGCGCCCTTGCTTCCGATATTCTTTCCCTGCTGTAGAAATCCTTTGCCTCTTTATAGACAGCTTCCAATTTAGCTTCAAACCTTGCCAACCAATCTGTAAGTTTATTCACAGCAGAGTCTTGCTGACGGCTCACACGCAGCTCACTATAAACAACATAGTTAAAAAATAAATAATCCTCAGAACATTTTTTTGAAATCATTTGTGCAATTGTAACTACTCTTTGTTGTGTGTTTTGAAACTTGATATCCAACAGAGCCTTTTTTAACAGCCCCTCCTAGCTTTCGCCCTACCCCCAGAGACAGCTTATATGCTCCATCCCAAGTGAAGCTCGCCTTCGAGAAATGAGTACCATGTTCAGAAGAAAGAAATGAGGTGGGTTCGTCAGTATGTGTCCCTTAAAATGCAGAGGCTCAAAAATGCAGGAATTTTCTAGGACTCGCATCTTTAAATTAGTAATTTACACCCACTCTAAGTCACAGAACTAACGATTCCTATAAAGGTGACGAATCTTCAAGAGATAAACAGGAAATATACACGGATATATATGTACATCGCGTACATTGCCAGCCTTGTCGCTATAGGTTTCATCCGTCGGGCGCGCCAATTAAGTTCGACTTGGCCTCTTTCCCTTCCCATCTGCCCCCTCCCTCGCATGTCTACCACCGCACCCATGCATGCACGTATCCGCCGTGGAATGTTTTAGGATTACGAAATGTCTGGGGAAGTTCGTTAAAACGTAAGTTGACACCTGGATGCAAACGTACCTACTACTGATTAGAGGAGTTATCTTTTCGGACCACAAAAATGTTGTTTCGTTCAGCTTTATATGTTCTTCCGTGATGAATGTGTGGTCCATGACGAACAGTACAAGCTTTGCCGCGTCCTCGAGTTGACTCTAAAAACATAATTACTGAACAAATTCATGCTAAAATATCAAGATTCAAAAATCGAAATAATACGAATTATGCATGGAGTTGAGTTCATACACTAATGAGCAGAACAGATGCAGCCCTTGTTAAAATATTGCAAATGACGTACCTTCAGGGAAAGTAAAGGGCCAAAAGGAAGGTTCTCGATGTAATTAATTTGTTCCACCAAACTACTTGTATCCTTGCAATTTCTCGTGATGTAATCAACAATATCCTCATATTGCTGACATATGAATTTGTTTGTTTTCATGCTTCTTTTCCGAAGCTGTTCCGTGATAAGGCTGACAAGATATCGACCTCTTTCTTTTAATTTCTGAGAAAAGATACATGAAATTTTTCACCAATTTAAGTGAGGGGACTACTGGTATGGTATGACAAATCGTTAAGTTCCCAAAAAAACGTTTAAAAGCAACTACCCAGTATTAATCCACCAGGAGAAGAGAGAGAAGAAACGTTCAGATGATACTAAACTGTTTTCAACTTTTCATGTTTCCCGATTTTATTGCTCAAATTATTCTGCATGCATGTGATGGATTATAATCACGCTGATTTTTCAGAATTTGATTTGTATTTTTGAACAATTTGGATACGAGTTTTAAGGCTTAAAACTACAGCGTTTTTGCAGCTCTTAATTAACAAACCCGAGTGTCCTTATATTAGCTATGCTTATAATGTTTTACCTGATTCACTGTAGTGCAATCAAGTGAGAACAATTCCATCGGTACGTATCGGTCCATTTTCATCACAGCGGAAATGAGAGCGTAAAGTTCGTCAAGCTTCTTTTTGTACTCTGGTAGATCTTTATCATCCATGAGAAACCGCTTAACACGGTCATCGCTGGCCAATGACAGCAAATATTCAAACGAGGAATAAACGGAGCGGAAACTGTAAAAACAATAATACATCGTGAATCCAAGAACGATACCAATATAATTATAATAGTTCGTTTTCTCCTCGCACATGATCTCCCTCTTCATGTGATAGGACTTCAAATCAAGGTTTTATTTCAATACTGCATGTATACATTATTTTACTTGTAAGCATTTCTTAAGTAGGTCCGTTTTCTTAGAACTGTAATTTAGGCGTATTGATTAAACCTGCATGTTCTTCTATCTACAGGTCAAGTATGAACAAACAACTCAATGTTATAAACATATAGATACAAACTATCAACTCACCTCAAAGGTCCTTGACAATTCGAATGAACAACGCGAGTTATTTTACTTTTTGCCACTTGAACGCACTCATCGGACAACAACATGGAATTAATTTCTTTAACAGGAACGCCCTCGACCTCGTAGAATAGACAAGACTCGACACGCTTAAGTCCACGAACGCTCAATACCACTGCGTCAATAACTTCACTCATAGATTTCTCCACATCTGTGAACGTTGGACTGAAGCTAACTGTAATGTTCTCAAAGTCTGGAACCTATATATAAATACTCCAGTAAATTTACTCATTTAAGAAACTTTTCGAAACGTTTTTAATTCCAGTAAATTTACCTTGAACAAATTAACCTCGTGCGTGCATAATCAATGTTCTTAGCAAAAATTAGCTCAATTTTCTATGGGGTACTGCTAAAAAGGATTTACAAGGTTGAGCATGCTCTTATAAAACCATGTTCTTAATCCACTAATTGGGCATTAGTGCTCAAGACATATTTTCGATATGTCCAGCATGAGCACTAATGAAAAGTTATTGTAATTATATAAGAAAGGCACGCCCCTAGGTTTTAATGTTAAACTTTGTTACCTATTTTACATCATTAGGCACCCGAACAATCTATATAAAAAAAGCTGGGGAGGAGGTAATTTCGGGCACTTTCCTCGGTAATTGTATGCCTTCGCGGTTGTATTATTTCAATACATGCACAACATGACGTACATGCAAATTAGAGAATACTTACCACGTTGATAATAATCGGTTGAGGCATGATTGGTAGACGCCTTTGGTATTCCCCCTCAAACTTGTTTCCCTCCGTGTACACTTCAAAAATTGATACAAGATCATCCAGAGAGCGCTCGATCAAGCATCTCACGTTATTTGACATCAACGTAGCGACACAATTAAAGAAGCTATCCATTCTGCGCAATCTCTCCTCCTATAAAGTATAATGTTGAAACCAAAACGATCCAGCTTAATTTAATACCTATGACATACCTATATAGCTCAGTGGTATACAACATGCAGTAATTCGGTAAATGTAGCTGGTTTTCCATTTTTCCTTGTTTATCTTAATTGTTCAATTTTATCAATTGGTAATACGCTGAAAACTAAATTAGCTGTTGATTGTTTCATTAATCTCACTTAGCCCTCCTGTTAAGAGTATCAGTGGGTCCTTGCTTTCCAAGCCTGGGTCATCTTGAATGCCATAGGTGTGCAATTTTGAGAGCGCTTCAGAAGTGACCATCTTAGGAGGCAAATGCAATTTCAAGTCCAGAACCTACATAGTTATACTTATAGACTAGATAGAGAGACAAGACCTCATCCTGTGGCATCCATGCCTCCACGTCTTCTCTTTTTTCGCTGATCAGCTTCGCGCATGATGGAATCCAAACTTCTTTCAAATGTTGAACAGCTGTTTGACTACTTTCGGAAACCAATCGAGAAAACTCAGCAATTGATAAAGGCATGTGAAGAACTAAATCTTCAATATCAACCAGTCTAAACTCGGTGTATCTAAAAGTTAACGAATAAACGTAGGCTTTAAAGAAATCTCCACATTGTTCGATGCGATATAAATGCCTAAATTTCAAAATACTCCAGATTATTCTTAGCGATCAATTTTTAAGGTTGATTTAATGATGACAAAACTCATTCAATGAACATGCAATTGGCATCGGGGTTTTTTTAATACACCTCAGGGACTTGTAAATATTAGAAGATAATCTAAAATATTTAAAGGTCAGTAGATGTACACAAAACGCGCCTGCAAAAAGGCTCAGAGGGTGAAACGAAAGCCAGCTTTGGTGGAACAACAACCTCCATATTAAGCTTCATTCACGTCGAGGGCCTGCTTGCAGGCTAAAAGTCTGAAAAACAGCCGTTCTCACCCAGTTTCCCAAAAGTCAAGTATTTCACGCAAGGCCACGTGGGTAACGTAAAGGTTTTGTTCTATGAAAAATTTTGCGGTCGCCATAGATTCATGCCATGGAAAATACTCACGACCAGCTGCTTCGATAATCTTAATGCAATAGAAAGTATGCTGATATTAGAAATAAAGAGAATGAAAACTGGTAACGAGAAATGCGTTTAAACTACAAAACATTATTTCCAGGGAATGACCTAACTCACCCATGAATATATATATATATACGATATCATTGATTGATGATATCATTGATTGATATATGATATCATTGATTGATCAATGATATGATTGATATCATTGAATAAAAAGAAACTCCTGCTAAAGCCTAATTTTATAACCAGAACTGCGGGTAAATAAGCTAAAACAAATTTAAAACTTAATTTATCATTCAAAGTACGACATGTAAATCAGAAGGCAAACAATAGATAGAAAATTTTTCCAACTCAAATTTGTTCCAATTACAAGGTGTAGGAAGATCAAAATAACCGTCATCTTGCTAGTAACCGTGACATGTTTGGCATAAATTTTACATCACAACTATGCATTATATGCTCAAAACTATGCTCTTCACACAATCCTCATTCTTTTCCAAGCTAGTTATGAATGTCGAAAAGATGTCGAAAAGGTCGCACTCTGAGAACAGTGATTACCAAAAACACCGGAAATGCAACAAACCTGTTTCTTCATTGTCAAACCAAGTCTTTCAGGTTCTTCCTTGTCCATTAGCACGTAATCAAGAATACATCTTTTCAAGCTTTGAAAATAATTATCCTCCATTTCCTGTAACAGAGAATTCTTCAATGATCGAGGTTCAAAATTAGTCTCTTACAAGGGAGCAACGCGATATAAAAAATTCGAGGAAAAAATTGTCAAGCATGCAAGGTTAAAGTGATGCGTGAATATGAAATTAAACAATCTTGATAAAGCACACTAGCTTCCGATTACCTTGGTAATTCCTTCCAAGATGATGGCAAAACGATCCCTCAGGTTAACCGGGATCAAACGATGCGTGCCGTCAATGCATTCTCTTGACAAGGGTGCTACAGCATTGGGTTCAATCGCGTGGTTAATTAGTGTCCAATACCTCTCCTGGCTGTTTGAATTCTCAGGGGAAGGCGGGCGAGGGAGACCATATGTGCTTCTGGATGGGGCAAAGAATTGCGCTTCCAGAACGCTTTCGGTCAAGGCATCGTGGAAAGTTTTATCCTTTGGAAACGACTGCTCGTTTTCAAATGAAGGTAACCCAGATGAGAAAACGGAAGCATCAAAAGAATCCGGAGATTCCTGGAAAGAAATTCGATGGAAATCCCGGACATTGAACGGCATTTTTTCTCCTCTATTACCATTCAAACCGGGCAAAGGCCTCTTTCTAGAAAATCCCAGCGGTGGAGTGGCTGACTTTGAAGGTATCCTCCGAGTTTCTTTGAAATTGATTGGCCTGTCCACGCCATTTCGATACTCCTTTGCTGATGACGATAAACGTCTTTTTTCTTCGACTGATCGTCCTCCGTTCGTCACTGCATTTCCTTTTGATGTTGAGTTGTTCAAGGCAGTTTTCTTCTGGGGAGAAACTATAAACATGAAGAAGTGTTTAAAAGCAAGCGTATATAACAAAAATATATATCAGTCAAGCTATGTTTTGCTATGCTGTTTTTTTGCATATATAGAGGGCAGTAGACGTAGAGGGTGTAGACACTGGAAAAAAGGAAAAGAAGGAACAGTGACGAATATCAAGAGGAAAAACGACTGACGATAGACTATATCTACAGAAACACTATACGTCGAGCGCAAATCTTCCGCGGAAGATGCATAACCTGAACTGATTGATAATTATTTTTTTAAAACGTTGTATATTATACAGGGTGTATAAAAAAAAATGTCCCAAATTTAAAGTTTCCGTTTTTCAGGATATTTTTCAGAATTTGGGAATTTTTTGTGTTCCTAGGGTTAGTTAAGACTTATCTGGTATACCTATAGGCAAGTTTGTTTTTTCAGTAACAAAATTATGTTACCGGGGGGGGGGGTTGTTCCTATCCACTGATATTGAGAGGGCTTGCGCGCGAAAATGTGAAGCTAAAAATGAGATATTATTTAACTGTCTAAAAGTAGGAAAGGTTCTTAATAAACTGTCAAAGTTTCAGGAAAAATAATGCGTACTAGGAGAAACGCGCGACCCCTAAAGTTGACGAATATTTTATTGCGCGCAGTGGATTAAATGCATCGTTGATTTTAGCGTGACCGATCTCATGCAAGGGTGGGTAAATAAATAAATTAAAGCGAGAAACTGAACATAAAGACAAAGCGATTTAATAACAAGATTTTTTATTTAATAACAAGATTTTTAATCCTCAACATGTTCTTTCTAAGCAAAGTTCGGCTCGTCTGAGCATGGTAAACCCTGAAAGGCGAACCATTTGTAAACGGCGAACCATTTGTAAACGGCGAACGTTTGTCTGTCCTGCCTCAAATTCTTCATTTCTTGCGAAATTCTTTTTCTCATTTCCAACTACGTGTTTTAGTTATCCTCCTAAAAGCTTAAATGCCTTTCGTTAATACCCCAGGGATATGAATATGGTATTGTTTGCACTGAAATTTGTTCAAGCATCTTTTCCCCCGCGCTTTTAAAATAAACTGCCTTGGTAGCAATGGAGAGAGCACAGTTTACACCCCAACAAAGAGCTTTTTTAGTAACTGAATACCATCGTAACAACGGCAACATAAGGGCAGTTCTTCAAGTGTTTCGGGAGCAATTTCCGGATGTTCGCTGCCCATCGAACAGAACCGTTTTGAGAAATGTGCTGAAGTACAATCAACACGGCACGAGTCACAACCTGAACAAAGGCAGATCTGGACGTCAACGAACAGCCAGGACTGAAGAAAACATCCAGGCCGTTCGATATCTCTTAAATGACAACCAGCCTGACGGGGAAATAATAAGTGCACGTCGCAATGGTCTTGGTTTGTCTTCTGCGACATTCAACAGAATAACGCGATTGGATTTACAATTTCATCCATATCAGATGATCAGGCGGCATCAGCTACTGGCTGGCGATTACCAGCGCAGGCGACAGTTTTGTAACTGGCTTCTGGCCCAAAACGTACGTTTTTTGGAAAACGTTATTATCGGTGACGAGGCTGGATTTTCCCTTAATGCGATGATTAGCACACACAATGTGAGACATTACGCTCCTCGCGGTCAACAACCATTGGACTTTCAGAGCGTAACGATGATCGGCATAAGATAACTGTCTGGGTGGGTTTGATGGGTAACGGGAGCATTATCGGTCACTTCTTTTTCGAAGGAAACGTCGACGGTGATGGTTATCTGCAAATGATAAACCAACAAATTGTTCCTGCCCGACGGAGAATACGTCGTTTTGGCCCAAACCGTAACGGGCGATTCCAAAGGCTTTGGTGGGTACAGGATGGTGCTCCACCACACAGAAGACGAATTGTCTCGGATCGGTTAGAGGAACTGTTTGGGGAACATGTCGTCGCACTGAATCGTCCCGTAGAATGGCCACCAAGATCCCCAGACCTAACCCCTTTAGATTTTTTCTTGTGGGGATACCTCAAGTCCAAAGTTTATGTCACACCACCTGCAAATCTAGGCGATTTGCAAGAAAGAATTTCGAACGAAATGGAGAATTTGGACAGACAAATGGTTCGCCGTTCAGTGTTTACCATGCTCAGACGAGCCGAACTTTGCTTACAAAGGAATGGGGGACATGTTGAGGATTAAAAATCTTGTTATTAAATAAAAAATCTTGTTATTAAATCGCTTTGTCTTTGTGTTCAGTTTCTTTAATTTATTCATTTACCCACGCTTGCATGAGATCGGTCACGCTAAAATCAACGATGCATTTAATCCACTGCGCGCAATGAAATATTCGTCAACTTTAGGGGTCGCGCGTTTCTCCTAGTACGCATTATTTTTCCTGAAACTTTGACAGTTTATTAAGAACCTTTCCTACTTTTAGACAGTTAAATAATATCTCATTTTTAGCTTCACATTTTCGCGCGCAAGCCCTCTCAATATCAGTGGATAGGAACCACCCCCCCCCCCGGTAACATGATTTTGTTAATGAAAAAACAAACTTGCCCTAGGTATACCAGATAAGTCTTAAAACTAACTCTAGGAACACAAAAAATTCCCAAATTCTGAAAAATATCCTCAAAAATGGAAATTTTACATTTGGGACATTTTTTTTGATACACCCTGTATTATTCGTTAACAAGACAATATCAGAAAACCGTTGATGTAATTTAATAAGAACAAGGGATACATTTTTTTTCTCGTGAAGTCATAGGAATCCAAATAAATATTTTTGAAATAATAAAAGTTAGTCCAGTTGTGACTGTGACGTCAGCACAGTGAACTCACAGTGAGTAAACTCAAATAAGACTGGAACGCTAGCTCTCTGACTTTCCCTCATTAATGAGTGAAGCCAAGATGGCGGATCTTGGATCATGAAGCTTTTCTTGTAGGTATGATCCAGACCTTAGGCGCTGAAATTTTAAAGGTAAAATAAAAATTGCCACCTTTTTACCTACAAAATTTCCGCGTGGAGGCCTGGATCATACCTACAAGAATGGCTTTATGATCCGCCATCCTGGCTTCAAATTTCCCGCAGAGCTAGCGTTCCAGTTTTATTTGAGTCCACTGCGTCAGCATAAGCTAGTTATGCTTCGCGATCACTGACGTCACTGAACTCACAACGCAACTGGACCACATTATATTCATTTGGATTCCTATGGTGAATTGAATTTATCTAAGTAGTGGAGGGAATTATCTATAACGCACAACTCAATGTCGAGTGATTCAAGAACAATACAAGCAAGGAACAAATCTTACCGTGTTTTTTTGTGGTCCGTTTTATCTCAAAAAGAAGAGACGTACTCAGATCGGAAGCGGATGGTGTGTAATTATTAGCAATCGAGTCACTAAGGAAAGTAAGTTATAATGATTAGGATAAAGGAATTTAGGTAATAAAATGAGACGCAGCAACTTCATTATAAAGGTAATTTAATTAGTATAGTCATACCAATAGCAATAAGTATACCCAATATACCTAAATCCAGTTTACAATTACACCGCATGGGTGGTTTTTTATTATTATTTGTTTTCAACTGGGAAACGTCTAAGATAGTGTGGACAAGACGGGAGGGGTCGTTTCAGCGATGATATATGACGGAAGAAATAAATCGGGTAATGTTTTAGGATAACAAGGTGAGAGACTGAGATTCTGTGAGAAGTAAATGTATAGTATGACATAAAAAAATCATATAAATGTTGGCCATGCACTGAGGTTATGCATGCACTCGATCAAGGTTGGGCTCGTTGTATCGTATAGTGAAACGGTCAAGCTATACTGAATACCGACGTAGGTATATACAAATAATGCAATGCAGTTTCGTTGTAAAAAGCAACTATAAAAACATATATTTTCAGTGCATATGTGCCCCAAAAATTGCCTAAAGATTCCTGCATTGGTGTTTATAAAATTTATAGAATACAACTCGACCGTATTCCTTTTCAACCGTTATCAAACGGTCTAGAAAAGTATCGAGTTATAAATTGGTTGCAAAGACAAAATCCCTTCAACGATTTAAAATAAATAAAATGATCATAGTCAGTCGACCTACCTGACGCGGCGATGGTATTTCTTTTCTTTGCTTGGAGAAGCTTTTGTATAGGCACCAGCCTCGACTATTCGCGGTTTATCACTGAATGAACGCTGTTGGCGAAATAATTAAATGCTTAAGTGACGAACCAGGCGCGAAACGCATCGTTATGTTGTAACATTGAAGCTCACCAAAAGATAGTAGAGGATAAGGATAATCAAAAATACGAAGTTATATAACTCAACAAAGCGCGAAACGTTTATAAAAAACCTTTATTATAGCATGGTTTGTTTTTCTAGTAACTCTTTCGTTACGTTTTGCAATTTTTTATGTAACTTTATACGATTATATATTCGTATGTAAAATGGCGGCAATTATGATTTTTCCTTGGAAATTTCCGCGCCAGAGGCCTGGATCATACCTACAAGAAAGGCTTTATGATCCGCCATCTTGGCTTCACTCATTAATGAGGAAAAGTCAGAGAGTGAGCGTTCCAGTCTTATTTGAGTTTACTGTTATGAGGTCGATAGTTAATAACTTGATAGATCTTGTCTAGCTAGAAGCGACGTATAGGTGGTATAAACTTCGTTGAAGTAAAAGTTATGTTATGACATATTTCAAGATAATCTGTTCTATCCATCAATATCTAGGAAAAAAGTTGATGCCCTAGTTAAATTTTTAACGACGACATACACATAGTTAGCCAATCACATCTGTGCAATTAACTGTCAGTGCGATATTACAATTGCAATATATCGATAGACAAACTGTCATAAAACCACCTTGTGTTCCGTATACAATTAATTTGATCTTTGGCATTTGGCAGTGCTGGTGTAAAACAGTTTCAGCATGAAAATTAACGAATCTTGGACTTGGTCAGAAATGTTGAAATCAGACAAGATGGGATTATACTTCGGAGAATTAACGATCTGGAGTTACATTGTTTATTTCTTTATACTCTTTTGCGGTGGGGTGGCGAACGTTCTTCTTCTATATGCGACGTATAAAGATCCACTAAAATGCTTTCGTAATCCATCAACAATTTTTATTTCCAATTTGGCTGTCTCCGACCAGATAAACAACTTCATGGGCTTCCTCGAGTTAGTTTTATCAACGACGCAAATTGGGGGCATGTACGCGGCATACCAAACGCATTCGGACGATCGATAGTTACCTCTATTTTGGGTGGATTTTTTCTTTCCAACTTCATATGTGTATTTAGTTTAGCTTTGGAGAGATATCTCGCTATTTCCCGACCGTTATGGCACAAAATTCACGTCACACGTCGCATTTGCGGCAAATGGATTGCATTCGTGTGGCTTATCGTTCTCATCAACGTTGGAATTTACATCCTTGTGGGACATATTCGCCCTAAACTAACTCCTTTAGAGTTTATCATGCTATCCAGTCCAAATTTTTCGTTTTTGTTAGAGACATTCGTCGTCTATTACATTGCCTTTCTGACAATACGAAGAAAACGCCAAATATTGAACAACGACGTATCCTCGAATGTTTCTCGCCAATCTGCCAAAGTTCGTTTAAAACACCAGAATAATTTTTTGAAAACAATTTTTATCGTTAACACTATTTTAATACTTGGGCTCCTTAATCCAGTTGTAAGTTTCTTCGCCATTTATTGGAACGAAAAACTTGTCGTATTGCATGATTCAATTGCAATGAAATTATTTTACTTTTTTCTAGACATATCTCTTCTAGTAAATTTTGTCTGCAACCCATTCCTTTATTTCTTGTGTTTAAAAAAATACAGAAGAACCTTTTTAGTTTTATACTTTAAAAAGTCGTCATAAGCTTTAACGGCATTTGAAAACAGTTATTCTTTATATATATAAGCAAGCATGCATAAACTCGATGCTTTAAAAAACTATAATATCTTGAGTTTTATTAAATATACTCTAATAACAACACAACGCTGTTTCCATGTATTCATGCATTATTATACGGCGACTATTAATTCCGTCCATCCATTCACTGATTCAACAATGATGTATAAAGTTAGAATTACTTTTGAAATTTGTTCAGGTTGAGCAGGTGCATACGGCATGACTTTTTTTAGATATATGTTTTCTAGTAAATTTTGTTTCCAATGTTTGTTTAAAAAGGATACAGAAGAACCTTTTTAATTTTGTACTTGAAAAAGTCGTCGCATGATCAGCTTTTTAGCTTTTAGCAAATTTGAAAATAATGAATTTTTTTATAGAAGCAAGAATAAACTTATGTTTAGATATTAAATATATTTTAATATATTAAATATAATTTATTAAATATACTCTAGTTAACAACCCAGCCACACGCAGTTCCAATCGTTATTATAAGGTGACTATTAATTCCGTCTATTTATAATTGTCTCGTGGCGCAAATTAAGATACACTGCATGTTTGAATGTCTAGAATTTTATGAAAATACTCTTGAATACAAAATTATTATATTATTATAGAAATAATATAAAGATATATTTTCTAAACGTCATGCAATGTTAAAACAGGACAAAGAATAATTGCTAAAAAATTTAGAGGAATAGAGAGTTTAAAAGCATGAAATGCGTGCAAAAGAATATTTTTATTCAGTTTTAACAATTTCACAAGATATTAAAGTTGAATTTTACATGAAAGCGTAGAATTCAATAATGTGGTTGCTTTAGATTTGATGATTAAACAGGGGGCGGTTGTATCAAGCCCGTTTAGCTTTTAAACATTAGATAAGTCATTTTGTTCCCTTGTTGAATAAAACGGCAGACTTAGGAGCTGATTACATGAGCCCTGTTACCCGAGATTCAACGAAGCGTGAGATGACTTTGAGGTATTGAAATAAGTCTCTATGATACCAAACAAGCACATGCTATTGTTGTGGTGATTATACGACTGTCAGGATCATGTTATTTGCTCATTTCAATACCTCAAAATCATCTCACGCTTCGTTGAATCTCGGGTAACCGGGCTCATGTAAACAGCCCCTTACTATCTATTTTAAACTCACAACCGGCCCTAGGACGGCTTTAAATAACTTGCTGCAGCTAAAATTACCGGTGCACAAAACTTTAACGTGATAAGATTGCTATTAGTTTCAATGAACACTGGTTCGGGAATCGGGATTTGGGGTAGGCTTAGTTCGAACAGGTCGGGTAGAATAAAAGCATAAAGGGCATATTTTAAGTGATTTTCGAGCTGGGTGGCCATTAACATGCAGAAAGGGGGCTGCCTGTTTTGACACAGGAGTCCCAGTGTCTTGGTCGTGGGTGCAGCTAAAGACAAGCGCGCCTTGGAGTCTTTTCTGCGCGTTAGCCTTCGAATTTGTTCTTAAATTTGGGCCAATTGTACTTTGTCTTTAATTAAACGCTCACTTGTTCATTTGTACATTGTGGATTTGTGTACAAAAACGCGTGCCTATATCTTCTAAAAACCATTTCACGGAGTTGGTGAAATGGTAGAATAAGGTGTTGCTCGGTTTACTTGTCCTTAAGACCTTAATTAACTAGCACATTTTCGTACAAGGTATAACATGCATGGTACGGATTTCTTCAAATAGTTTTCCTCAATCTTCAGTGATTTACAACCCCAACTTTCCCACTAAATGGCATTTTTTCACAAGTGAAAAACATCGTACGTCCAGTCAAATTGCATGAAATTAATTTACACAGTGAAATACGATTTTTATTTCATCATTCTGCTGTGCATATATAAAACACATTATTGAAAGTAAAGTTGTTTTCAAAAGAAATTGGCGAGGCTCAATTAACGTTCGATAGACGCCAATGGCAATAGCAGGAATTAAAGTAAATATCAGTAAAATAAGAATATACTTTTTACTCTACCTGTGGGTAACTGAGCGGTGGAAGATGGTCAAATTTCTCAGGACGGCCATGAACATCAAACACTCTAACATCGCTATTCTGAAAATAATAGCAGGTGAATTTTCATGGAACAGTATGTTAGGGGTCGGGATAAGACTAGGCATGCACATAATTTGAGAAAGTTCGGCGGGAAAATTCACGCCTCTCGACCAATCACCACGCGCGTACTATGAATGTTATATTGTAAAATAATATACGAGGGTAAATCAATTACGATTTTTTGGCACCTATAAATTCACTCGAAATAGGTCATTTCCAAAGGTTTTTTAAAGGGCCGTAAGTTCGAGTGCAATCATACACAAATCAATTCAAGCCAGGAAGAGTTGAAGAAATTAGTCAACTGTCCTTCCTCCAGCAGGAATGGAACCTACGCTTATGCCATACCGGTGCGGTGAGCTGTATACAAAGGTAGCTGACAAGAGCAAGCGTGGTTAGTGTGTATTTAAAGGTGGTAATGCCGAGAATAGGTGAGGGTAAATGAATTACGATTTTATGCCCAAAAAATGTGAATTGCAGGGTTGCCTATATGATGATTGATGTTATTATTTTGTCTTTGTAATAACAGTCGCATATTATGCAAGCCTGGGGCCCTTAATTATCACTTGATATTCCGACACCATCCAGTGATGCCCTTGTGTGGTGAGTAATTTTGATATGCAAAATATTTCTAAATGTGTAATTAATTGTACTGTAATTAATATATATACACCTTACATATATATATATTATATATATATATATATATATATATATATATAAACTTCTTTAATCATTATAGCTTGATTACTCCATTTGTTAATTGCTGTGTCATGACCTGCGCTTGATACATGTGGGAGGGCATATTCTAATTTTTGTGCTCCAGGCTAATCTTTTCTTTAGAAAACTTAATTTATTTTCATACATGCATCCATCCAATCATGATTACCCCTATGTATGTACGTTCTATTGCAATAATTATATTACTGTACTTTATATCAATTTATATACTAAGCTTTCAAAGAGGAGCTGCTGGCATAGGCTAGGATACAGTGGAAATTGGGTATGATGATATTTGTTATTTACTGAAGGGAATGGTAGCTAGGTCTTAGTTTATAAGAAGAAAAGAGAGCCCCAGAAATGCTGCAGGTCAACATTTCAGTTCAGCTTTGCTTCACTCTAATGACATGGATAATCATCGATCACAACAGCCTATTTAGAAAACTTAGCTCATCACACTTGCACACTAAACACATTAAGTTATCTAGAATGCTAGATCAACTAGATCATCATACCCCTCCCCTGGTAATAAAATACTACAATACTAGACCCAGCCCCTTTGGATCCCATGGCTTTTGAAATTTGAATGGACAATAGAAGATAAAAAATATCTTCCAAAGTCAAGACAGCTGGCTTCGAGTTAACAGAGACTGACAGAGAGAGGGGGGATATTAAGCGTAGGTCAAACTAGCTATTATAAATGTGAAACATACACAAAATGGCAGCATGACATTTTGAAATAAAATCGTCTACTTTGTTATTTTTTAACCCAGGAGGAGGGTTGTGCATAGGATTTCTGCTCTTGTTCGTCTCATTCGTCTCATTCGTGTGAACCAGCTTTAGGGCTATTCGGATAATTTATAATAGACACGACAGGTTGCGCGATTAGTTGAATTCATTATTCATATCGATGATTTATACTTTGTATATATACATATGGCACTGTGTGCAGTTAAAACAATCTATCATTGCTTTCGAACTTCGTTTATGTTCTTGATACAGAATATTTGGTGAATTACAGGGAAATGTTACAGTAAATAATGCGTTTCATTTCTTTAATAAAACGAATTGTTTTTATAATATATTATGCAGCTTAATTGCCCCCACATGCATTTACAACATCACACATAGACAATGCATTATATGAGAATATAGAGGAGACGATCAACCTATTAACATTCAAGGTAACTGCACGCGAGATTGATGTCTAGTGAAATTTCCGAATACACATTAAATAACCTTAAAATATAACTGTTAATCCTAAAAGCGCTAAGCCTTTGACAAACATCTTCCCCCTGGCCGAAGTAGCACCGACAAGTTTATAAATTGCAACATTTTATTTCCCGCGCTTACCGCTTGTCGCGCATGGCGATCGTCAGAATGATCCCATTCCATAATCAAACTCCTTCACCTAAATACACCCTCCAAATTTCTATGTTCATCTTTCTTAATCATACAATTCTAACGCCGATGCAATATTATGTCATATTTACGAAATGTAAACAATGACTTTGTTAAAGCTTCTTTGTTGTCAAGGCGACTGTGCATAAATTATGTCGGAGATTTCATATTTCATATAAATTTTACGATGATTTTACGGATAGAAAAGTATGGCCTGTATTCAAATTCACAGATTTTTTCATCTTCTAACTATTGTATTGTCAACTGAATATTCAGAATATTCTACCTAAATCTTAGTATTAATTTTGATGGATTCTCTTTTTCAGTTTCACGGAAAATATGTCAATATGTGATTGCCCTTTTTTGTGTCAAATGTGGTCACTTTCTTTCTTGTTCATGATCAGTATGATAAAATTTTTGGTCACATGGAATGGGTTACCATGATCATTAACCGTTTTAAATTTGAAAAATTCTTACCTGGTGACAACTATGGTGGGCCCTTCGTGCTTCCTCCCTTTTACAAGCCCCCTCCTTTCCAGCTAAAAGGGTACGTTAATCTGGTCCGAAACGGCTGCCCTGAAGTATATTGTCCCGAAGTATATTACACCGCCCTGTAGTGTATGGGATTTGTCCACTAATACGGCATAATTCGCATAAATTCTTACTCGAAGTCAAATATTACAAGTTACAGACACGAGTACTGCATAGCCTCCTCCGCAAGGTATCTGTTATGGTATTGAAAGTTTAGTGTAAGAAATTGTTTTCCATGGCTGCGTTCACACTGACACGGCACAGGAAGAATTTGGTACAGTGCTCGAATTCGTCCGGTTTCCTCGTGTAAACCGGTTAAACTTACATCCATTTTTACCGTGTGACTGCCTGAACTGGACGAATTCGACGAGCATGGTTCCAAATTCGTTCGGTTCCTAATTAAATGAACTTAGCCTATTACTATGTCATTAAAACATACCTACAGTGATCCAGTTATGGCTATCGCCGGAAGGTTTTAATTTGCTTCTACCAGTGGCCGGATAGTTGCTGCTGTAACTTGATTTTTGCCGCTATGAGCTCAAATATTTCGCTCCTTTGGAATTCCACTGTTTCACTTCAAATTTATTATACTGCACGTCTTTGCCTGACAATTCGTATCTCACTGATTCTTTTACGTGAGTCAAGTCGCTCTTTTGCAAATTCAACCCAGGAATCTTTGGCAAACTATCACAGAAGTTGCCTTCCTAACAAGCTATTGAAAGCCACAGGCTTCTCCGCTCGCACAAACAGGGTGTATTGAAAAATCCCACATGCACAAAATCATGCACACATTAAAATTTTAGTCTAATTGCGTTTAGGTAATTGTTGAAACGTATTTTAAAATCCCAGAAGCGTAATTAGTTGCACAGCTATTAAAATTCAAATGCTATTATGCTTGATATGCATGAGTACCACCTACCCATACACAGGGTGTCTAAAAAAAAAACGCAACACTTAAATATGCAAGAATATTAATATTGTTCGGGTTAGCACCATAGTTCAGCTAAAATGACTTTTAGCATTTTAAATGAAAGATTAAGAGCATTTTCAATTCCAAGAGGTGCTTATCTATTGCGCTTTAGAGCTGTATTAATGGTCTTGCATATTTATGTTTTGCATTTTTTTTGAGACACCCTGTACTGGTAAAGTTTTATCATTATACGCAGTAGTTCAATTATTAACAATTATTGGATGAGGTTGAGTGTGATATCGGGAATTATCAAGCCGAAGTTTGCATTATTCGGATAATGCAAACTGAGGCTTGATAATTTTCGATATCATGCGAAAACCGAATTCAATAATTGTTTTATTATGTGTTTCCTTTTTAGAGAGGAAGCCTGCGCCATTATTGACAACAAACTAGCAAGAACAAAGTTTAATAATATAAACCTAACATACAAGCATAACATTTTTCTGGGAAAGCTTCTTTCTAATCAAATAGCTGATCAGTATATATAAACAAAGATGATGGTATCACACGCATAAAGCTTAAGCCTTTGCATGCGTCTCATAGAGAACCTAATAATCTGGCCTGTAACGCCAGCGCGAGTTCATAATATGTATAACGATTATATACGATTGCATATTACGTGCAACCATTGAACAGAAAAAAACTGGAACGCTATCTTCCACCAGAAATGTGAGGTCGAATTCGTCGACGCGTGTCTGGAGGTGAAACTTGTCTTCAAAAGATTTTTTCCATTGCGCGCACATTCCCAGCTTTCTTTCATTCCTTTTAAAAACCTTATTTTGTACCGTAAGTTGGTCTCGTGTGGTGCAGAACTAGGAAAATGCTCATTGTTCAGAAGAAAAATTCGGCATTGCATAATAGGAAGAATCTAAAAAATTTAATGAAATTAAATTCAGGTCAATCGAAGTAACGTTAGCCCGTAAAACATAATATAGCATTACAGCGTCGCGATTTCATGACCTCGTCCAGGGACCATGATTGATTTAATTTTATTTGAACGTTACTTGGACCCTGTTTACACTAGCTATGCCGGATTCACATGACACCGCAGAAATTGGTGTTGGAAGTCAAATATCTCATCAGTTGCTCACATTTGAATCCTAGTATTCAGAAACTGCTGTCAAAGAAAATACTATCAAATAAGTTGAAAACAAGTTCAATTTTTCTTCCAATATCGGTTTTGGAAACTTTTGAAGGCTCTTCGTATGCATCTGCCACCGTAAAATGGCCATTTTGAGACATTTTCAGACATTTTCAGATGATTTGTTTTTGCCGTGTGCAAGCTTCAAATCTTTTGTGCAAGAGATATTTTGTTGAGTATTTATAAATCTTTTAGCTTGCCGAATTTAAAGTCTAAGTATTGAGAATTACGGCTAAGTCTACCAATTTCCGCGGTGTCGATTCACATGGTCACGACATCAGTTTAATGTCACCAGAACGTTTTCATTTGGCAGATCATATTTTAAAAGCAATCATAATTTTCGGGAGAAAACTTGCTTTGACATGGCTAATTTTGATATCATGACTTGTAATTCGCATAGTATATTCGGCACCTAAAGCCGAGGGAGTCAATTTTGGGGAATAGGGAGAGGGTGTGAATGAACACATTACAGTTTGAATTATGGCCTGATAAACGACAGAATAAAACGTATTTAAAAGCTTTACCTCTATCTCGCCGTTTCCTTCGAACAGTAATAATACAAAATGTAATTGCTACAATCACTACGAGAGCAGAAACGCCCACGGTGGCACCAAGCACCTGGTAATCGACCTGTCTTGATTTTTCTTTTGAAGCTATGGATGGGAATATAACAATTACTGAAATCGTTTTTAACATGATATGAAGAAATACCAAGCCGAAGTTATCGTTAAACGATAAATTGATGTCTAATATGCATGAAAACTCTTCATATCAAGTAAAAATTAATCTCGTTTGCGATTTCATTGCCCTAATCGAAGTATATATAGTATAGAGAACTATTTTGGAGGCTTTGATTCTAGTCTTCAGCCGTTTGCAACTAAATATTTTCCGTAGAATATGCGTTGAGTTTATCTAACCTGAGCATGGTTTCAATTTACATGATCGGAACTCTTCAGTTGCTCCCCACTCGCTACAGTTTCTATAACTTTTTCCACGGTGAGTCGCACAACGTCGTTTCCATACTTCAACACCCTCGCCACACGTGACACTACATGGTGATACTTTCTCCCAGCTGTCTAATGAAACAATTAGGCTCAATATCAATGAAAACTCTCAGGGTAACAAGGTTTCTATGTACATACGGACCTTGAATGCGTTCCTGAAAAAGAAACCCAATTATTTCCAGAAAAGTTTCAGGACACTAAAGGCGCTGTTACACTATGCAATTTTCCTTTCAACTTGCGATGCAATTATAATTATAAGGAGAACATGCGTGAAAGTTAAAAAAATTATGTTTATCACTTGTGCATAAAGAATTTGGAAATTTATTCTTAGATATCAATCCTAAAGCATAGGTATATATATATGCATAGCCAAAAATCACTTACTTCAGTTATTCAGTGAATCACACTAAGGTGTGGTTTCACAAAAAAATTAAAAATTGAGTCATACCGTTTTCAGATGGGTAATAGTTACACCGATGAAGTCAGAACGTAGAAACAAAAAGCTGACGAGAATCGTACGTCCAGCAGTGCATACCAATGTAAAAGAACTAACTTACCAGGACAAAGCTTTGTTGCTATACAAGGTCGTTTCTCGATTGGTTTTCCTAGATGACTGCAGTTTCTCCCACCGCGCTTAGGCTCTGGATTGTTACACTTTCTTGTCCATATTTCAAAACCTTCACCACAAGTGACATTGCACGTGCTGCTTAAAGACCATTTTCCATATTTACCGTCCACTAAATTATTCAACGAAATCGCAAATAGTTGGCAACTAGTCATCAGTCAGTTTCGTAAATATATACGCATCTCATATTCTTGCTGGCAGAGGACAGAAAAACTTTGTTATGTTGTATTTAACGTAAAAACAAAAAACTGGCGAGAATCGTACGTCCAGCAGTGCATACCAATGTAAAAGAACTAACTTACCAGGGCAAAGCTTTGTTGCTATACAAGGTCGTTTCTCAATTGGCTCTCCAAGATGACTGCAATTTCTCCCACCGCGCTTAGGCTCTGGATAGATACACTTTCTTGTCCATATTTCAAAACCTTCACCACAAGTAACATTGCACGTGCTGTTCAAGGACCAATTTCCATATTTACCGTCCACTAAATTATTTAGTGAATAGCAAATAGTTGGCAGTTATTCATCAGTCAGTTTTGTAATTCGTAAATACACGCATCTCATATATTCTTGCAGGCAGAGAACGGAAAGACTTTGTTCCGTTATGTTTAAAAAAATATATATTATATGCCTTTGTATGTAATTAAATAATTTAATTGGGAGGTTGAAATGCGGGCTGCGGTCGGAAGGAAGCATGCTACATACCTGGTTTACATTTTGGGATATCACAGTACTCCCATCTCTTGTTCCGATCAGTGGTAAAACACCACGGTCGCTGTCCGGAGTTCTGAGGATTTCGGCAATGATTCTTGGCGTTATTCAATTCTGGGTATGTCGTGTTCATGGTGTGGCGATGTGGACATTGTTCGGTCCACGACTGACACGGAATACCAGAGGCCGTCACAGATATGTTGCCATCGTAACTACTCCCGTTCAAATATAGGCAATCTGTTGTGCGAAAAGACTCTCATTTATTTTTCGTCTTCGCGCTTTATTGACATTGTTTTACAGATATTTCTAAAGTTAATATGCGTGCATTATAGGTATAGGCCTATTGCAATTGACTGAATGATATCATCCACAAGCAGGGCCTCGCACTCCTACTAACGTGGGAAGATAGAAAGAAACGTTTAGTCACATTATATCAATATGAAAATAGTTTGGGTAGGGGTTGTAGCAGCTCGAAAAATGACTCAAAATTAAGTTTCGCAGGCGATGTTACTTGCCTGCATAAATATCCAATTCTGAGACTTTAGATGAATCTAAAGAAATATATTTATTTAACTAAGTCACTTGAAAGTATCTTCTCCATAAATTAACCTAGGTTGCACAAAGTTTCTTACCCATGTCTTGCCTACCTATTGACTGAACATCTATATTATCTATATCACACCATGAATGTAAACACACGAATATTTTCTTAAACATTACCTGTAGAGCTTGAGAATTCATTATAATACCAGCATTCTGGAGAGTCGCCGGCATTTCGATACGGTTGTAGTTCACAACTGACGAGTTTTGCCATCTCCGGGTGTTGAAAAATAAGGAACCGTTCAAGTATTTTCCAGATATTGCCGCATATGTGCATAAAATCAAGACACGACTCTCGGCAAATAAATTGTCTTTTGTACACGCTTTGGGTGCGATCACAACTCGGCAAATAGTAATGACAAAATAATAAACCCAAAGCCTTCACGCAATTCTCAACAGTTGTGACATTTACTTTGAAAAAAATACTTATGTTTCTCTTATCCATCTTTGTGAATTTGTCGTAATCTGCATTCATATCGCGATTCTTACGAACTTGTTTAGCTGGTGTGTTATATATGTAGTTTGATAAAGTGATTCCGTGGTTTTGACAAAAAGGTCGCTTGAAGTTTTCCAGAGGGTAACACGAACTCCCTTTCAGTGTTGGCTCAGCTTCTGCAGGGGTACACGTGCTAAAATTAATTCATGGCCGTGTGTGAGTTTTTTTAGCGTAAAATTTTCTTCGCTTGACATTGGCTAATTTTTAATACTTCTGTATGATGCGTTCCAATAGATTTTATACCCAGGGAGCACAAAGGGGCCGTGTACACGTCCCTCACAAAAAGAAGCTTTCAAAGATCAAAAGCGGCCTTTTGTCGATCTGGCAGCTTTCGCAATTATACACTGCCCTATGCACAATCATGCTGCTCTTTTCATTTTTCGTGCCCCTCGAAATTTAAGATGCCCTCTTTAGGTTCCTGGATGCTTATACTTTTCGGATAATTTGATAATAAACACATCGTGCACGCGTGCAAGTGCATTCATATATAGAAAAGCGCGCGAGAAACCTGCTATTTGACCATATGAATTCAGCATGCATGCATCTATAGTTTCATTTTTCTAAGCAATAGCATGAGAAGTCATGATTTCATGAAGCAGCATTTCATGAATTTACTTTTGTGTGTTTTGTCTATTATCGTGTTCCCCTGTCCTTGAATTTCATAACTCAAATTATGCATCTATTATATATCCCATGCATGTAAGCTTTTCTGGATTAACCAAATTTTGGGATTTCTACTTAGTCGACTTACATAATACATGATCTAGCTACGTGATGTTCCTCAGCTTCATTAAAGCATTAACTGAATGCTTTTTTATAGCCTAGCACATGGCTTGTCCCTTCACATATCAACTGTGTTTTAATATAAATTATAGCATTCGTGCACTTATTGAAATTCTATACCTGTTGTTGTTTTGATAATAGCGTTCACCTGCAACAAATAAAAGAAAGTGTAGAGAAATTAATCCACTATCTGCGTTCCGGGCCAGGTAAAAGGCTATTGCCCACCAAAAGAAACCAAAAAATTTAATGGTGCTGAAACTATATAAGCAATGTGAGAAATACATAAAAAGAGCAAAAAACGTTTTAAGCGGAATGAAAGCTAGACCAGTAGACGGGAATAAGGTCGAACGACAAATCTGTCTGTGACCGGATTTACATCAGAGGGGTTTTCTTTCTCTAATATATATGAATTGTGCTATAATAAACAATTATTGGATGAGGTTTTTGTGATATGCAGAGTTATCAAGGTCGAGGTAAGCGTTATCGGCCGAGCCGGATCGAGGCGAGGCTGATTACACTTACCGAGACCTTGATAACTCTGCATATCACAAAAACCGAATTCAATAATTGTTTTATTATACATTTGAAGAATAGTAAACGTAGTATTAACGAATGAAAAACCTTATTTAATAGCAACATAATTGATTAATACATAAATACATTCAAATGATACCGCTTGATAACCACCGCAGGCTCACTTGCAGATAACTCAGTTATCTGCTACTAAGCAGATAACTGAATTTTGCGTGATTGCGCGATTTATCTGTGAACTATTAGCCAATCAAATTGCTTAAACTACTATAATATATAATAATAACAATTAAAAGTTCGATCATTCCAGGAAATAAATTTATCTTGCTTGTAAATATATTGCCCACTGTATTTTCCACCGGGAAATATTTGGTTCTGTTCTTCCGCGGAAATCACGATGTTTCCCTCCACTTTGTCTCAGACTCAGGAACCAGTTGCAAGTTTCGCAGAAAAACAACACTAGCTCACCCTTTTTCTGGATGGCACATGCATGCATGTATTTTATAGTACTCTATGTACTCTAGATGTAGTTTGCAGTACAAAAATGACGTTTATAAAAGGAAACAAGGCCAAAATAGTTTTATGTATACAAGAATCTTTTTTCTTCATGCATGGTATTACAAGATATCATTGAACTTTCAGTTTCGGGTTGCTAAAAATTAGCTAGCCTAATTTAGGTTGTTATGCATGCAGAGACAAGTCCACATTAATTCTCCGTCATTATACTGATTATTTAAGACTAAGTAGTCTTAATTGAGAAAAAAATGTATTTCAAAGCGTTCTGTTTTGGCAGCAGAAGTGCAGAACAATGCAGCTTGCGGTTCTCGTTGCGTCTTCACAAATTAAGTTAAATTTTTTTTTCATCATTTTGAACAAGCATGCATGCAGCAACTTTTACGGCTCCTATAATTTGAGCTATACTACATTGTTGACTGCTATGCATATGAGTGATATGAGAACAGTCAAATTATAATTATAAATCCAACGAGCTTCATATTTTTGACATGCATATATATGCATGCCTAGTATGAACTCATGCACTGCGAGACGATATAGTGCCAAACAAATATTTACCCGCGATACCGTTTGAGCAACAGTTGGACCGAATTTGATTCGTTCATTCAATTTTTCCGTTCATGGCTTTGCATGTTGACATATCATTGCCCGGAATGGTCTTGTGCATGCCAACACAGACGTGCACATTCAATTTATTAAAAGCGAGAAAGTGATTCTCTGAATATAGGTATGAATCTATTAGGAATCTATTTTTCTCAGTTTATATACATAATGAATATACCGCATAAACATTTTAAGAAGGGGTGTAATACTGACAGGCTTTCGGTGACCTTAACAATGGATATCAGACTGCTATATATAGCTATAACTACATTGATTTAATTCCATTACCATGGTCATGATGACATGAAGTGGGGACAGAGTAGATTCCATTCTACCATGCATATACATGCCCATGCTGGAGACTTCATAATCATAATGTATGTTCTTCTTAAAGTTTCGAAGACACAGTAATTTACAATTATATATTATACCTGCAACATTTGTATCCAAAAGTGTTATTATTGAAATCAGGACAGCAGCACAACCACAGAAATTAGCACTTAAATTCATCGTAAAGTCCTCGAGAAGCCACTATCGGGTCCTTGCTTCCGTTTAAAGATCGCGTTATTCTTATATATTGCTGTTACGCTTGAGCTCAGGAATACGATGTTAACATGCAGTGCAAGGTAATAAATAATGTGTTGGAAGCGATATTTCCTCATATGAAGTCTCAAAGACTTCCTGCGTAGGTAGGGCCTGATCACAATCAGGAGGAATGCCGTACATATACGGATTACGAAAGCATACGTAATGCTATTACTGCATGCTTTACTAATTTCGCACGTATAATAATATATCATCATATATGACGCCTGAGCAAAATAAGGGCCTCGCTAAGTCATTTTTAGTAAAAATATACTGACTTTCCTGTTCAAAGCAATCTCTTGCCGAATGTGAATTTTCCCTTTAGGCGAATGCGATAAAGAAGCTACGAAACTTGTTCCGCGTGCCGAACATGATTGACTTCCTCAATTGAGATTAAAGCGATTAAGGGAAAGCACTCGAGAATATGAGCGTAGAGAAAAAAAGGAATACCCCCGTTAATTTGCTATGAATGTATCGGAACATTAACTGATATTGGCCATGAAGGCTGGTTCTGTTCTAATTCGTCGTACTTCACATTTCGTGACCAAACAGTTATTCAGATTTCACGTAATTCCCGCCAGTATATGATCAAGACGAAAGATAAACAATATAGACATCCGGTCAGTCGATTCAGCATTATAATTGTGGTTTTTAGCGACGTTTTAGCAAACACGCCCCCTTTAACAAGAGACAAAATGATTTATTATTTATCTTCACAGGAAATATTCGCGCGGTTTTGTCATGTATATTAACCCGTTCAACCGATTGAATTTTATCAATGTTCCTTTACCTGAATTAAACCGGTTCTCCTTTTCGAAGCCTATGTTATATATCGAGCCTGTTTTGCTGCTTTTTCGCAGTTTCAGCATAACTACTTTTTCTTTCTGATAAGAGAATATTTTAACAAGACCTTTTCAAGGAAACGTTTTCAACAAATCATTATATGATATCGCTATAGTCTGAACTATCTCGTGGACAATTAAGGTATTATAGAGCAGTACACACATGCAGTACGTGTCTTTATGAATTTCTCATAAAAGTATTTTCTCATAACGAAGGAGAATTAAGGCATTAAATCATTAAATGTGATAAAAGCGCCGATCTGATTTGTCGCACTCTGTCCCTGAACATGGTCAACTTTCAACCTAATATAATTAGAACTATGAACTCACTCACCAGGACAAGTCTCCCTGATACAAGGTCGTTTCTCAATTGGTTCTCCAAGATGACTGCAGTTTCTCCCACCATGCCTAGGCTCAGGATTGTTACACTTTCTTGTCCATATTTCAAAACCTTCACCACAAGTAACATTGCACGTGCTGCTTAAAGACCATTTTCCATATTTTCCATCAACTATAAATGATTAAGCAAATCGCATCTGACCAGTGAGCATATTGACGTGTGAAGAACGGAAAAACGTTGTTCCGTTAATTGTGTTTGGCACTTTCTCTTTTGGAAATTAGAACATACACAAGCTTTCGAATGAATTTTTATGAAATGATTTCTTTGAAGGTTAAATGCGCCCGGGATGCGGATGGTGCTAATTTTCCCATGCTTTAATTTGTTTTAAAGTGTTTACCTGGTGTACATTTAGGGATATCACAGTACTCCCATCTCTTGTTCCGATCAGTGGTAAAACACCACGGTCGCTGTCCAGAGTTCTTAGGATTTCGACAATAATTCTTGGCGTTATTCAATTCTGGGTATGTCGTGTTCATCGTGTGGCGATGTGGACATTGTTCGGTCCACGACTGACACGGAATACCAGAGGCCGTCACAGATATCTCTCCTCGGTAACTGCTCCCGTTTAAATGCAGACAATCTATTGTGGGCAGAAAGATGATTGATTGGTCGGAATTGCCGCCATCACTTGAACACTACTGTAGACATTATGAAATGAATATGCATGCCGGATAACAACACAGCAAGCTATAAATTAGTACAAATTGACCAATTCACATCTTTTCGTTATTGAGCTTATGGGCACTGTTTTGAGAACAGATTTTGCTGCAACTTAATTTTTCCTTGACAAATTTTAGATAGAGAAATATCGTGAAATAATCAGTAAATTCTCGGGGAGCTCTGCTTGGGACTCCAGCTAGTCTCGGATAGCATTTTTCGTCCGCCTTCTAAGGGAAAAAGAAAACCAAAAGAGGCTTCTTGTCTCGCAATAGAATTGTAGAAAACGTTTGGGGTGCCAGGTGCAGCACGTAAAAAATGACACTTGCCTGCATCAATAGCGTATTCCGAGACTTCGGATGAATCTAAAATACAAAATGTATTTAGTTAAATCACTTAACAGCATCTCCTCAGCGAAAAATCCACCTGAGAAAAATTGATAAACATCCAATATTGATACCAGATACCTCCGGAAAATATTTTTCCATCTGGACCACGCAGCCGGCAAATAACATGTTATATAATAATATACCGTAATATGGAATTACTCGAACTTGGTGAGGTTGAAGATGTTTAACAATGATGATTTAGGATGATTTGGAAATCAAGCACGTCATTTAAATCGTAAACTAGGACTAGTTTCAGTTCTAAAAGATTACCTGTGGAGTTTGAGCCTTCGTTGTAATACCAGCATTCTGGGGAGTCACCAGCATTTCTGTACGGTTGCAATTCGCAACTGACGAGTCTCATCTTTTTTGGGAATTTGAATATAAAATACTGTTCAAGCACTTTCAAGATATTTCCACACATCTGCGTAACTTTAAGACACGACTCTCGGCAAATGTATTGTCTTTTGTACACGTTTAGTGTGCCATCACAACTCGGGAAATAGTAATGACAAAATAATGAACTTAAAGCCTTTATACACCTCTTTACAGTGGTGATATTTACTGCGAAATATCGACTTATTTTTGTCGCACCTATCTTCGTCACTTTGTCGTAATCTGAATTCATATCGTCATTCCTACGAACTTGGTTAATTGGTGTGTTGTATACGTAGTTTGATAAAATAATTCCATGGTTTTGACAGAATGGCCGCTTGAGGCTTACCAGAGGGTAACATGAGCTCGCATTCAGTGTTGGCTCAGCTTCTGCAGATATGCACGTCCTATAATCAATGGCAACATGTGAGAGAATAATAGAATATATGCCTTGGCTCTCTCCCATGCCAAATAAACTTACTTTATATAACTAAAAATTCGTTCACTAATTAAGAATTATACCTGTTGCTGTTTTGAAGATGGCGTTCATCTAGAACAATCAAAAGGAAGTTTCAGAATAGTTTGTATCATATCTTCTGTGCATGCCTTGCACCAACAATTCAAACTGTTACATTTGCAGGTTTGACCTTACATTGTAAGTATATAGGTTGAGGTTCCGGCCAATATTCAAAATTTTATATTATATTACCTGCAGCATTTGAACCCAAAATCATTATTATTATTATAATCAGGGCAGCAGCACTACCACAGAAATCAGCGCTTAAAATCATCGTAAAGCCTCGAGAAGGAACCACTTCTTTGAATCCTTTCTACCTCTATTTTTGACGTTATTCTTTATATTGCCAACTGCGCTTGAGCTCAGGAATACGATGTTAAAGAACGGTGCGTCAGTCGTAACTGACGAAAGCGATATGTACTTAAGCTTCCTCACATTAGACTTCTTTTGTCATAACTGTTTGGCCGGGGAATGTCGTATACGGAATGTCGTATATGCATACATGCATAATGAATTAATCTGCCCTATTAATTTTGTCAACGTATAATTTACATGACCTTGTACTTGATTAACTATAAGTCATATCCACGCCTAGTTAAGTCAGAAGTCTTCCAGCGTTTTTCTAGTGAAAATATCATTTTCCTGTGCGAAGAGATTTGTGATACGAACTGTGCTATAACAGCCCATGCAATGTGATAAAGATGCCGGAAGTTGTTCCACGTGCTGAGCTTGATCGACTTCCTTGATTAAGATTATCTTTTTCAATTGCCTATATAATTGAAACATACACGCACCTTGACAGTAGACAAAACAAATTCCTGACTTCGAACGAAACATTCGCTCTGTTTTGTCATGTTTACACGTTGAATCGGTCAAACTTTCATAATACGAAAGAAATCGAGCCTCGCTATGCAAATCCTAAGTTGCACGATGATTGTTTTCACTTTTAATAAACACCAAGTATTAATTAGCATAGTGCAGGGGTAAATCGTCAGGTTGGCCACACCACTGTTTACGGGTATACAACATTTGGAATAGATAATAAATTATGATATCGCCTCGCAGCCTTCACACATTTTTATCCTATCGATCTATCCTGTGTGTGAACTATGACAGGTCAGGAGATCTACTCACAAACCACAACGGCTAAATAGTCACACTATCATGCAATTTCTTCTAATATATTTTTTATCATCAGAAAAGGGGAAGGAGGAAATTGTTCCGCAACCTGAACATGATCTACTTCCTTAATTATGACTTAAAATTAATCAATGATTAGTTAAAGGAATTTTTTAGTTAAAGGATAGTTTATTTAAATGCATCTACTTATGATTTCCTATATACATAATAGACTTGGTTAAGTCCGTTGAGAATTACAGTTAAATTGCTGTATTGCCAGTGGCGTAACCAGCCTGACGATTTTGTCCTGCTATGTAAATTTCAAGTTATTATAATTATTCATGTCTTTAGAAATCTAATAATTTACTCTTAAAATATCTGGTATTATCTTTGTTCCTTTCTCATGCATTAACCACTACAAATCGTATTTTTGAAAAATATTTGGTGAATGCCTTCGTTGCATTAAATCTTCTAATATATTTTTTATCATCAGAAAAGGGGAAGGAGGAAATTGTTCCGCAACCTGAACATGATCTACTTCCTTAATCATGACTTAAAATTAATTAGTTAAAGGATTTTTTTAGTTAAAGGATATTTTATTTAAATGCATCTACTTATGATTTCCTATATACATAATAGACTTGGTTAAGTCCGTTGAGAATTACAGTTAAATTGATGTATTGCCAGTGGCGTAGCCAGCCTGACGATTTTGTCCTGCTATGTAAATTTCGAGTTATTATAATTATTCATGTCTTTAGAAATCTAATGTTTTCAAAGTCGGTGAACACGAAAATATTAGCATAGCGGGAAAAATCGACAGGCTGGCTACGCTACTGTGTATTGCTCTCAGATTTATGGCTAATTTTGTAAATATTTCAGTTTACCAAGAACTAATGTGATAATTTTTTTGTTCCTGCATAATCGGAAAAGGCAAAACTTCTGACAATCTTGTAAAGGTGTCTTCAAAATATCTGCAATATGTATGTGAAACTAATTTATCAACATTGACATTAAATATCGTTCTTCTTAAGTTTTAAAAGTTTTCATAGTTAACTACAATATATAGTTATAAGGAGTTGTAGTACTTCAAATATCAATATTTCATAATAGTAAAAAATGAATTAAATTTTATATGCCAATAATATATAAGTGCAAAATATTCCCTGATTATATTCAGTTATTGTAGCAACTCGCCATTTATAAGGTATAACAAGTTTACAAATTGAAGTTGCAATTGGCTATTGACACTATTGACACCACTGAAACTATGTGCGCTTTCCATTAAGCGGCCAAAATGGTCAGACCGGTCATATTTTAAATTGAAATAGAGTATTTCGTTAAGAATATAGCGATAAAACTATATTTCCTGTGCTAGACAGGTGTAAAAAACGATATACGTGAATGCAGAGTTCTTGCAACACTCTAAAATACTAGTAATCTGTCTGTACCGAAATACAAGAGGACCAGTCTGGCCGTTTTTTCGGTATAAAGGAAAGCGCCCTATATCATGCGGACAAAATGTTTTATTTTCCATTGAAAAAATCCTGCTTCATACATGCAGTGGTTGTAACTATGTTTCAGAATTAGTACCTCGGAGGTCGTCTTTGTGTAGCTTGTCTCCCAGCGCTCCGAAAAAATGTTCGCTATTCAGAAGGCAAAGTATTCATGGGGAAATAGGGAGAATCTGGAAAATTGAATAGAAAAGAAAGTTCAATCAGTCACTATGATGAGAATTACTTAAGTATTAATTGTTCATTGAAAGTTCAACCTTTATTTCGTCGTCTTCTTCGAAGAATATTAAAAAATATCAGAGCAACGGCAATAACAAAAACAGAACCAGCAGCAGTGACAAAAATCGTCCAAGATTCAAAGGATTTTTCTGATTTCTTTTCTCCTTAAACCAACATAGGTTTGTATAAGCTTGTTTCAATCATAGACCGAATATGCATAATATATACCTTCAGTCTAAGAAAATAAGACCTCCCCACAAACCACTAAATTATAACTGTAAAACGTTCTAACTTACCTAGACAAGGCCTTAGTATGCAAGGTTTGAACTTAATAGACTCTCCAAGGTGACTGCAGTTTCTCCCACCATGCTTAGGCTCAGGATTGTCACACTTTCTTGTCCATATTTTAAAACTCTCGCCGCACGTTACATTGCAAGAGTTTTTTAAAAACCATTTTCCGTATTTTCCATCAACTGGGTAATAAAACAATTTTTTACTGACTTTAAAAATTAACTGTTGCTTTAAAAGTAATTTATTTTTCTATCGCAATTAGAGCTGCACTTACCAGGACAAGGCTTTGTTATGCAACGTCTGTTTTCAATAGGTTCTCCAAGATGACTGCAGTTTTTCCCACCATGCTTGGGCTCAGGATTGTTGCACTTTCTTGTCCATATTTCAAAACCTTCACCACAAGTGACATTACACGTACTATTTAATGACCATTTTCCATATTTCCCATCAACTAAAGAATACAATAATATGTTATAAATGTAGATCGTATAAAAGGTACAACATTCTTCTTTTATCATATTTGTCTCTAAGGTTTTTCTTTCTTTCAGAGTATTTTATATAGGAGCAAAAATATATACTTGGCAGGGTCGTGGAATATAATTAGAGTGCAGCGGAGGAGGAAGGATATTTCCACTTCCTCCAACTCTGTGTGCTGTTCATTTTTTCGATATTAACACATACCTGGTTTACATTTAGGGATATCACAGTACTCCCATCTCTTGTTCCGATCAGTGGTAAAACACCACGGTCGCTGTCCAGAGTTCTGAGGATTTCGACAATAATTCTTGGCGTTATTCAATTCTGGGTATGTCGTGTTCATCGTGTGGCGATGTGGACATTGTTCGGTCCACGACTGACACGGAGTTCCGGAGGCCGTCACAGATATCTCTCCTCGATAACTGCTCCCGTGTAAATGCAGACAATCTATTGTGGACAGAAAGATGATTGATTGTTCGGACTAGCCGCCATCACTTGAACACTACTGCAGATATTATGAAATGAATATGCATGCCGGATAACAACACAGCAAGCTATAAATTAGTACAAATTGACCAATTCACATCTTTGTTCGAGGCGGACTACATGCAATGCTGTATGGGCGTGGCCTATACAGGCCTGTACCTGGAGGGGCTTTTTCCGAGTCTGAGCTCGGGAATAAAATTTAATAAATGATATCACTACCCGCCTGCAGGCCCACTGGTAATTCGTCACCGTCGAACATAGCCTTTATCATGGTCCCTCCCATTAATTTATTGTAAGCTGAAAGAACTCCAAAATTTAGTTTTACCCTGTCACCCACCTGAATAGATTGATAGATCTGGAACGGTGGATGAATCTAAACGTAAAATATACAAAATTCACATAGCTAGTCAGAAATGTTTACAATCCTGGTTTACGTTTTCCCTTATGGAAGTGCAGACCCTACTTTTACTATGACAGCAATCCGTTTAATCAATCTTTTAACTGTGATTTTCATTTTCATATTGACGAAACTGAACGCGTCTAGAAAACATCATGCGTAAGCCTAATAAATTAGAAAATGCCTGCGGAGAGGAGAGTGTGTCTTCACCACTATTACTTAGATATACGTCCAATGTAATGGGTCTGTAATCTACAGAAAACCGTTCTCTCGTAATTACCTGTAGAGTTTAAAAGGTCATCGTACCAACATTCTGGGGAGTCACCGGCATTCCTGTACGGCTGTAATTCGCAACGGACATGACTCTTACTCTTGGATGATTTGATTGAATACTTCTTTCCCAGCATTTCCCATATTTTACCACATATCTGCTTTGCTTCGATACAGGTCTCGCGACAAATATATTGCCTACTGAACACACTTCGGGTTCCATCACAACTGGGGAAAAGGTAATGGCATGATATTACACTCAAAGCATCCATGCACTTTTTGACAGTGGTGATATTCACATCAATAAGTAAACTTATTCCTGCCGCGCCGATATTCTTGTAGACGTCGTATTTTGAATTTAGATTTTTATTCCTCTTAATTTGGTTGGCAGGCGTGCTGTATACGTAGTACGCCAAGGTGATACCATGGTTTTGACAAAATGGCCGACTGAGATTTACCAGAGGGTAACACGAACTTGAGTTAAGTGTTGGCTCAGCTTCCGCAGGAGTGCATGTTCTACATCAGGAATGGATGAGCATTACTTCGCTTGTTACGGCCTTGTTACACGGTGCGATTTTGCAACTTGCAATGCAATTCTACTATTAAGAGATATAAATTAGTGAAAAATCTTCAAAATGTAAGTGTACGAAACGTCCATGGAGTGTGATAAACACAAACGTCTCATAGTTGCAAATTTACATCTCTGAAAAGAGGAATTGCATTGCAAGGTGCAAGAAAAATTGCACCGTGTAACAGGCTTTTAAGAGAACTTATTTCGCACAATTGTCTGTCAAAATAAACCAAATTTTACCTGTTATTTAGAAGACGCTGATCACCTGTGATAAAAGAGCAATGAAAGAAAGCATCAAATAATATCTAGAAGGTTAGTGGTCTTAAATGGTCAGGAAATTACTACATGTATATAAACCATACACGCTTATAAATTATCCCTTATTCAGGGAAGTGACACAAACTCGTGTACGGATAGAAATCTACAGCCGCAAGTCAGATACTACAAAAGTCGAATCACACTTTAATACAGGACACATGCTATCTCGGAGGGACGGAGGACCAACAGAAAAGAAATAATTTACTAAAGCAGACCATGCAGCTAGTTTACTTGCACTTGCACTTTCATCGAAGTTCGGAGTCTCTTGCGCTATTTACCGTTATACATGCGTATATAGGCCTGAGTACACACTGACAGCATATCTACATTTATTATATAACGTTAGTTAATTCTCTAAACGTTTCGTCAAAAATTACCCTACAATATACTGTGTACATTATTACCTGCAACAATTGTAAACAAAAACGCTAATACAGCCAACACCGTAGTACAATTACGCACTAAACGGCTATGAACTTCCATCGCTAATTCCTGAAATACCAAACTTGCTTACGGGTAGGTATAGGTTAACTATATTTGATATAGAGCTTAAGAATCAATAATACAATGTTGACAGTGCGTGATAGGATGTGTTGAGATCGAGTGATACTTCCTCATAACTTGGAGGCGGAAGCGTTATAAGTATATATGTATAAATGTATAATTGAGAAAAGATATCCTGTTAGAAATGACATACATTTTTTGCAGCACATTTGATTGGAATCTGTGCCTGCATGCCATAAAACAAAAGCCTGTCCTCGTGGTGTTTCTTGTTAAAATATTATTTTCCCGTGAGAAGATATCTCCTGTCACAGAGAAGTTCACTTAATTAAGAAGCAGAGACTCCAGTCTTCCGCATACCAAATGAGATTAACGTCCTGCTTATAATTAGTTATTCAAGCACTCAAAACAATATAAACAGAAAGAAATACACTGGCTATTCCATGGTCACAACATCTGAAATGGTTAATTTGCATGCAAGCTGAAAAGGTCTATTGTGAGAATTCGACCGTAGCGGATTCTCTTCATCGGACAAAATTGAAAAGAAAATCGAGCAAAAAATTTCGTTCGAAATATTTGCATATTTACTTTTAAATTGAGAAGTGAGAACAGTCATGTGAGAAAATATGCAAATATTTCGCTGTAAGTGGAAATCCAGCCTTAGTATATAAAATTTTGTAGAAAGGTGAGTTACGTTTTCACATATAATTGTACCCGTTAAAGCCTAAAGTTTAATAGCCAGAAGCCTGAGTTTGTAAGAAACAAAACATTACCTCACTGCTATAAAACTACGTCATTCTCAAGGAATGGAAGCCACGACAAAATAGATAGTTATATAGTATAGTTGTTGCCAGAACAATACTATTGCTCAAGGCGTATTTTTGACTTTATAAGGATGAGATATTCTTGATAGAATCGTGCATAGCGTCCTGAACGCATAATTTACGATATCATGCGGATGTATAAGAAGGGAAACTTAACCTTAATTCAAACTTAAATTGCCAACGAGATGAAAAGATCTATTGAAAAGAAAATCGAGCGAAAAATTTCGTTCGATCGAAAACCGCGTAAGACTGCTGTCAGTGAAAACGTTTTTATACATCTCCTAAAGGGTAATTATTTTTGGAATTGCAAAATACTTGCCCTAAGTTTGCCTTTACCTTTAAGTTAGAGTGTGAATGTTAGAACATGGACATGAATAACATGAGTAACATGAGTCTTTAGTAACATGAGTAACATGAGTAACATGAATAACATGAGTAACATTAGTAACATGAGTAACATTAGTAACACGAGTAACATTAGTAACATTAGTAACACGAGTAACATGAGTCGCTGAGCCTGTTTGAAATGGGAGGAAGCACCAGAACGTGAAGCTAATTTCATACCACACCCAGAATTTTATCCCTACCGGTGTCCCAGGAAATTTGGCCCCCCCGGGGGACATATTTCCTAGGAAATCTGGCCCTCCTTTCGGAAATTTGGCCCCCTCGAAAACATATACTTTATAGTTTATTGCCATGAGTTCGAAAATCGCGATCACGGAACAAAGGACCTAAAATTTATAGCTTTGAACCGAGAACACGAAACGATCAAGAATTTCTAGTTATTTTGGCCTAAATTCCGCCGCAAGATGCCAAAGCGAAAGAACAAAAAATGGATGAAGAAATCATTCCAGATGATGCAAAAGAAGGTATGTGCTCACCATTCATTTTCTAAAATGTAATGAATATGACTCCAAAAATGTAATAAATATGACTATAAGTAACGTCTTCTTATCTATATACTTCAGATGACCAGAATAGCGACGAGTGGGTCAAGGCGCTCGGGCTGAAGAAAAGCGATCGATCTGATCTTCGCAAAAAGAGTATGTTGAACGATCGAATCATAAATGCTGCACAAAAGTTAATAAAGAAGAAATTCCCACTTGTCGGTGGCCTTCAGGATCCCCTGTTGTCACAACTATCATTCAATCGTTGCACCAGCGAAGGAATTCAGATCCACAACACTGGTAAATGTCACTGGATTACGTCGTCGTGCATTGGCGGGCAGCCAGTAAGTGTGTATGATAGTCTGTACGATGATTTAACAGAATCCAGCGAAATACAGCTGGTACAATGTTACAACAATTGTGTCGACCAGGCGGGCCAGCTTCATATTGAAATGGCTTCATTTCAGAAGCAGAAAGGATCTACAGATTGCGGTTTATTTGCCATTGCAAGTGCATATGAGCTTGCAAGTGGAAATACGCACTTTAATTACGAAGTTCCGTTTGAACAGAAGGCAATGAGAGAACATTTAATCGCCTGCTTCGAGAATGAAGAACTATCGTCGTTTCCTCGTGCCCAAAAAGCGGCTGCAATGGGCAAAAACAACGAAAAACTGTTATCCATACAAACTCATTGTGTTTGTCAGTTGCCAGAATGTGGTGATATGGTGCAATGCGACCTTTGTGACATGTGGTACCATTTAGCATGTACCAATTTGAGCCAAGCTCCTGGCGAAAGTGACGATTGGCTTTGCCAGTCATGTGCGCCGCTTTTGTAAATAAAATTAAGTGACCTAATTGTAATTGTAATTTTTATACATAGAACTTAGTCTATATACATTCCTAACATTCGTGTGCAATTAGTAATTCATAGTACTTTAGGAATATTGTAGTAAATGGAACTTTAGGAAATAATAAAAAAACTTTTTAATCGCAAAATATTTTTTTTATTATCAGAATTCGGTCAGTAATGAAATTAATTAATAAATTAAAACTTTTAAACTCTTAACGGTTATCTCTAGCTCTAAAATGGTAAGGTAAACTGTGTTTTTTAGAGGGGGGGCCAAATTTCCGAAGGGGGGGCCAAATTTCCTAGGAAATTTGGCCCGGGGGGGCCATATTTCCTAGGAAATTTGGCCCGGGGGGGCCAAATTTTCGGGGGGGCCAAATTTCCTGTGACACCGGGTTTTTTTTGTCCCGCCTCTCCTGCTCTGTGATCCATGGTTAAACGGAACAATATAAAAAGTGTGCATAAACCACCTCCGTTTCTTCGTCTTCCTCGAATAAAATCGCAGTTTCCAACAGCAACAAAAAGTAGCTACAACAACGCAGGCGCCGCGGTAGCACCAATTATTCGCAATTTAAGCTGCGTTTACACTACGTGGTTTGACCTGGCATGGACCTGACCTTGACCTGAACTGGAGCACGATTTTTGTAATGTGAATGGGTTTTATCTAACCTGCACTATATTCAACTTAAGAGCATAATTCGGCATTCTAGTATTACCATGCACTTTTCGGCGTGTTTTGGGTCTTGTTCCCAGTATTTTGTCAATTATGTTGGCTATCCGATATCATCAACAAGTAGGATAGTGTGAACGTGGCACTGGGAGACGATAATTGGGGGGAAACTTGCTTGGAAGATTACAGACATGTAGAGTATTTTCGATCTGGGCACGAAACATTGAAGTATACACTTGCCAAATCTCGCAAAAATTTCTAATTGTCAGTTGCAACCACCGAGAAATGCGGGCGTGGCTCCAGAGTGTTGGTATCACAAATAATCAGGTACAATCTTTGTCAGTTACATACTTTTAATGGTCAAAAGCAAATCATAATCACAGATTGTACAAACCAGGCTAAAAGTATGCAGTACAAATTTGTTCTATCGACTTATTCCGTGATTTTTTATGTGTTAACATGCTCATTTATAAAATTTGTCTACAGGAAATCGATGTTGTCGATGTAAAGTACAAAAACACGGATGGTGATTTATTAAACAAAATAACGCTATATATAGTCGCTATTTATTTCATGGTGTGCAAGATTAATTTCTTTTTAAATCGATTGTCTATAGGTCTGTTAACGTGACTATATGAATATGTGCCACCCTCCCTGAAACTACGTGTCTCGTACGCCACCGTAAAGATAAAAAAATACAAAAAATTGGGCTGTCGCATCTGGGCCACTGTCCTCCAGACTCCAGTCTCGCTACACAGTTCTTTGTGTTGGAGGGGGATCTGGGTCTACAGTCACTTCATCTGGATCTACATTTATTACATCCGGATTACCATCAATTACATTTGAGTCTACATTCGCCACATTTTCTTTCGATACATTTGGATCTGCCTTTTTGTCAAGCTCTTTTGGGGACGAGTTTAACATCGCTAATTCACCACGATACATGACTTGTTGCGCTGGAGTTGATGTACTCCTTCCTGAAGTTGTTGTTGCGGCACTTGCAAACTGTATATCCTGATATCAAGGAAAAAATATTAGGCTTTCATTACGGACAAGTATAATTACAAGAGCAATTATTGAAAATTTGTCCTCTGATTGATCAAACGACCTCAGATTACGCGATACTATAGCTATACATGCGGCGATAAACACCGAAGCCGATTTTAGCTTGACCTAAATTTTTTTCGCGGTAAAAACACCGTTAGGAAAGACTGTCATAATTAAAAAGGTGAATAAAAGGAAAAATACTTTGCCCCTTTAAAATTAGGAAACACCATTTATGGTTCAGTGATATGAAAACAAAATGTTTGAGTACTAACCTCTAAACATTCGCAAAAACAACAGAAGAAGTGATGAAAGGGACTTCGATCGTGAGGATGAACATAAAATCCAGCACAGCAGTTGGGTACTCCATCTTCGTCACGGCAACCAAAAAAACCAATAGGGTCACATGATTTGAGACAGCTACAACATTCCAATCCACAGCAGTCGCATGAATTGAAGCAGTCACATGATTTAAAACAATCGCAGTCGCACCATTTAAAGCAATTGCAGTCACTTGCGTTACATTGCAGCCCACAACAGTCGCAGGACTTCAAACAGTCACAGGACTTCAAACAGTCGCATCCATGAAATTCGCAGTCCCCGCAGGTGCAATCTTTGCAATCACAGTTACAGTCATTTAAACAGTTGCAATTACTGCAATTGTTAATGCATTCCCCACAATCTCCGCAGTCCCCACACTCTCCACAATCCCCACAGTCCCCGCAGTCACCACAGTCCCCGCCGCAGTCTCCACCGCATTCATCCCCCATAACATGAAACTTGTCAGGCAACAGGCAATATCGACTACAAAATGAAGTTAAAGTAATCAGAGATGGCTCATTTCATTCTTGATCGTAGGTGAATCAGCCTACAGTCAGATTGCACAAGAATCACTGACTATTTTAAAACAAATCTAATGTATAATAAACATAACTAGGCAAATGCATGGGGTCGTCCTCGATCCTGGACCCCCTCAGATTCTATCCCCTAAAAATTTTCTCACGAAAATTTCATACGCTATACCTCACGTATGACGTGCTTGCCCAATATTTGCTTTAACATATTTTTATATCTTTTCCATGGGTATAAAAATATGTTAATTTTCCAGGAAATTAGATTTATTGTGGTGGAATTAGTAATGGAATTTGACTGGTTAATGAAAACATGGTAACAGGAAGGACATCATGATCAAGAAGTTGACCAAATGAGTTGCTCAATATTTTTCTCAGTGAATAAAATGTTTGTATTGCTAAATATACAACTCGGACATTTTCAAATATGAATATTGCAGCCGATAAGAGGGTAATTTAATCTTGATCCAGGCACACGTACACTTCTTTTAGAGTTGAATATTTCTAATTAGTCAATGATATAGGAAAAGCGTAGGAGTTTCCTAAGACGCTTTTTGAAGTAACTGCATTAACTCCGGGTATGCAAATCAAACAATTTATTGCAAGCAATGCATGCAATCAGTGCAAGCACTTATTGCTCGAAATTTTTGGCAACGCTTCTATTACAACGAATGTGAGTTATGTAACTCATACTTAAAGGACTTTACAAACATTTTCACTTTCATTGGGAAATAAAAAATCGTTTGTTAGCCCAGCTTCGCCGTTTATCGCTATATATACTGCATTAAACGCGATTTCTATAGGCCGACACAGACCGGACGCGATGCGGCAACGCGACGCGAATTTTGAGTTTTCAGAAGCATATAAATTAAATTCTGGAAGTAAAATTTGGAAATTATGGACGCTAGAGGAGTCAAAATGTTTTATTGTTATGTCATCTACAAGAATATTATGATAGTTTAAAACTTTGATTTGATTTTGAAAAATTAAAAACGTTGAAAATTCACGCCGCGTTGCCAATTCGCGTCCGGTCTGTGTCGACCTTATCTTTTCCGATATAAATTGTGTTTAGCCTTAAAAGGACGGCAATAAAAAATATCTGATCTTTGTTTATTTTAAAAGAAAGTCGTGATTATTTAAAAAAATCGTTTACGGATTTTTGTTAACTTTATTACTTTCGAGATATTTTCGAATGAAATTATCTTCCATCCGCCATTGTGGATATGCACTGAAAATTCTGAAATATATTCTTGGTCGGATATGCATGACGTCATAAGCTGAGTGAAAATTCGTTTTGGAACTTTAAATTAACGATCCAGCGACGTGATGGTTATTACAATCCCACGTATCTCAAATGATAGCGTTTTAATTGTTACAGTTGAATTGTTAAACGAAATTCGTGGATGAAACAATGGCCCATTACTTTCAAAAATTAGACAAACATTTCGGCCGTATTTCTTAACATTTATAAAGGGATATGGCGATAAAAATCATTTCTGTTTTGTTGAAAAGAAAATTTCAACTTGTTATAAAACCTTTTTACAAAATTTTGTTTATCTTCCTTACTTCGCAAGATATTGGCGATCAAAAACATCGACTATCGAGATTTAGTATAAACTGACTAATAGGCTATCACTTTTCCTGCGTTCTGATTGGCTACGCTACTGGTAGGCTATTAGTGATAGCCTACTAGTAGCAAAATTCAAAACAATGGCGGAAAATTCGCGTTTCGCCGAAGTATCTGAAGATTTTTTGGACGACTTGTTGGACAATTCCGTACCAGAAAAAACAAAAAAAGCAACAAAATACGGAATTGCAATTTTTAAGGGTAAGAAAATACATAAAAATAACGTATACTCAATTGAATTTTTATATTTAAACTGAATTTTAAAACATTTTACGCGAACAACAATTAAAATATTTTCTTCCTTTAATATACGAAATAAATTTCAGAATGGTTTGCAAGCCAACAAGAATTTTATATTGTGTTTCCTAGTTGTAAATTAATGTTATAGTTTATACTAAAACAATTAGACAACTCGGCCTCGTTGTCTATGAGCAAATAGTCAACTCGGCTTCGCCTCGTTGACTATTCGCTCATAGACAACTCGGACTCGTTGTCTAATTGTTAAATATCCGCCATCTTGTTTTATAATAAGATCTATATAATCACTGGATCTAATTACGTGACGTCAAAAGCAGGGTTAACGCTTGAAAAATAAAAATTACATGTTTACGCTTTAGTTTAGAACTCTTACAATTCAAACGTTATAATTTGTGGTACGTGCGATTGTAATACAGTGGAACTATCACTTTGCTGGATCATGTGAACCTACAGAAAGAATTTTCACCCAGCTTATGACGTAAGCATGTCAGAGCAAGAATATGCATAACCAAAATGGCGGATGGAAGATAATTTCATTCAAAAATATCTTGAGAAGTAATAAACGAATTTTGTACATAATCATGGCGTTCTTTTAAAATAGACAAAGATAATTTTGATTGCCGTATCCCTTTAATCATAGGGTAGATATATTTTATATTACTTAGCATAGCCCAGGTGAGAACACCAAATGTTCCTAATTGGACAGTTAGTCGACAGAACTTAATCCCAGTCTTTCCCAGACTCCCGTATTTAATTAGCCTTTTCCCAAAAGAGGCCACAGTGCATTCAGGGATTGTTTGGAGGGAAATATGACAACAAGTATTTACTATCAATATCAACCAAACACACTATAAAAAATGAAATATCTCCATTTTACACCAAACATTTAATTTAAATGTGTGTTGCCATATTTCTTGTCCCTCCAAAACGGAATTTGCGCGACTAGTTCCGGGACTTTGGGAAAGGGCTAATACAATTAGACTTATTACAGTCCAGATAGATGCTTGTCAGCTTGTACCGCTTGCTTGAAATTACGATAGAACATTATCTAGCTCTTAGTTACACATGGCCTTTGTAGCTATACAGGCAAAACTGTTCAATAAATATTACTCAATTGAATACTGTATAAACATATATGTATTTCTTACCTTATAGCGATATGACAACTAGCGATTAATCTGCTAAATTCAGTCTGAAGGCCTCCCGCGAATGTTCAATTTCACAAGTAGGAAAATCAAATCCTTTATACAGTGAATCGACTGATATCAATATATTTAGTGATAACAAAACGAATAACCTGCCAACATTAAATTCTTGCTGTCGTATGATCGAGCAAGATATGAAATAAACATAACATATCATTGTAGCTAATGTATTTTCATTACGAAATTTGAAATGCTAAACAGGGCTAAAACATGGTCAGCGTCACGAAGCGGAAGCTACAATTACGTAAATACCAGAGGTAAATATCCTCATGTTTACGGGAAGCTGACGTTATTTTAAAGCTTCAAACCCATCCAAAAAATACAATAGAGTTTGATGCAGATGTTAAAATTGTTACTTATACCTACATAACTGACAGAATACTGTGCAGCAGCTTTAAGTAAGATGCCAATATTTGTCAGTGAAACATTAGTTATACGGTTATATTTATACCGCTTATACGAATTTAAATACGATTGCTTTTTGTCGCCAATTATATATCCTGGCCTCTGTGACATGGCATAGGGCACAGCCGACCTTATAACCGCAAATAACCGGATGAAGGCCGGAAAATTCTGAAATGTTGTGCGTCGAACGCACGTCAGTAAACTTCAAAGAATCAAGTATTTACTATTTAACATGTTTTTGCATCAATTGCATGACGTATCATATTCAACAATTTATCGCTAAAAGATAAATCATTTGGCGATAATTCCATGCATGTTCATTTGACATTAAATTTTAAATGCCACACGAATTTAATCATTTCAGGTTTCATTATACGATTTGATCTTAAGGCCATGTTACACGGTGCAATTTTTCTTGCAACTTGCAATGCAATTCTACTTTTAAGAGATGTATTATATATTTGGGAACGACGAAACCTTTGTGTTTATTACACTTCATGCACTTTTCTTCTGCAAGGCTCGATCGATTAATGCAACATGCAAATTTATATATATGATTAATATCGATCCAAAATTTCTGAATCGATTTTTGATAGTGAACCGACACGATGAAATGATAGTGTAACAATCTAGAGAGATCATCCACGGGGTTTATATGTTTTAAGAATGTTTTACCACAGCTGCCCATTTGCACCATAATTCCGTCTTATATCCGTGCCTCCCCTCCTGATCTCCCGAATTGAATGGAATTCCGCCATTGCATGGTGGAAATACTCATTCACCTTAAATGACAAGGCTAAAGCTGCATGATTTTTTCATCAGAATAAATTTTATACTACTTTAGCTTTATACAATTACAATTAGTTTTACATGTTTCTGCATGGCCAAACAGCTGAAGGACAAAATTTATCTTTGGCACAAAAATTTTTTGAAACCCACTCAGAATGGCATGGGTCTTTAAATTGTTTTGCGTGCATGGACGTGTTTATACGTTAACTGTATTAATATTCGACCATGATAAAGTGATCGGCAAGTGTTTCAATCACAGAACAGCAATCGGCAAACTCCATTCCTTCATTGTACGTTCCGATTATTAAACACCTATTCGTTTTCACTGCAATACCACCTTCTTGTCTATTACGAAACAGGATGGCTCGTCCAGGATCTATTCGCAGAAAACTGAATTTCGCTTGACCCAATGTTATTCCGGAAGAATACAACTTTGATGGATCGGTTGTGATTGCTGTGACAATATCTTGGATCTCACAGTTTGGAATCTGAATGAAAGAAAATTAGGAAAATGGCAGTTCACGAGGGTATCTGAATTAGTTTTGTTGGTAAAACGTTTATATGGATTCTGTATTTTTGTATTCTGAAATCTCTTACAATTGTGTGCCCTGGAGCAATGAAACTGTGAAAGCTGGACGTCTTCACTGCATTTTTGATTCAGGTAATTCCAATTCGACTCTAATATATAATCGACTTTCGTCTATTGTCTGACACCCTTTCAGGTATTCTAGCTTTCATCCGGGTCTGCATGTGGTTATATTGAACTAAGATCATCGGTTATAGTCGGTTCCAAGCGAGGTAAAAGTGTTTGAAACTTTGGTTTAGTTACAAAGATCAATTGCTGCTAATAAAGCGTCCCATCCAATCTCGCTTGAAACCGACAAATCATAGCCTGCAACGCAGACTATATATGGGGTATATATAGTCTGCTAATCAGCGGCACAAAGCTTGTATGGTCACGTGAATGTTCGAATTATTTCCGGTGTTATAATTATGATTATGTATATTACTTTGCGCGCAAATTGCATAATTATTTGTGACAACATGGCCGCGCTGATGTGCGTGCTGTGTTTCTCTGTGCTGGAAAAGAAGTCAGATATAAATCTCGTAAAAGGAAAGCGTTCTCTCGACATTGCGGCCGAACTAGAAGATTTGGATTTCGTTGTCCAACCTGTTTCCAGACATATTTGTCGGCCATGTCTCAGTCTGGTTTCCCAAAGAATCACGCATCGTCAAAAGCTGGCGAATCTGAATCAAAAGCTAAAGGATGACTACCTAGCTAAAGCCCGAGCGAATGGTGTAACAGTGAAGATGAAGCACCCGTCGAAGCGTTCTCTACCAGACGATTTCGACAAAGAGGCAAACACAGAGCAAAGGGAACCTCGACCGCTTGCGCCAGTTTACGTAAGCCCACCGGTAACATCTGTCGAGACACCTCGTTCGAGTACTGCCTCTCCTCATCATGGCATTATTCCGTCGCCATATGATAATACATTCCAACCGATTGCGTCGTCCACACCAGTAAAGCCTCGTCCGGCCACTTCACGACCGCCTTCTGACAAATCACATCAGAACGTTAAGGACACATTAGTATCAGTTAATGTGCAATGGAAAACCCAAGCTACCACCAGAATGCTACCTGCAGACTTATGTTCCCTTGGTAAGATGATGTGTCGTGGCACATACACTCAAATTGCGAGGGCTGCCTGGAAGAATATCAAAATCAGAGAACAACTGATATTGTTGTTTCTAAAGGAAATAGACAAGGAGTCATGCAACATATGTTCAAGTAAAAAGCCAAGTATGCTAAGAATGACTAAAAAAGATGCTATCCTGAACTTCACACCCACAAAACTTGAAAAGGAATTGAAAGAACGTACACCTCTGTTACACAGTGTCTTGTTGACTGCCTCTGTACGCAGAAGACGGAGTGCTGAAGACCTGTTCTGGATTCCAGCAGTTTGTATGGCTGCAGCAGTGTGCCTAAAGAACCGATGCCCCAGCATGACAGCTGTGCAGCTTGTGAATACCATAATGATCCAACATTCAGGTTTAATGGTAAGATTTGTTTTACCATACTTTTAAATACAGTATTCATCTTAGTATAGTCTTGTTTAACCTTATTTTGTTTGGTGGCATTGACAGTGGATAATATTTTCTGGGTTTTTTTAATTTCAGTCCACACTGTCTCGTCTTGGAGTGTATCGTGTTACTGTGTCCCATACCTTCCTATACAGGAAGCTTGATGAATATGGGCACAATCACAATGCTGCTATTTTGGAGAGGGTTGCTGCTGAAGGAAAGAGAGTGCAGGAAGATATTGACAGGGAAGATGAAGTTGACAATGCTGCACTTGAAGACACTGGGCACCACATTGCCCCAGATATGGGAAGAAAAATCGTGTTTGACAATTTTGACTTCAAGCAAAATGTGCATCACATGACCGAGGAACATCAAAATGTCGACAACCACTGGGTTAGCCATATGTGCACAGAGAACAGAGTGTCTGGTAACCATCTGTCAACTGTGCCACCTAAACTGTCCACAATCCTTACAGTAGATAATGGAGTATTTATCCCAGACAGAGAAGAGCATGTGCTACAGAGGGAGAATTATGCTACACTGGTGGCACAAATGATTGTTAAAAACATTGTTTGCTTGCATTTTTTGAGCAAGTGTGCCCCAAGGCAGATCAAGCACCAGTATCAGGTTGAAATGAGGAAGAAAACAGATACAGTGAGTAAACCTTATTGTAACATGATATGCAATACCTCACTTGCATGTACCATATATATTTGTTCTGCTTCTAACAAACAGGGGTCCCCAAGGAATCTTATTACAATCTCACCTGATTCCTCACAGTGATTCCCCCACAAGTTTAGTGAGTAAACCATGTAGAGAGTTCCTTAATGATACCTTGAGCATTCTTTCAGATTTCCATGCACAAATGAAGTTCTTGCAGGTATGTACCATACAATAATTCCACATAATAAATCTCTTAATAACCTTGCTATTGTCAGTTTTTTATAGTAGAAAAATACCATACATTGGCCTTTCATGTATGAACCTAGCCTGCACCACAGACGATATATTGGATCAAACTATATAGTATGTGATGCATGGCCGCAGGGTAGTAGAAACCTCGCTTCACTTGCAAAACCGCTGTCTGATATTTTTCTAGTATGGGCCCTTCCCTTGGTTATTAACACTAAAAAGTAATACTGTACTGTACTTTCAAGATGTCACAAAGTTTGCTCCTATTTTTTTATTTGTAGGTTGCCTTTGATTATTTTTATAATCCAAGTGCACCATTTGATCAGTGCACTTTGTATGCAGACAGGAACCTGATCAACCGACGGAATGTTGTTGAAGAAGTCAAGACGAAGTTTAGTGCATGCAAGCAGTTCTTCAATATGGAGATTGAGGCACGAATTGTTGCAGCAACACTGAACACTTTGCAGATAAGTGCAACTGATGATGAACCTGAAGAATCTGTGCTTCCTCAATCTTTAAAACAAGCACCTCTTTCTACACAAAAAGAGTTCCTGAAAGATTTGTCTTTAAAGATTGTGGATAAATTTATTTTACATGAAGAGAATGTAAAATCATTAATAAACAAGTTGGAAAAGGAATTAAATTCAACAAAATCTGCCCCCACTGGGCGTTACCCATGCAGACATCAAGGATGTCTGAAATCATTCAAATACAATGGCAAGAGCAGGATTGAACATGAGAAGACTCATGGATTGCATGCTGACAAAGCACAATCCACCATAGAAGATACCTCAAGTGTATCAATTTGCAAACGAGATGACATGTTCTCCTATCAACTTGCACTCCTTGAGTATGGAATGCTGTTTGTAAATTTCTGCAATGCTATCTCTGAAGGAGATGGTCTACGTATAATACGCTGTTGGAAATTCTTCCTTTTGTTTCTGAAGAATGATGGTCAGAGAAGTTGTAAGTACGCATTGGAAGCACTTACAATTTTGTGCCAAATTCATGTCCTTCTGTCTCCACGAGATGCCCATCGGCTGATTTGGAACCGGTCAATTAAAGCCAGATATGGTGCAGGAGGAAACATTCCCCTAGATCTTGCATTGGAGCATTACAACAGAGTATTAAAGGAAGTCATCAAGAAGATGGGGCCAAATGCATCTAATGAAAAGGCTGTCAACCGTTTCTGCAAATCCATCACAGTTACCAAACAATTAATGGAAAATTTTGACCAAGACTGCCAGCTACGTAAGCAGTCTGGGCGTCATATCAAAACAAAAGCAACCTCTGACTTAAACAAAGTTATAAAAGAACTGGTGAAATGTGATGCTCTCACAGAATGTTCAAACCGGAAGTTAAAGAGATTTACTAACATTGCACCATCAATACTAAATGGTTTTGATATGAAATCAATGTTTAAGTGGTTGACTGAGCACAAGAAATCAATTTATTTACACAAGACAGCCAGATAAATAAAAAAATTATATTTTTATGTATGTCATAAATTATATATCTCAATTTAATAAAGTCTATAAGCTTGTGCTGTTGGGTTATTGGCCATTTTTATCACCCTGTATACATATATATATATATATATATATATATATATATATATATATATATATATATATATATATATATATATATATATATATATATATATATTTACATTTGAAATGAATCACATTTTAAATTCCAATTTAGCATTCCATGTCATCATTAGCATTGATACGGTGGGATGCTTCAATAGCAAGTGTGTTCAACATAGAACTTCTGTTCGTAACAGTTTCACAAGAACTGTCAAGTTCACTCATGATATCACTGAGTTCTGATGCCATTGAGATGTCCATTGTATCATGGGTAAGCAAGTTCAAATCAGAGTCATCTCTGATTTCTTGCCATTCTGAGTCTATGTCAAACTCTTTGTCATATTCCTCAATGCCAAGTCCAATATCAGCGATGTCCTCAAAAACATCGCTTAGAATCATTAAGACTCTCTTGGCATGTTCACTCCGCCATATTTCAACAGCATTCTGGATGTCTTCCATTGAAAAGAGCTGATAGCAACTCTGTACAACCTGTGCAATCTGAGGCTTTCCAAACTCAAAAAATATGTTTGGATACAATACAGGTTTGATTGACTTGTCTCTTAGTTCCATCATGTATGTTGTCAATTTTGCCTCTAATGCCTTCCTCTGTTCCTGACCAACCGCTCTTCTCTTAGTGTAGTGGTACTTTCCCTCTTCCAATTCCTTCACTTTCATTAACATTGAAAACTTACATTTCCCAGCTTTGGCAGCACAGGTACATGTGGTGGCACAAACATCGCAGCATTTACAGCCTTTGCATTTGATGACATGATTACCTGGAAAATATTTCAGAATTTCTTTTCGCCGACATTCCTTGTTCTCCAAGTACTTTTTCATGTCGTCTCCACAATGTGATAAAAGTCCTCCTCCAACTCCAGCTTAAAAGTTCTCCAGAGAATCGCACACTGTTTTATTGTTTGGCAATAAATGATTGTTCTGGGAGTTCTTGTCTTTTCAGTTCGAACATGCTCAATAACATTGTCGAACACATCGCCAAGGGGAATTTCATTATCAACATATTGCATCGCATACGTCAGGTTTGCCCGGTCTGGACTCACCTCGATCTCCAATGTATTTCCACGGTTCATTTGCAGAACATTGAAGATCTTGGATTTAGTAGAAATTGTAGCAGTTGCTGTACATGCAATGAAATTGACATCTTTGAATAGTGCCCTCAGCTCACCCAAGTTCCCATACCACTTCCTGAAGGGCACAGGTTTTGCTCCAGGTAGCCCCCTGAAAGTAAAAATGAAAAAAATATGGCATAAAACCAACGTTCATGTTCAATTTCTTTGATGAACACATTTAAAATTGCATGGTTTCAACATTGAACTGATTGAAGTATTTCACAAGAATAAACAAGGAAAAAGCAACTTTGCAATAAGTATGTATTTTCAAAATTTTGATACTATGATTATTACGATGATGATATTAAATTAAAATTATATTAATTTCCTTAGCAGATAGCTGCTTGTGATTGATGACTACATATATAGTTAGTATGAGTGGACACATTTCAATGTAAACAACAGAACAACCTTTAATAGTACTTACCATTGACTGATGCAGTGAGCTTCGTCCACTGCAACTAGAACACAATGCTCAATGAAGTATGGCGTTCTTAGCATCTTTTGCCATCGCTTTACACTTAGCATCGATTCAGGAGTAGCGTAAATATAGGCATAGTGACCTTCTTCGATCTCTCTCAACACATCCTCGTTTTGGCCTTGGTACACAGCAGCAGCATTTAATCCTAAGGACTTCAAATACGCGACTTGGTCGAGCATCAGAGACACCAAAGGACATATTACGATGGCAATGCTGGTTCCAACGACTTGTTCTTCGAGAAGGTCAGCGAGGAGAGGAACCGCTTGGAATACTAGAGACTTCCCGTAGCCTGTGCCAGCACTAAAGAAGATATTCTTACCGAGTAAGAAGGCTTTGAGTGCTTCGACTTGCTCTCGATGAAGACTTTCTACTTGAAAAAAACAGCATACAATCCGAATAGCTTCCGAAAAGTGCTCTCCTTCAAGTAAAGATGGTTCGATGAAGGACGCCATGTTGTTTGTGAAAATAATAAATATTCTGAAATTTTGATTATTTTGCATAATTATAAGCTAACCAATCAAAATGAGTCCCACAATTTCTCGGGAAACCCACGTGACCATACAAGCTTTGTGCCGCTGATTAGCAGACTATATATACCCCATATATAGTCTGCGTTGCAGGCTAACAAATCACGGCATGTCCTGTGTATGTTTACATGTCTGTGACTAATGTGAATGTACTGGAATACGTTAAATCAACAAAATCTTCGCTAATAATATTAAAAGTATACCACAAAGCCAGTGCTCGCGGCGAAACGTGTACCATTAAGACCATGGATAGCAGCTTTCGCTACTTGACTCGTCCCCAAGATAGTTTCATCGACAAAACTTTGCCAGATCATTTCAGTCAAATATATAGAACGCTTTGATATTTATTGGCCGTCAAGGTAACCAGCGATGTGGTAATTAAATGCAAATCGTTAACAGGGGGAAAAGGTCAACTCGGAGTTAGTGCGAGAGGCGAGAGCCTTGGTCATACTATATCTGTCATCTGGCGTGTAGCCAGACTATAATGATTTACTCCCTGCATGCATGTATACAAATTTCAAGAAATCATATGATTATTCATATAACTTTAGATGTAATGACTATTGGCCACACACTGTCTTTAATTCGTTATCAAAGTACGTTTCATATTTCACAATCATATAGATTATATACCCAAAGCAATTTAATCCGCGTATAGCCGCGGTCGCATCCTTTGTGGCATGCTTGCAATTAATATTAACACCGGGAAATCGCTGTTCTATAACATGCATGCATGCATATATGCTGATGAAAGTTTATCCAATATTGTAGGGTTTGATCGGGATAGGCATGCAATTTGCACAAAATTTCAACATTAACAAAAAATTGACCACCATGCACCTTATGCGTGCTGCAGGATATATCTACATCTTCCACAATTTCAAACTGAACAGTAGCTACATGTACGTAGGAGTGTAGCTTGTATAGCTAAGTTTCAATAGGTTCTACTACTTTTACACTTCTACTCATCTTCATGCTGTTGAATCTAACCTAGCCTTAGTTGTGAAAAAGTGAATATTGGTCGTGATTTTATCGATCGTTATGTATAGTGTCATTGTATTATGAAAGTTTTATTCAACTGAAGATCAAGCTGAAAAAAGCCTTGAAAATTATTTGAACGACGCTCATATATATAACATCGGAAATTTACTAATTTATATAGTGACAGTTTCAGTTATAATGACAGTCTGAATTTCTAATATTTTTTTGCCGGATTAGTCAAAATTTCATTATTTTTTTTAATTTACATGCAGCTCTTTAAAGAGTATTACCACTATGAACTTTATATTAAAAAGTCTGTACTAATATAACCCATGCAGTATCGTGACGCAGATATAATTAATTTGAAATAACCTTTAAGTAATTTATGAAATCATTTAGACCTACCGTTTTAATACGTATATATATATATATATAGCTATATAGCCTGCGAATGCGCCACAATGCACACGGCTCTTGTTTTTCTGTTAACGTTTTTGCCATTTTCTATCAATGGCCTGTCAATTTTTGGCCTTCAAAGTTGCCCGAGCAAGAATAATAAAAACATCCAGATATTATGGTCAGAATACACAACGTCCTATATCCGTGAGGATAGCAACGGAACACTCTCGGGAATATTCCCAAGGATTTGGAAGGCATCTTTGGCACAATGTTGTCCTCGCCTGAACCACACTTGGCATAAATTGGATGGTAAAAACATAATGAAAAAACAGGCAAGGGCAATAGATGCAATGGGCATCGCCAAAGACGATATTGTTGTAACATTCCCTATTCTGAGGAGTTTGAGTGACAGCAGTGCTCATGACTTGACTCTTTTCAAATTTGTTCCGTTCAAAGTTTCCCCTGGTCCTATGTTGCTGACAAACACGAAATCGATCAAAATGCATAGCGGTAGAGATTTTACATTCCTTCTGCCAATGTGGGTAAATCCTGTGTTTTACCTTATCTTGGCGATGGCCGCGTCTTCTGGTGTGATATTTTGGGTGACGGTTTGTATGGAATTACTTAAACTTTAATTTTTATACAGTCAAGTCATCAGTGCATGTTTAATTTACTTGAGCATTTAGGATTATGTATTCCAACCTAAATATGCTCTTTACTAAACGACCGTGAAAATGGAGGGCATTAGCTTGTATGATATCGCAGTTCTATCTTTTCTTCCACTCGAAGTCTTTTTACGTCACACCTATATAAATGACCCAATATATTAGTTTTAGTGCGCCTCTATGTAACACAGGTTCAGTACGTATTGCATGAAAATATGCTGTGATAAAAAATGCTTCGAATTAGGTATGTTATTCATTGAATGAATGAAAGGTTTTAAACCCGATAGAAATATCAGGCCCAGTGCACTGTTAAGTACACTTTTAGGTTGAAGTTTGCATGTATTGGAATACGTAAAATTTTCATAATTCTAGGAATTCCGAGACAGCGGTGAAAAACCTAATTACTCCTTCCGCAGCTTCATTCGGGAAATGGGAAATAGCATTTGGTTTTCAATTGTTACCATGACAACAGTTGGGTAAGAGCAGTGAGAGAAGCTGAAAAAATGAAATAAAAATTCCACATTGCGGCTGTTTTTGTCCGTCTGCGTCACATAAACGATAACAATCATACCCTGCGCCCGCATGACAAATGCATGAATTACCTTCAATTTGTTTCTGACACAATTTAAGTATATTGTGTGTTGAAGTGACAAGAGTTTAGCTAAGTTTGTGCAATGTAAAATATTTCTTGATGTAACACATCACAAACCGACTAATATAACGAAATATGGACCCCCCTAAAGTTGGGTCAATATGCTGCCGGGATCCGCCTCGGAGCAAAGAAACGAATTTTGCATGGTATATTGTGAACACGATTTCTCAAATGTTTCAACATTTGGAAATTTTTTCAGTTATGGCGACATTGTTCCACGATATCTACTTGCAAGGATTTACGCGATAATCTGGATGTTAACAGGGATTGTTCTTGTGTCACTATTTACAGCGTACACCTCCAGTGCAATGACAACCCATTATATGAATGAAAATAAAAGTTTGTTTGGGAAAAAGGTGCCGTTGTTCGTACTTGTACAAAGAGTTCTTAATACCAGTAGAGCAATTTATAAATGTTTTTAAAATCTTAAATTATACCTTTTTAAGTTTTAACGTATCCATTCGCCTGATGATCTCTTTGACTTTGAGCGTGAAATACTATAATCGTATGACGAATTCGTTTCTTGTTTCATTCACAGATAGGTGTATTCCGAAGCACACGAATATTTTTTCAAAACGAAATCAACTTCGGAGCAAAAATGACGGGTAATAACATCTTTAACAATGCCTCGTACCCATGTAGACGTCTCCGCGTTTCAGTCGTCGAACTTTTAATGTGCCGAATCAAATGCAAATGAGATTAAACATAGACTTTAGCTCATTATGTTTGGAACATGAAAAGTTCGACGTCTGAAACTGGCCTTAGCAAGACGAGTTGACAATAATGAGTTGTACTGCACTTTTATTTAGTCTCCAAACCATGCATGCATGGAACTTCAGTCCTCGGAATGAAAAGCAGAAATGTAAGCTGTAGTGGCTACTTTTAGTTTATATACAATGTTTTGTGTTTTGACAGAATACAATGAGCGAGAAGCCTTTCGTGCCTTGAATGAAGGAAATATTTCAAGAATATTGTTTCCGGACTTCATGGAAGCTATGTACCTTTTATCGAAAACTGACAAAAAATTTACCAAGGGGTTGCGTATTGTCGATTGCATCAACCATCCATTCAAACTGGGAATATATATTGCGGCTACGAATGAGTTGAATAACGCGTTCTTGACTTGTCTTGCCATGACGTTAAATTGGTACTATTTAGAGGTAGACTCACTTGTATTATTGTCGATGTTGTGATTGGTATGGTGCATGGGAGTGATAACTAAAGGAATACTTGTACCACACGTGATTTTTTCTTATAGTGAAGTAAATGAGAAATTGAACTTAGTCAAACATGTTCTTTTGTTTGAATGTGTACATGACAAGAGCAATGGATACCATATATCTTCATCAAGTATTACCAATATCGACAAGAGATAGCGATATAGATGATTTGCACATACATGCATTGGCAGGCAGAAGAGACGAGCACTTCACCAGATTACTTATCATTTAATGTTTTAGGAGAGCCAGAATGATTTCTCCAAGATTGAAGATTCTGATATCGAAAACTATTCCCTCGACAATGTCTTGGATGATTTCATGGTAAATCTTACCATTTACGTGCTCTTTTTCTCTGGATCTATTTTGCTTCTAAGTGTTATTGTTTGGGTGGCCAGACCCAAGCTTCATCGAAGACTCTCGAGATCATATGCTGATAAAAACAACGCCTAAGAAGAAATTATACAGAGAAAAAAGGAACGACATGAAGATATTTTCAAGAGATGTTGCGGTGTCACCATATATCTATTATATTATATAACTTTATATAATGTACTGTATGTTCATATAATTGCAATAATTGTATAAAGTTCGCATGCATGGTCAAAGTGCAAGCATGATCTTCAATATTGGACCGTGTTTATAGTTAAAAAGGAGAGGGATATTTGAATGTTTGGAATCACTTTGGATATATTAGGCCTAGATGCAAACTAAGTTTAATTTTTACGGATTCAACAATGGAGGTATACTAGATGTGTGTATAATAGATGTAAGAATACTCGTCTTTATAATGCAGGCTGTTTATATAATGAATATATAAAAGTATCTAAACAACTCTTTGTTTGCACATGTAACTGTTTTTTATGGGTTGTTTCTTGACACGTTTCAACAAAACGTTTTTTGCAGATTGTCTTCCTCCGCAGGGACACTAATACCACCCCAGCACGTAAGTATCACTGCGCTGGATCGTTACTTTGAAGTTACAGAACGAATTTTCATCCAGCTTATCCTGCATATCAGAGCAAGAATATGCATATCCAAACATAGGCGGCCCAAAATTAATGGTTTTTTAGACTAAATATATCAATTTTATGCATACTAATCCTTTTATAGCTTGTGGCAAGGCGGTGTTACTGTGTTTGTCGCACGATGGTCTGTCCAGTCTCGTACGTGCGACGTTCGCGTCGTCTCATCAGTTTAATATATTCCATATTATTTAGATGTTGAGATAAATTTTCCTAGGTTTAAACTAACTTTGAATGCGCGCACTAGATATTGATGATCTATACTGTTTGATTAACCTTTTTATTAGAGCACACCGTATTTCACATGCATAAAAAACATCTGTCGCATTGGGACAAAGCGAAAAAAAAAAAAATTACGTAGCTAATGCAAGCATATCCAGGAGCTGAGTTGTACACTGAGTGACCATAAAAAAAGATGGCAGCATATTGATAAAAAATAAATGCAAATTCAAATTGGTTACTAGTACCATAACAATATTAAATCAATGTTAAATATTGTGGAAATGAGGATTGACTACCATATGACAAACATTTGTACATGCAATTAAAGTTTCTTTTACAAAATGAGATTCTGGATCCTGGGAATTAAGGAGCATGTATATGCGGATACTTGATATGTTATATGCCTTGCAGGGCTCAAATTAATGGACGGTCATATAGCAATAGCTAGCCTTCCATTTGCATTATCACTTTGACTGGAGATATCTCGGCCGTAATTTCGAGCCCTGCCTGAAGAAACACACCAAGTGTCACATGTGCTTGTCACATCTATAATGCTTGTCACACCCATTAGGTGATTTTCGCCTAATGGATGTGACAAAAACACTCAAGATTTTTTCTTTTATCTGATTTAAATTGCCCAGAAAATGTTTTCAAAATACACGGTTGCAAACTGGCTGATTAATAATTTGAATAGAACATTCATTTTGGACTTTTATACAAGACCATTTGATAGAGATTGAGCCACTTGATAGAGATACAACTATATGCCTGTAGGTGGATGAAGTACCCAAGCCCACTTCCATCACCCAGCACTTTAGGTTAAAGAACAAGGAATGCCCACGCTAGTGTATGGACCACATGTTATATGGATTACTGGGATTACATAGATTACGATGTGTCGCCAGCCTTTTCCTCATGTTTATGTTTATGCTTTTTTTTATGACCAGGACAGTAGGCGTTATGTCCCCCATCACCCTCACCATCAGATTCACTTTCCGACGATGATTCCCCAAATAATCGAGGTTTCTCATAAATACAACAACCTGGAATAATTTACTTTCATTAGAGGTAGTATAATCTGGAGATGATAGACCCCCCCCAATTAAATGCCATGTTGCTGATCATTATATTGCTGTACATGTTCATTGATGTTGCTGGTCAATTTGACCTTTGGCCAAATAATATGTGCTGCTCTCTGCTATTTCTGCTGTAGTGCTTTCTGCTGTAATTCTACCCTCTGTACAAGAAGATTTTTATATCTAGGAGGCATATATTCCCATATAATTTCCCATGCTAAAGAAACCTCCCAACTACACTATAACTTACCCACATGTATGACCAGAAAACAATTATAAGCCCATGTTGAGGGTAGATCGTATTAACCATTGAGATGAATAAGGTTTATTCATTTCAATGGTACCAATATTGACAGATAATACAGGTTTAATTATGCAGTCTGATCACTCACATTTTGAAGACTTTTTGCCCATAAATTCATTGTCCACTGTATCAGCTTTCCATTGAACTTTCTTTTTATCTTCACTCTTCCTAAGTTTAAGTACTACGGGTTGAGGATCCTAACATTAGATAAATAAGTTATGTAGGTACAACTTGGAGTAACTTTTTGTCTAGTTTGACAATCAAAAAGCCTAATATATAGTTTTTTCCATTACTGTTTTTAACACTGTTCTACTTTTGAGTTGTTTTGACCCAATAGTCTCGTTTCTGTTCGCTAAATATAAACATGGTTCCAGAACAACAGGCGCACGGTAAAGCAGAAATTTATATACCAGAAATACTGGGGGTGCAAAGCTTTAATTCTTCAGATTGTGCACTAACCTCATTTTGAGAGCTCGTTTCAGTGACTGTTGATGTTCCTGGCACTTCTTTTTCTGCCATTTTTATTATTTTTTAATTTTTAAAGAGCTGTCAGCTGTGCTACCACTTTCCCCGTTTATTATTTCTTTTGCTGGTTGATCTGCTGTTTAATAGTGCTGTGATTGCTGTGAATGCTTTGTAATGAGTTTGTATTTTTGTATTTGTATCTCTTTTTCTTAGGAACTTGTTTCAGAGAAAGAATAACCATTCGTTTATGTAGAAAAATAAAATTGTCGTACGAACTTGCATATTTATTATGATAGTATCAGTCCTAAGCCCTTCTGCCCCTTCGGCCTTCACCAGGGAAGGATTTTTTGGAAAAACTAAGGAATTTTACGAGGAATTGGATTCAGTGGATTCACTTGATCATTTTTTGGCAAAGAAAAGTAAATAAATTTGCGTTCATGGCAGAAATTGCTAACCTTGCAGACAAAGAATATTTATACAAGCTTCTAGGCTGCGACGAATTATCAAGTGAAGAACAAATTATCACAGAGTACAAGCTAAGAGCAAAGGCTTTACACCCGGATAAAAATGGGGACGTTGAAGCTACAGACAATTTTATAACGTATGTCATTTCTAGGCAGTAGGCACTACTGTAACACCACCACAATAATAGTATGACAGTATGTGAACCATATGTATGTTTGCGTGATACAAGAAACAAGCATCACCTCATTTAAATTGGGGTTGTTTCTTTACCCTAGTTTTACTCAAGTCTTGAAGTTAAAGTATAGATTTAAAACAATAAGCTCATCTCTATCTCTAGACCCAGGAGAATTTACAAATTCACACTATAGTCACTGTATACATTCAGAGGGCAAAAGGAGTGTTAGAATTATATGATTTCCTTTACTTTTTCCTGAAAGAAGTGTGTAATTAAGGCAATCAAATGCCTGGTATATTACAAATAACCATTAACAAATCCTATTATCTTTTCTGACATCAATGTCTTTATACCATGGGAGATTTGGTTTCTCAATAGTTTTTCTCATGCAGAGTAATATGCATGTTTCATGTGTGCCTGAAATTTTTCAACGCTAAATACAACTTATGTCCAACTAAGTCCTTTTCCAACAGCTGTAGTGCTCAGATAGTTAATTAATTTATTTAATTTGACCATAAAATTCTAATGTGTGTTCACTTTTTTGCATTGACACACACATAGTTTGACAAGAGCAAAAGAAATCCTGTGTGATAAAGAGAAACGAAAACAGTATGATACTTGGAGACGTTCATGTCTGGATATTTCATTTGATGTATGGCTTAAGATGGCAGGGTCAAATCAGATGTCAATGCACTGGGCACCTCTAGCCAAGAAGCAAAAAATGATTGAAAATTGTGAAGATGGGATTGGTGATAATAAAGGTAATAAAAAAGCATTTCCCAATATTTCGGAAACAATTTTTCTCAACACAAAATTGCTCACAGTCAATGTTGGCATACATATGGATGGAAGCATTGTGTTATACTGTTGCACACATGTTTATATCTTCAGACTAAGATAATAAATTTTGTTTGAAATAGAAAGCAGCAGTACAAGGACCAAATCTCCTAAAGAAAAGAAATCTGAATCAGTTAACATTTGTGGCAAAAAAACTACATGGAAAAGAAAAGGAAGTTGGGGTGATTCAAAACTAAGTAAATTTAGAAATTACAAAATATAGATGTCAAGGCTTATGTATGAAATCACCCAAGAAATGGAAAAACTGGGCAGGAAATCCACAAATTTGTATACCATGTAAAATATGATATATTATACCCAATGTATATAGATACAGGTTTCCACAGATACTTCATACCTGGCAAGCACAAAAAATAACACATATGAATATATGTATTTGTATTTTGCAAACATATCCATCTTCTGCATAACACAACCATCAATCACACAAAAAGATAATTATTTTGAAGTGGCATGAACAGGAAAAATCCAAGATAAACCTGGCATCCCCATTGATGTCATGCAGTTCAGAGGTGCTATTCCATAATTTGATAGCTATGTTGAAATTAAAAGGGACATAACATAATACTTTAACATGATCATGTCGGAGTTTCTCTGGTATCATAATGTCTATATTCTGGCTTTAGTTCCCACATGTTCTTGTGTGGATTCTTCGTGTTGTATATACAGATGCTCTTGAGGATTTCTTTTAAATGTTCCTACCAAATGTTGTAAGATATATATTAATGTATAACATGTTACAACAATGTAACAATGTTGCATGACTAATAAACATAAAAAAAAACCAGAGGCAAGAGCAGAGATACTAGGTTCCTATATGTGTTGGGTTCCAGATATGCCAGATGCAAAAAAATAAGTAAAGCCTGGCCTCAATGTCAGCCTCAAGATATTTACTAGTTGCATGTAAAATTTGTATATACTGTACACATTACAATATATACTAGTACATTTTTAATTAAACAAGTTCATACCACTGGTTGTTGAGTTATTTTGATCAGGTCTTTCAGGAAGTAATATTGATGTCGTTCAAATGCTTTGAACAATAAATCAAGAACATAATCTTTATCTGCCCTTGCTCTTTTCCCATCCTGTTTCTTTTTCTTTTCATGTTCCTCCTATATTCAAAATGTGCAAAATATATTCCATTGATAAAAATATATAGACACATATATTCACTACACAATTGTTGAAAATTCCATGATACATGTCAAGAGATTTTCTATTCAATTATCTATTCAATTATCCTAATAAAACTGATTATTGTAAAGAAGAAACCACATTTTATGTGCAAAAGATGCTAAGCTTTTCATATTCAGATAATCTTTTTTATGCAGCAGCTTTGAATAAATACGAGGGTTACACTACTAATTAGTAATTAGGTTTTTGAATAACATAGTGGCATCCAAGTTATATATTTTAATACATCGATTAAATAAACAAGTCACAGGTCAGTGCAAACATAGTGTGATGTCAGGTGTACAAGAAATACATGAAAGTCTTTAAAACATACATCTTGTTTGTGCTGTGATATAGGTTTGTAAACATTGGACACAATGTTTGGTAGATGTTCAACTTTACGCACAGGTGCCATAGCAGACAGCATACTGTTCCTGTTGGAAATATATACTAGAATTAAATTGTGATAGTTTTAAGTTCTAAAGGGTGTTGTGGGAATGCACACAATAGTATTATATCTTCAAATGATGTTTATATAGGTTTTATGGAAGATGCTATAAATGCATACTTTTTCAAATTCATGTACTGTGGTGTTTGTGTTGCTCTGCAGTCACCTCGTTGGGTAATAACACCTTCTAGGCATATTTCATCTAGAATAGAACAAATTATTATTCATATCTATATTTAGTACATCGGCACTGACTGTGCCAAAGGATAGTTAATATACTAATGGAAGAATCAAACCATGCCCTTTTCCATTAAGTCCTGAAAATTTTAAACTAATCCTGTTCCTCGACTTAAAAATTACACTCTTCTGTTTGGTTTTAAGGTTAATTCATTTTACAAATATGATGGTAAATGGCCATGTTTGAATGAAAAGACAGAAAGGTTTTTGCAAACATTGGCATTCAACATTTGTGAATATCGCAGTAAGAATAAGCTGACAAAAAATATTAAAATATGTTAAATAGGAATAAGTAATAAGCTGTTCTGTTCACTAACAGAATCTTTAGATCAAAGCACTTGTTACTATATTCAGTCATTTACTTCAAGATGAAAATTAGAGGTAAAATTTATTTCTCTCTAGTAGCTTTACATAGATTGTTAGTTAATCCTACTTCTCATAACAGTTCCTTCTTCATCTTCTCTATCACCAACATTATCATCAAGCTCTTTAGGTAGATAGAACTTTGTTTGAGCTTATCATACAATTTATGATATACGCAGAGTATAGAAAAGACCACAGAAAAACATGGTGAATAATCTAAAGATCACAAAAAACCATGGTGAATAATCTAAAAAGCACACATGCAAGTCACCTGATCTTACTGCTTCCGAGAATACAGCTCGACTCTGTTCTTCTTTTAATAAAGTTAACTTATATTCGCTGGGTGCAGGAGAACCCTCTGATGCAGCTTGTACAAGGGATTCAGAAAGGCGGAAAATCACCTGAAAATAAAAACAAAAGTGAAAACAGGACCTGCATACACCAGTTGGTCACCACAAATCTTAGGTCTTTTAAAAATCTTCTTTAACTTACAGGAAAAAATGGAAGCTGCAGTACTAAAATTCTTGTAAACTAGAGCTATTATAGCAACTTAAACACTGTAGTCATGAAATTTATCACAACATGCTCTAGTATCATTTCTAATATATTGCACATTTTAAAAACAACTCAGGCAGGCAAAGGTCAAATAGACCAGTTCATTTAATCAAAAACTAGCATTTACAGTATTTTTTAAATCTTTCTACTACAACTTCCTACCACATAAGTGAAAATTGATTAGAAAAACAATACAAATTCAGCTTAGAAGCAGGAGTTACAGTACAAGAATGTGGGTCCTGTGATAGAATATGGTTGCCAAGTTGAAGTTTCTGACACAAATTTATCGATTCATCCTATCCTTTAACCTGAATTGGTATGTTCACCAGAGAGGCAGAGACATTACAAGATATTCCAAACAAGATAGCAAAAGATATTGCTGACCAACTGTGGTAAACTGTTAAACATGTTATTCATCTGGTTAACTATTGCGATAAACAATAAATTAACCAGATGAAGGAAAACGTCAAACAGAGTAAACAAATCCAAAGCCATCATTTAGGCTACCCCTATGGAATAGCTATGTGTCGAGCCTCCTTTACAGATGAGATCCTGTTGTTCATTTTATTATATTATTCTATATTTGACAAGCAGCAAGACTGAGAAAATGCTTGTCAGAAATTGAATGGTAAGGCAAGTTTTTTTCCTATTAATAATCCTTCTTATGCATCCAGTTTAACATATTGAAGCAATGTGCATATATCTCTAATGATAATATTTACAATTTATATAGTGCAAATACCATTAATTAACATATGTAGTATTTTCTACAAACAATAACTGCAGTACAATTACTCAATGGCAAATGTGGCAAATGATGAAAAATTTGGCAAATTTAAATTTAAATTGACAGAGACTGTTAGCTATGATTTATAATTAATGAAAAATTCAAAATAAATAAATAAATTGGTACCACTGTTTCCGGTGGTACAAGTTATCTATATGACATATATCATTACCTCCTTTTCTTTGGGATTCCTAAATTAAAATAAAAAGATTCCTAAATTATTAGGTAAAACAAAAAAGTTTTTTTATTATTATGTAAATATTCACCTAGCTACATATCCACCACCTTGTCTGATAACTCCATCTAATGGAAATCTTACCAATTACTAGCTGACATCTCAAAAGGCATCTCAAAGTTCAAACTATTTTGAGATATTGAACATTGCAAATTTATTGACAGTTTTCTGACTCAGATATGGCAACTTATAATATAGTAAAACTCTAAGAAAATTATTCTCAATCACTTTTTTTAAAATTGATTGCCATACCCTTTTAAGGGATAATTGAGTCGTAAATTATATACATTCTCAAACAACATTAATTTTGCAATTTAAACATTCACATGTTCATTTTGTTACACAATACTGTAGATATGCATACTTGTTGATGAGCAGTGTCCCAACAGCACCAGTATCATCTGCATGATTTAAAACACTTGCCAAGTACTTTGGTACCTTGAAAATTCCAAATATTTAAAATAACAATCTGTAACAATCATTCCTACTTTACTAATGAAATAGTTCGGGGTTTACAAATACCCTACAATGGCCAATAAAACATCATTTTAGCAGAAGGTCGTAACCACAATGAAACAAAACACTTTTTGTCATGTGATTCAGTGATTGCTACAAACATTTTTTTATTAATCTAAAACTTTATATCACAAGGTTTTCAATACAATACTACAATTTCGAAAATATTGCTGCAAATACGCTAATACTACAATACCGTATGGCCTTTTTACTATTGCTCGTGTATTTTCTATCCTACCGACTGACTTTTGGCCGAAAGCCACGTCGACTCTACGTATTAAAGAAAGGAAAATACAAATCAAAATAAGCGCACCTTCACCAACCATACTGGATGAGATGCACCGCTACAGTCTATTTCGTTTGTCATTGCTATGATTACTTCATTTCAGTCGCGATGAAACCAACAAACTTAAGAATATATGAAACCAAAATCCCACGAGGTAAACATGGCGGACATATTCATGATCACTTCCTCACTTTCATGAGTTCCATCCAGTTCAATGTTCATCCACCAAGTTCATTTATAATTCGTTCCTCAAGCCCGCGGTTAATTAGCTAGCGGTTAAACAACAGTGAGCTCTTCATAAAAACAAAGGCTTCTGATTGGACGTTCACGCCGTTGGAATCTTGTAATACAGTACAAACCGTAATACAGGTTTTTAGGTGCCATTCAGTGATAGAGTGACTATATAGAGGTATGTGTCTATAAAGAGCAAGCACGCGGGGGTGCTAGGGGAGGACGCGGAATGCTCAGACAGCGCAGTTTATTTAAGAAGGGAACTTCGGAACTGTGTTCGGAGCAAGGATGAGCCCTAAACATCTCACCAAGACGGCAAGACCCAGACCTAACGGCGTAACCTGCCCTTGGCGTGTGCATACGGGGCAGAAATAATTAATGTGCAGAAATAATTAACCATGAAATGTTCGAGATGTAGAATCGCTTTTTACCTTTTAATGGAAAGTTCATAATAAAAATTGTAACAGTTCTTCGTCTTTCATGTGATTTTCTGAATCAAATGATTACTTGTTAGTCTTGATAATTATGACGTCATGAATCAGGCATGCGAGTAACGGTCGGCTGCGTACTGCGTACACTCACGAGGGATATTTCATGAAGGCAAATGATCAATTCTATATAATTACCGGTATAGGGTTAGGATATCAAAGAAAGTGTATTATCGTTATCATCATTTAATTGTATAGATGTTTAATTTCCATACCAACGCTCTATAAGCTATATATACAACTATATTCAATTATGTTCAAGCGATTGCAATTCCCATCCATTTCGATCCACCCGTTAAGTGCACAATTACGCTTATATTTTACTGAAAGCGCGCAATCACACTCGTAATCATCGTTGAAATCATTTCCGTACAACTTTTCCACTCAGGCTATCCCTCCGCTATACCGGAGGTTGATGTTGAGGGGTCATTTCAGCCTAAATTTAATTAGCATTCGTTGGGAAGAACGTAATAATGTTTAGGAGAATGGTGATTTGCCAATCACAATTAATACATGTTTGCTTGTGAGTAAACTTTTAGAAAACTGGCTTTTACTTCGATAGTTGATTCTAAATTTTTTCACTAGTTGTCACTTCGTCTATTCGTTACCTAGCTGCATTGATAATGAAATGCTATTATGCTAATCTATCAATAATATTGATTGCTGTGCGTGCAATTGCTGATATAGGTTGGGTGTTACAAAGGTAAATGAAGGTTACAGGTAAAAAGGGAAAAAAGTTCTGACAGCATAAAAGTCACTGAGAGCATAAAAGACAACTGATGCATGTGATTTTGTCCTTGCAACAGCGGTCTTCATTGGTTGCTACACCGCACCATATTAATAAGTAAATATACAGTCTGTATTTTGGGATGTTTTTTTGCATGAAATGTGTGTTCCATTCACCTTGGATATACAGTAGTCCCTCGCTAACTCGAACAGATTACGTTTATTATAAGTAATACAATAAGGTATAAAATCCAATCGAATCATTCTTCAAGAGATATCATGCCTACCAATATGAATGGTCACCGAGAGTGGACGACGTTTTAAAATTAAAATGATCGAAGCTATACAAAAGGAACTAAAAAAGCTAGATCAATAACGACCGCGGCTCTACAGAAAATCTTTTGAAACTTTAAAATCAATTATACATTTATACACCGATTAACTTGTTGTTATTTCGATAGTTTCCAGTTGTCAAAATGCTATCTTCTCACATTTTCAAGTTTGCTGATCCATGATTCGAAACCAATGTTCGAGTTAACTGGATACATTTGACCAAGGCCAAGGGAAACCAAAATTTGTTCGAATTAGCGAGGAGTTCGAATTAAGCGAGTTCGAGTTAAGCGGAGTAAATTACTATAAAAAACACTGTCAAATTTAAGGGGAATTGGATTTAGTTCGAGTTAGCGAGGAGTTCGAGTTAAGCGAGTTCCATCGAGTTAGCGGGGGACTACTGTAAAAGCCGATAATTTTAAATGAACACCTTGTGTCTAGTTGTTACTTCGTCTATTCGTTACCGCTAGCTGCATTGATAATGAAATGCTATTAATATTATGTTAATCTATCAATAATATTGATTGCTGTGCGTGCAACTGCTGATATAGGTTGAGTTTTACAAAGGTAAATGAAGGTTACAGGTAAAAAAGGGAAAGACGTTCTATATATGGAAATAGTCAGGGATGTCAAAATGATTAAAAACATAGCATTCATGATGACCTTGAGGCTTTGTAAAGGTTTGTTCACACGATCCAATTTTGTTGGATCCAATTCACCTTTGACGAATGGAATGAAGTCACGTTATTGTCATTGATAAAGCAGTACTGTGTCGGTTTAAGTTAATTTGCTGCCAACATACATTGTCAATTGACTATAAAACATACATCATGCAGAAGAGAATTGGATCGATTCGGCAAAATACGATCATGCGATCATGAACAGACCTTAAGGAATATGAAGATGATCCTGTCGGTGATTAATGAAAACTAGCCTAAAACAAGTTAACACGCGTACTATAGCTTCTATAAGAAACGGGAATCCATTGTGTTGTTTCCGATAAAGCATTTTGCAACCTACTGTAGTGACCCTCAGACAAAGCGAGTCCCAGATTCCAAGACAAGTATATAAGAACCTGCATATATATATATATATATAGCTTGACTTAAATCTCAATTCTAATAAGCTAATTCTTATATGACTTGCATGGTTTCCCACTATTGTTTTACATACTGGAGGTATACGGACGGATATAAAGATATGGTCAAAAACACCGCATTATCATAATGATATTGACGGAGCCTTACTTGAATCGTGCGGTAACTGCAACAATTTAACATAATGGAATCGAAGTAGGTTTCTAGTAGCTATCCGTAAGTTTAAAAATGAATAAGAATTGAATATCTGTGAACCGCATTTCCTGCATCGCTTGCCAAAATACTCACCTGAAAATTGTCTGGAACTTGTGTGACTAGGTTAACTTGCGTGCCATGCATACCAATCGGTGTATATCATGTCTTATAAGGCCTTCCGCCAATTGCCGGAACTAAACATTCTTATGTATTTTCGTTTTTTACTTTTTTGGATCATTCTTCTGGCAAAATTATGCAGTAGTCCGATGTAATAAATTATATAGTATATTGTGTGTGATATATAACTATATATATATATATATATATGTAGATTATATAGTATAAAATACCATAAATGATTTTCCATTCATTCAACTCCTAGGTTTTTTACCCTTTTAATTCCCGAAGATGAAACTCTTTCATTTTCAACGAGCCAAAGGTAATCATTTTAAATACAATACAAGAGCAATACGTGCAGCTATGGCTATTTATATAGCTATAATTCCGTTCAACCAAGCAGGAATGTTCCGGTATCACGTTTTTGAGAACTGATACAGAGGAGTCAATATGGAAAAAGTCTCACATTTAATTGATAGGTGCAGTAATCACGCGTTACCGATGCACTGTATATAGTATAGGGAAAATATTCGCTTTTTGGTGCTGCCGATATATATTTCAGCTGATTAACACTAAAAAGTTAACATCTATATTCATTTCATGGCATGCATATCATATTAATAAAAAAACAGCAGGAAACTTTGACTGTACCTGCCTTATTTACCCGCACATAGATTGACGTGAATTCATCATTATAGCTATGGATTTCTTTACCGCAGTCTAGGAAAAAAATACTCACTGTATACTCATGCTTATCCCCGGAAATCCTTATGCATATACTTAGCTTTACTCATGCTGACGTGAAGACCTTCATCGTTCTTCATGCTGTACTTGGTTTACCACAACAGGTGAATGGTAATGAGTTTTTGAATTATTTTCGTGCATGCAACACTTAAAACCTATAGCAACCAAATATTGATATGGTGTTCTAGGCCTCTCTATAAAAGCCGTTGACAACCGAATTAGATATAGGTTTCGCATCGATATCCGTCCGAAACGAAGGCGAGCGAGTGACTCAGTTACAGAAGTTAAAAGAAAACTGTCGAGAAATCCAGACAAAACGTTCCATTGAAAGGTATTAGATCATGCAATAACAATTACTAGAATTAATCTTGTTGTCTGAATAATATATTTAATTAATTATCAAATAATGTTATCACATATTCGCTAGGATACCTTTCATGTGTCATTCAAATTTAATGCTTTTTTTGTAAAATTAGCTATAATTATACGTTAGGCAACTAAAAGATTTCGTTCGCAAAGTTGAGCTAAAGTAAAGAAAGCCTGAAGAAGAGTGGCAATTTACAACGAATGTTACAATTTATATCGCATTGAATAAGGATTCAGGTCTACCCGATCTATTTACGAACTTTTACACTTTAAACTTTTTAATATGCACTTTTGCAACTTACACATTCGGAAGCTGATGAATATTGTACACATGATTTAGCATATCAGCAGATAAACGCAACAAAACGTACTGTAGTTTAGTTTTAGTTTTCTACCCTAAATCATGCATCTCGTGCGAAAGTACATATTCCCGGGTTGGCAGCAAAAGCGAGAGAAGCCAGGTTTTGTAATGGTTTCATAATTGCTATATGGGACAAAAATCGTTTTCCACTGAACTACAGTTGTTCTCCCTTCTTTTCCCCGACTTTCTTTCAGGAAATGATCGAGAGCTTCAGTGCAATCGATCACTTTAAAAATTCGGCAGTCGTCGACTACTTGCCAGCTACAGTAACAATATCATAGACTCTGAGTTACTGGCAAAGTAACGGCCAGAGCTGTTAAGCGGAAATATCAGTGAAAAATTACACCCACAATAAGACATATGGCCGTGTTTGATGATTCCCATTGTTGCCATGATTGTTGCCTAAAACTCGCCAAGTGACTTGGTGTCCGCTTGTAGCAATCGTTTTAAACGTAATAACCAATTTTAACGTAATAGCCGGACTTTAAAGATGACTTAGGAATCCATATTTTCAGTCTAAGTCATTTAGCCAATGATGCAAAATCTTTACTTCCGAACTTGAAGATCTCATTATCTGTGCATCATGAACAAAACAAAGACTTGTCTTAAGAACTATTGTATGGAATAAGGTTGATATTTATCCTAAAATGAGTTTTGGGAACACGTCCAAAGAGGAAATTAGGCCTGGCCATATATCTATTTGTATTAAAATGCATAAGTGTGAGAAAAATATCATATCCTGTTCCTCTGTATCTAATATCCCTAAAATGGGTATTTTTTTCATTATACAGGAACTTGCATTAAATTTTAGAGCGATAAATGGCCATTATGTTGAATTTATTAATTTTACATAGTTTATTCATGATAAATAGGTGCATGATAATTAATGTAGCCATTAGATTGCAATCATTGTTGAAAGCGAAGCTTTAGCGCGCTGATATTAAACCTTAATTGACGCGGGCGGCTTATATATAGTTCCCGCAAGGTGCTAACATAGTATTTGCCGTAAAATAAACTATTCTAATATCGTGAATTTGTTTTCCCTTTATGCAGTCAGCAAATATATAGTCAACGCTTATACAGAATAAAATGGAGGCGAGCGATAAATATAATGGAAACGAGAGAAACGGACTTGCCAGTAAATCAAGTTCAGTGACATCAGCTCCGAAGCAGACCTCTGTGTTCATGAAATATGTCCGACCGTGTTTTGCGGAATTTTTCATCGTCTTGATATTTGTGTTCGTCGGTGTTTGCAGTGTAGCCAATGTTCCATCATTTATACCGCTTGTTCACGGCCTTGCAATTATGGTTTTGGCATTTCTTGCTGGCGGAATAAGGTAAAAGGTGTTTTATTCGTTATGATAGTAAGCTTTTCCCAAAATGTGTTTCAATATCTTTCGGGAAAATATTTTAGGATATCTAGATCTCGTGATGTGACCCTCTAAATAAAAAAAACCTGCTTTGAATTTATTGCGAATCTTGCATTTTCGAACGAGTAAACTATATAAAATATATATAAAAAAAATTACATATATATAATATATATATATATATATATATATATATATATATATATATATATATATATATATATATATATATATATATATAAATTAAAACTGACCGATAAGGAAACTTTGATATATACACTGTCAATTATATGGCGTTTTTAACCGTGTTTGATCTGCAAAATTCTCAACGCGAACGAGGTCCTGGCTGAAGATAATTGGGCCAACGAATGCGGAATGCTTTTACGCATATGGTTTTACACAACAAAACGTAGAAATAAGAATATCTTAGCTTAATATTCTGCTTTGTTTTCACTTTTACACATGCCGTATTACGTACTTTTTACATATTGCACTTAGTAATAAGAAGCTTTATAGTGTGATATTGCACTTATATGATTATCATATTGAGAGCTGTGTTTACTTCGTGTCAGATGGACACTTGCCAGGAATATATCGGACGGATAGCTGCATGTAAACTGCACCAGCAGCTGTTATAATTCATTCGGCATATATGGAAGCAACTGAACATATAAACATGCATGGGATTATAGGAACATTGAGTAAATTTAAAAAAGCTATAATAAGCTCACGACTGTTTATCGCGTACATGTGCTTCATTTGAATATGAAAAAAAAATGTAAAAGTGTTCTGTTATTCAACGCGGACAACCCATTTAAAAAGAGCTTTCTTCCCTTCTTCTCATCTCCTCATCCAACTCTTCCTGTCACTCAAATTACTCTGACCATGTATGCACGCAAGTTTGTTAACGATTTTTCTCTATCGGTCTAATTCGATCCATTAAGCGGAAACTTCATTTTAGATTTAAGAGAGTTGTAGGAGCCTGAAGGCCGACCGTAAAATTGTATGCCGAAAATTGGCTGGTATATAAAAAAAGAGAAATAATATACGCCTATAATAAGTCTCGCAGACTCTCGCTTGCAATTGCAATGAATTTTAATTATATATATAGTTTTGTTTAAGTGGACACAAATAAGCAAAAAATAAAGTTGCACTTTTTGAAAAGTAAATTTGCAATCAGTATTTATGAGACAAGAATAAAAACGCCTATATATACGCTATATGCATGCATGTGAATGCATCGCTTCATGTTCACTGCATGAGACGTTTGCATGGAATCCTGCCATGTGAGGTTACATTATTTTTCATCTCCTTATATAGCGGTGGCCATATTAATCCAGCAGTCACATTAGGAGTGCTACTTGCAGGAGCAATCAGTCCACTGTTGGCATTGGGTTATGTCGTGTCGCAGCTTCTTGGGGCTATTGTTGGTGCTGGCTTTGCTCGGGTACGCACGTTTATTTAGTCAGTCTGCATAATATAATAGCGGTTTGAAAAAGCTTTATGAAAGAAGGGGAGCTATAAGGGGCGTTCATTTTTAGTTCTCGGGGTCCTTGGAACCTGAGTAAACAAGTTACAAGTAGTTGTAAAGATGAACTTTGGACTATAGCAACTTAATTCTCTTATTATGCATGCACGTATCTAAATATCTTCCTAAATTCAATGCAAGTGTTGAGACAGTGTTTGAATTGTTCAGTCACATGCAATGTCAATGCATTATTCTTATCCGTGATTCTATACTTCATGCCCTTACTCTACATGATAAACGCCTTATTTATTTATTTACCGTAGAAAAATTGCATGGGGACTAAAATTTACAAACAAATATTAGTGCCTTATTGCTTCCTATAGACTTGTCCAACAATCACCAAAGACATTTCTATCAAACATTATTTATTTAACAACACCTGCATGGATATTCGATAAAGAATCAAATGTTGTAACACGTCTTTTGCCAATTTAGGTTGTACTCACGAAAGTTGTTTACGAGAGCATCAAAGGAGGTGCACATGGGCTTGGCGCGGATGTGAAAATTGGCGGTGCATTACTGGCAGAAATTATCGCAACATCATTACTTGTGCTTACAGTCCAAATGACGGCCGTTGACAGCAAAACTAAAACACCCGTCGCTCCAATACCAATTGGCTTTGCTGTTGCCGTTGGTATTTATGGAATGTAAGTTACCTCACTTCTGCTATACTTTACAGTTTTTCTAGAAAGTTGGTGCCAATATAAAAAAGCATGATGCATACATATATTGGCTAGCTGGCTTATTATCGAGTCATACATTAATTTATGCCGCGAAGAAAAAATAAATCATGCATGGACATGGAAGGAAACTCTGGCAAAACTGCCGTAATAATCCACGCTGTGTGTATACCTGGGTTACTGTGATGCTTGATCACATGGATTGCAGAAGTTGAAACTGTTTCATCTTAAATCGCATGTTCACTAGCCAGAGAAAGTGAAATACATGCACTACAATTATTAAACTATAATTGACGAGAAGAAGAGCATTTGCATGTGCAGCTAAAACAACATATAGCTATTTTATTACACATGTAGTTATCTTTTATTTCATTATCCTCTGTATCTCTACATTCCCTCTATCCCAGAGGAAGAAAAATCCAAGCATGTAAAAAGTAAACATATATGAAGGAAAAAATAGGAAAACGGAAAGGAAGCGGTAAAAATAGCGAGTAGAAATGCTGCAATTAATTTATGCATATTTTTGTATGTTTGTTTCAGTGGTTCGGTATCTGGAGGATCGCTAAACCCTGCAAGAAGCTTTGGTCCTGCAGTAATTGGTTCTTATTGGTCTGATCATTATGTCTACTGGATTGGTCCATTGTTTGGCGCAATCCTGGCCTCTGCGATATACCGTATTATCCTTGCCTCGCCAGACCGCTTGCTGTTTTGCAAGGGATCAAACGTTCAGCAATCCAGTAGCGATGTCGAGCTCGGAAGCGTCGCTTAAATCTTATAGTCTGGATATTCCTGCATGGAGATAAATGAATGAGAGTTGAAAAAGTCAGTTTATGGATACAAACATCAGCATGTAAGATATATACCGACAAATAGTTAAAAAAGCTGTATAACTCCAGACTCCTGAATGCCAAAGATATTTTATGACAAAAACAAACGTTTTCCAGAAAATATTATAAATAATTATTAATTGCATGCAAGTGTGAAATTACATATACAAAAGAGTATGGTGAAAAAAATTATTGTATAATTATATATAGTATTAAAAAGTTATGTGGTAAACATAATTTAACGTCAACATGGGGATGTTGCATAGTTGATATTCATGCATCAATCAAAAATTGTCTTATAGACAACGGAATACTGCAGTAAACAATTCCCTCACTTTGCAAGCGCATGTGCACAGGTTTTAATGACCACCTTGAAAAGGAACATTCAGACGGTCAGGCCGACATACATGACGCAAAAACAACCGTCGAATAACAAACTTTTTTAAACATTTTTAGCATTTTTTTCCCATCATGGCGTATCTAATAAAATTTAATTACCTATAGTATGATAGTATTTTCTGGAACTGCAGAACATGAATGATAAAAGTCAGAGCATTTTACTTTTTCTTTCATTTAACTCATTCTGCCATGGCAACTTTTGAGTATAAAGGAAACCAGTGTGTATATAACATACTACAGCTTGCAAATATTGGTGGGTTTTTTACTATATGTTTATGTAGGCTACGCTGCATGGCGTTACGGTTTTCACCGGTGCATGTAAATATAATTGCATGAAACCAACTCCGCAGTCAGTGCATGGCATTTCGCAAATGCATGGAATCCAAGATAAAATTTATTTTAATAAGTAGTATGAAATTCACCATCGCATACCGCCAGTTGTTTGGGGAGACATTCATTATTGTAGCTATACTGCAATTATAATCTTAAAATGTAAGTATATAATCTTAAAATAACATTTAAGAGTCAAATTTAATAGCCATATTGCTTAGGGCTATATATGCATGGGTGATCGATATTACGATTGTTTGCGTTTGATTAAGGAAGTATATATAACTTAATTATGATACTATATAAAGTTATAAGACTCGTTTCAAGTAAACGAACCTATATTGGAGTTATTTTATTGGAAATTTTGCAAAGTAGAAAAAGAGACGAAAGGCTCATTTTATGGTGGATGTTGAACTGTAGCGATGTCGAACTTGGAGGCGTGCAAATAAATAAGCAAACTTATATACGAACTCTACCAACTCTACCAACTCTAGTCTAGATGTTTTCAAACCTTTTTATATTGCAAAAAATTAAGTATCAAACGTATATGTTCAAACCATGTATTTAGGTTCTTTGCCATTTTTTTTTCAATGACACGCTAACAACAATCGGGCCCTGCTTTGCGAAGTTGAGAAAAATTTCAAACGTATATGCAATGCAACACGCATGCACGCATAAAATTACACATTGTAACAAATTTCACAGTTAGTAGCATTCCACGCCTACAAGGAATGTGAGGGCCCAACCGCCCAACCTCATTTATATATTCAAATTACATTCACTTTCATTTTGTGGTTTTTCATTTATTTGCACGTGCATATGTCAACTGATCATCTCTCCTCCATTATTTTATAAAACTATTTATTTTATCATTGATCAAGCAATCTGAGCATTGAATTTAAAAGGCAAGGAATTTGGAAAAGGTTAACCATTTCCCGGTATGGCTTGCTATTGTGCCTTTCCAAGAACGGTTTTGTTCTATATCACAGCTGGATTGTATAATTTATACCGATAACATTCCACCCGTCTGTCATGCAGTTGTTATATATTGCAGGAAGACAAGTTGATAACAGTTAAAGCTTCAGTGGTGAGTAGCGTACGTTTGAAAAGTGCATTCGTGTAAATATTCCTTCATTTGTAAGTATATAATTTTAGATATAGCGAAAAAATCAGTATAAAATATTATTGTGGCTGTGAGGTATTACGAGTTAAAGTTTAATTCAAAGTGACTCGAATCAATGCTACAAAGAGCGTGAATCCAACAATGCTATATAATAGTTACCTTGTTAGATTTTGAACGGCTAAACCATCATGTCTACTGCCATTTTAGATGTAAAGACTGAAGGCCTAATATGTAGGTCTAGCTACTGAATTTAACTTCTGACTTGTTCTGTGAACATTATTCATGCATGAGCATTACTCGGATTCTGAACCGCAAAAGGTTTTTGTCTCAAATTATTTTTAATTCAACTCGCATCTTTGGATATCTGCCGCTGTTCTAAAATTTGAACTATAAGTAATATATTGGGATACAACATCGGGTATAGTATTGGGATATAGTATCCGAAGGCCCAGTTATATTTCACATGCAAGTTCGGAAGAAAAGCAATTCAAATAGCCTATCCTATAGTAAATATATTTTCTAGTTTTCAAAACGGCGTTAAATATCTTTCGGACGAACTGTCTTCTTTGGTTTTGGGATTTCGAATGATGTGTTATTATAAGTTATAACTTATACGTTTCATACGGCAGTCATAACTGACACGTTTCATACGGCAGTCATAACTGACACGTTTCATACGGCATACGATTTTTCAGTTCGTTCATCCTCAGCGCTAACAATCCTGCATATTATTGAGATTAGTTGGAATAAACACCCTATATATATAAGCAGCAATTTTTGGTAAAACTTTCAGTCCATCAATCCGACTTTTGGTTAGTGTAAACAGTAGCTATATGTGCAATATATCGTATGGAGCAGAATTGCATAAAACACAATCACATTGTCGCGGTAGGTTGCACGAGCAGTTCAAAAGGCATGCAAGGAATCTTGATCTTGTATTCAAAACTAATTCACTTTCATGTTCATTATTCCATTGTAGTATTAGCGGTTATAATAATCATTCATGTTCATTATTCCATTGTAGTATTAGCGGTTATAATAATCATTTACTAAAGAGCTTCGATGTACTCACAGCACCTTTCACTTTTGGAGGGGGGGGGAGAGGTTGGTGGGGTAAGTCCAATTACCTAAGCGACGTACATATATTTATTGGCGGGATATATAGTTAATTAATTCACTTTAACTTCTTGATTTATTAAACTTTCTTTTTGCAGTCTCAAAATATAACCCCTTGAAAATCATCATGCCATTGAAAAAAAAATTGTCCGATCGTCTCAAAAAACGAACTACCCCAAGCGTTTCGACTGAAGATGAATATCGAAAGGAGCACAAAACACGTTTTGGTAGCACGCTGCAATCCTTGGTTCAGAGAGTTACTACAAAGAAAAGATCTTTCGATTTTAACGCACCAACAAAGACATTAATTTTTTTACGTGAAATTGGATTTATCAAAGAGCTTAAGTCACGTTATCCTAATGTAGAAGTATATACAGGTATACAAGACCCCGTGAATGGAAAATTAAGCCTAAGGGGAATGGGAGATGAGTTCGACTCGGCCTGTGACGAATGTTCTTGGAAACTGCCAAGAATCATTGAACGTTCCATGACATCTGGCGACAAAAAGATTTGGGATGTGATGGCAAATACACGAGTACAAGAACATGTGACGGATATTTTTATATCAAAAAATATTAGAGCACAGGTTTGTCAAATTATTTCCAGTTTTGTTTCCCTAAATTATATGTATTAAATCGGATAGATGATAAGGTTTAATCAGGACTCATGCACAGCATGCATGCACTAAACCACTAAATACTATAACAGACTGAGGATTATAATTCGCAGCATGCACTTTATATATATATATATATATATATATATATATATATATATATATATATATATATATATATATATATATATATATATATATATATATATATATATAAGAATGCGAGTGTTCAACGAATAGATTACGAGCTTGATTGTTGCTTAATTCGAACATTTTTGTCATAGGTTCATTGTGATTATATTGTTTCTTATATTATACATCAACTTTGCCTTTTTTTATTTTCATTCGCTTTGCCAACGGTTGCCACCCAAGGTCTGTTACGATTTCACTCGACCTCGTTTAATACGATTTACCAGTTATAACTCGTGCAGCCCTGTTTTGCACTGATTTTTTGCAACTTTTCTATCAAATAATTACTACATGTATCCCAAACGAATCTACAGTAGTCAAAATGTGGCAAAATTATGGCATTGTAGACTTGTCTTAAAGCAAACTTCGGTACATAAGGTTTCATGCGTCTCAACATATCAATTCCACTAGAAATCTTAGAAACTGAAGAATAGATATGATTTTTCCAAAGGAGCTAGTCATATAAACTATATACAGTACTGTGCAAAAGTTTTAGGCCCCCAGTCAAATTGTCACATGGTATTGCAAGACATGCTAGGTAGAAAGACTTGTAGTGGTCTTGCACTTGGTACAGCCACCATGAGAGACCATTATTGCGGCACAATGCCCAGTCATTGACCTAACAAGCTTGTTTGTTACATCTGGATCAACAGCCTCACGTGATGCGAAAATGGTCTCTTTCATTCTTCCAGATGTCGAGATGGTCTTCTATCTGACATCTTCTTCACTTATTCCCAGAGATATTCGAACAGGTTTAGGTCAGAATTCTTTCGTTGCCCTGAACTGATTGATATTTCTTTCGGTGTGGCTTTTTTCTCTGTCACATGGTGCCCTATCTTGTTCAAAGATAAAGTCTCAACCGCAAAGCTCTCTCCACCTTTTAGAAAGTCCCAAGATCGTAAATTTTCGACTAGATACGGAAAATGGTATGTTTGGGTGGTATCTAGAACTTTCCTAATATAGATGAGATGGCTTTGTGGTGGAGATTATATCTTCCAGTAAGATGGGGGCACCATGTCATTCAGAAAAAAGCCTGAAAGAAAGTGATATTGACCAGCCCAGGGGCAGGTTGTATCAAGCCCGTTTAGCTGTATTTAACACCTCGAAATTTATACTAAAACAATTAGTCACCTAATAGGTTTGTAATCACCTCGCCTTCATGCAGCGACTAATTGTTAATATAGACCATAAGTATATATTGGGTATTTTGACCACTTTAACAACGTTACATTTTTCTCCAATTTAGGCCAGGGCTAGTGAAACCGATAAGTCAATTGTCATTACTGCCATGGATAACATCGAGTTGAAAAAGGCGAAGGAGCTTTTGTTTGATTTAATTCGCATAAGCACGATCGACGTTCCGAAAGATCTGAAAGATTATTCCGAAAATGAGAATTTCCAGAAGTTTTTAAGAGATCAAGAGAAGAGTATGCCCTTAACGATATATTTTCAGCTTCACCCTCCTCAAATAGAATTAGTTGGCATAACAACAGCTGTCGATAAAGCGGAAACTGCAATCAAACAACAAGTCGAATCCATGCGCATAAAAAAGAAGAGTTACACGAAAAATCATCCGGAGGAAAAGTGGATATTTCTGGAAATGTATTTTAATGATATATTTAGCAAAGAGAGAGAACTCTTGAGTTTAAACGCGAGTTTTAGATTAGAGAAACAACATTTGGGTAATTATCAAATCTGGATCACATGCATCAAGGAAAGCTTTCCCGAGTGCGAGAATGCGATAAACAGCGTCTTTGAAAAGATAGCGGATAAAGAGTTGAAGTTCGCCTTTCCAGATATAAAGAAGTTAATCAACGGAAAAGGTTGTCAAGATGAACTGAAAAAGATTCAACGAGACAGAGGAGTTTACATAAAAGATGCTTCTTCGGGTGATTTTCCAAGATCTGCGACTTTTTCACACAACCGAACACAAGAGTGTTATGATCGATATAACTATACTACCCAGCCAGGAGTTAAATTGTCTTGTAGAAATGGGCGAATTGAAAATGAGAAGGTATAGCTATATGACCCGTGTATATACATCGGATCCCCGACACCGCGACCGCAATTTTAGCCGTAATTCTCAATACTTAGACTTCAAATTTGGTGGGCAAAAAGATTTATAAATGCTTAACAATATAACTCCCACAGACGATTTGAATCTTGCACACAGTAAAAACGAGCTGTCAGAATATTGCAGAATGCGTATTCAGATGAAAAATTTACCTTTTTCAACTTATTCAATAGTATTCTTTTTGATATTGAGACAGAAATGCAACCATGCACTGTTTAGATTTTCGGGTTGAAACTTTATAAACATCAATTTCTGCGGTGTTGGACCCCCCCCCCCATAGCTTTAGCCAAATGAAAATCAATATATCAATTGATATCTCGTGGTTAGTGCGGACTGCACGCGGATGAGTTCTCAAAAATATACCTCTAAAAATATATACGTCTTAATTTTGAACAATTAAAGCTGTGTTTAACTATTATATAGACACGCGCTCGCTTTGAAGCTAGGTAGGGGTGAATATTCATACATTATAGCCTTATAATTGTGCCCACGAGGCAAGTTACATTTCATATAGTAACATGATGCATTAATTCAGTTACTATCTTCCAATTCTAGGCGGACGTTTTAGTAAACTCTGCACTGGCAAACCTTAACAGCTCAACTGCCTGTGGTCTAGCACTTCAAAAGAAAGGTGGCCCCGAATACACAGTGGACTGTAGACGGCATACCAATATTCCCCTGTGGGATATTGTTTGCACAACAGGAGGGAAATTAGCTTGCAAGTATGTCATTCATGCTGTTTGTGGCAACTGGAACAAAGAGAATGAAGAAAATAGTAAAGAGGTTTGTAATATATTCTAAACTAGTCATTCTAATCCTTTCTTGCCATGCAATAAATATGTTGAGCTTGGTATTTACATAAGCCTTTTTGTATCTTTAAGCATCTTTCACAATAAATGACTGCACCTCCTAGCAACTATAACGTAAACAATTACTATAGCATAGTTTAGTGTTATCTTGAGTAGGTCACCGCGCACTTTTGCCTGATTTTAAAACTGCATAAATACAAATCTGTCATGTAGATTAAGAGCAGCACGTTATATAAGTGGAGCTGCATTGATTGGCTACAATGCGTGTGCTTCTGAAAAATGAAAATATTTTACCTATCTTATATAAATTATACAATTTAGGCACTCCGAAAACTTCTCAAAAAGATATTTGCTAAATGTCACGAGCTTGGTGTTTCCACACTCGCCATGCCAACTATCGGAGCTGGAAAACATAGTTTTCCAGAAGATTTGGTTCTGGAGATAATACGCGAAGAAGTTGAGATGATTTGCTTTAAAAGCGATGGATCGACAGCTCTGGCGAATGTATCAATCATTATCTTCCCTCAAAAGCAATCGCATAACGGAAGTCAGTCGAAAAACTTGTCCAATTCAAATCGATATTCGCTTCCTTCTTTTACCAACTATTTCACAAAGACTGCGACAGAGAATGAAATTACAATACGATTTATTGGCTTTAAACCGAATGTAGATGACGCAATTTCTGATGTGAAAACGTTTCTGAGTGGAATTACTGACAAAAAATCCATTGAAAACATCGGACATATTCTTTCTGAGCGCGAACCCGATCTAGAACAGCTATCAACAAAATGTGGGGTTTCCATTGAATTGTCTTTGTCGGCGGGAAGTTTGACTGTACAAGGTCTTAAGTCTGATGTCGCTGATTTCATAGTGCAATTCGCAGAGCTGCAGAGAAAGCATGAGCTGGAACTTCAAAAGAAGAAATGGCTCAGCGAGATTTCCCAATATGTGCAGTGGTGGTATTTATCGGCTGGTAAATGGGTCAGCTATGACGATGTCACGAATAAAGAGATAGAAGCCGCCTATTGCGAAGATGCAAAAAAGGAATTCGATATCTCCATTAACGGTGAAAATTATCGTGTTAATCTGGGTAACAAAGAGAAGAAAAGTTACACGACTGGCCAGTTGGTTCCAATAGAAAGAACGTTACAAGGTGATCAAGATAATCTTTCCGGTATGTATTTTACGCTGGAAATTTCCTGCATTTAGTACTAATTTAAAATAATATTACATTGTCTATAATCTATATATTCATTCTCCTTTACCGCGAAGACTCTGTTTAATATAGTGATGACGTTTACGTGACCATGCACATGGCCTATGCACGTTTATCAGCTGCATGCTTGTTCTGCGACCAGAGTCGAGATTGACTATCTTGACGGGTTTTATTGCCAAAGAAACTCAGGAAGCGTCAGGATTCATTCTACAAACAATCGTTTTACACTGTGTATAGAAACGAAGCAGAAATAATAATTTTGCAGTAAAACACTCAAAACATCAAAGTTTTTCAGCGTACCACTCAATTTCATTTATTTTTTTCTTGTGGCAAACAAGAGAAAAGAGCAATGCCATTATCACTGAAATGAATACAAAAGTAACTATACTCACGTTAAAAGTTTTTGTAAACTTGAATCGGTGGTTTTGGGGGGAATATATATCATATAGTTACTCAGACATAATTGATTTATAGTGATTCATTTTCTGATTGCACTTTTTTTATAGACATTTTCCCTGCACACTGGGATGCACTTCCATCAGATCACGAGGTTCATCTTGTTAGTTTGTCAACATCATCACCGGAGTACAAAGAGATTCTGGTCCATTTTGAAACAGGTTTCAAAAACCAAACCCGAATATTACCATCAGTTACGAAAATCCAAAGAATTCAAAATCCATCGTTGTTTTGTTTTTACTCGGCCAAGAAAAAATCAATGGAAGGGCGAGAGAATGAAATGAGGCTATTTCATGGTACAAACGTCAAAAATACTAAAGCAATTAATGCGAACAACTTCAATCGAAGTTTCGCCGGAGATAATGTTGGTAAGAAACAATGGCATGTTAAAAACTATTTAGAAAAGTTGAGTTGTAAAAAAGCCCACCAAAAAATATTAAAGGCATAGTTTAGGCTTTTATTTCATCGGGTTTCAAGGAACATTAAGAGTTGCAACCTCAATTGAAGTAAAAAATAAAATCAAAGAAAGTTCACCAGAATTTAGTACTCGTGATGCCTGGAAATTCTGCCTCGTACCATTAATCCCGAATTGTACAGTACTCGCCGTGCATGATTACTTACACTAATTAGTAATTACTAATTGTCAGACGTTTAATTTGAATGTGCGTTAATTGTAACACCTCTAACTCCTCTCACATCTGAGACTGAGTAAAAAAAGTATTTAGAAGTATCTGAGATGTAAATACGGTAGTTTATACGTCTTGATTTTTGCAACATTTCAAAGATAACTGAAAACGCTTTTCTCTTTTAGTATTTTTGTTGTAAATTTCCCGTTGTTTTTGCCCCGTATACCAACAGAGAGAATGCAGCGCGAATCCCTAAAGGGTTTACCATTTAGCCTACAGGATTTGATTGTTATTTGAATGATTTTGCAGGTACGAAATTCGGTCGTGGTGTTTACTTTAGCAAAGATTCATCCTATTCTCTTGCATATTGTGCTGACCAAAACGACCATAAACCGAATAATGCTGGCGCAACTGTTAGATCGTTCCAAATGTACGTAGTCAAGGTATTGGCCGGAGATTACACCAAAGGCAATAAGAAGATGAAAGTACCACCTTCAAAGAATGATCCGAATAATCCAAACCTGCTATTTGATTCAGTTGTAGACGAAATGGTTAATCCATCGATCTTTGTCATATTTCAAGATCATCAATGCTATCCTGAATATTTAATTACTTTTAACCATACCTAAAATCATGGACATATAACACGACATATTATTAATTGTTCACTCAAAAATAGACACTCGAGGAGGGCATAAGAATTTGCAATTTGTCAGTTTTATAATGCAAGAAAGATATAGAAAAATATTACCCAAAATGTCGTGTAACAAAGCACAACATGTTGTCAACTTTTGAAGATATAACGTATAACAGTTTAAAAGTTAAAATACTTGAATTAAAGTATTAAACGACAAACGCACAAAGAAATTGTTTCAGTGCTTCCGCTACAAGCAATTGACCGTAACGAAAAAGATGGCGGCATGTACATTTTACCAGAATGCATTGCAGAAATTAAGAATGATTGACTGAAAAAAAGATGGCAAGAAAAACACCTAGTGACGTGAATTTTAACACAGCGAAGAAAATAACTTCCTGTTTTATGCCTGTCCTTTAAAAGACGTCAGTTCGCTTTTTTAAGCGATTTTCGACCGCAATGCATTCTGGTAAAATGTACATCCGCCATCTTTTTTGTTATGGTCAATTACATTTATTTGGTAAAGTTCCACGAGTGGAAAATGGAAAAATAGGTATCCCTATGTTTTCCGTATTAAATGGAAACACCACCTACAATTATATTTTATAACCCCGCTCCTTGGTTGATAATTGGTTGCCGTTTTCGAGCAATTTTATTTTATTCTTCTAGCTTTTTATGCTTTTAGCGTATGAAATGGCCCTATTTTCATTCTTTTACGTTGTTATACACTTTGACTATAATTTCAAAGAAATTTTGTCGATATGCTTTTCGTAAGCGAGTATTGCACTGTACATAAAATACTGAATGCCTACTATGTAAAGCACTAACGCGAAAATAGATGTATATAATTATATATAGCCTACGTTTTCAATTGCTTGTCCTTCAAATTTATTTTCAATTTGCGCATATTTGCGCGCGGTAAACTTTTCATTTGTTGCCTAAAGATGTCTAGGCACCTAATTGACATTTTAGGCCTATTTAATTGCGGCACACTGGTGCATTTTGCCCGAACAAATACCTATTCCTCATCCGCGTTGACAAAATTCGTGCTCATATCTTTACGACACTACACTATGTAACATTTGTTCTTTATGCATGCAGGTAACCTAGTTCGAATCTTTCTGGTGTATTTGCCAGCTTCGTACCCAGACGCTTTAATAGTAAAATATATATTGCAATCAGGTATTGTATAGAGGTCAGCTAGAAAAGCAAGCGCGCAGGGGTGCTTGGGGTGGTTTGGACAAAACCACCCGAAACACCCCTGCGCTTTTTTTCAGCTGACCTCTATGCAATAAGTGAATGCAACATTATTTCTTTACTATTCAAGCGCCTGGGTACGAGGCGGTGTATTCGCATAGACAGTCTAGAAATACGCGTGCACAATATTCACAGTATAATATTTCTGGATTTATGAAGATTTAGAACAAAGGCTATTTTCTAGTTACATGTCACTCGTGCCCGTTTGATTGCGGTTACATTTGTAGGACAGTGAGCAAAGGCGCAAATGTGTACAACATAGCCTCGTGTTTTGCAATTAGAAAGAATAAAAATATTGATATTAATAAAGACAGTTACCACTGAAAAAAGTGAAAAGGCTTTCTAACTTTTTGAACGATCAAATGAAGCTGGTTGTAATGCTGGCCTTACGGCATCTTTACTGTGGTGTCTCAAAAACAGTGTTATTTATTTTCAATTTACACACGATTTTCAATTTATTTTCAATGTACACACAATCGTTGACACACTATTCAGTTCCCGTTTATTTATTGTCTTATATGTGCCATGCATCTAAGTTTGTGAAACTCTAAAACAATTGTTTAATGGAATGTCGGACTTCTCTATATTAATATAAATGAAGCGTGGATTGATGTATTTATATAAGGAAAAAAACATCGGGTGGGGTTGTGAATATAATGTGCTTGTTGGGTTTAAAAACACGTAAGCGCGGGATCATGAAGACAGTCTCTTGAACAAATCTCATTTTAGTTTATGTAGTGAGAAATAATTTATTTCTATAATCCACATAATTATAACTAATATCCTGCCTTGCAAACGCTCTCAGAATCCCAAACCAGAATTAAATTGTTTCCTCTGCGCAGGTAAAATACATCGGTTAATTGATGATTTGCAGCATCAATTTAATAATATTTTTTGACAATGAATGTCCTTATTGAGTGGGGATAAAGTCACATGCGGTAAAACGACTATATTTGTCAAGAATTTTCATATCGTCTCGAAATAACAATTCATCGCAATATAGCTACTCTTTGTTTTGATATCTGCAGGAGATCATTAATACGCTACGTGACTCTTATTTCATCAGCTTGGTCGTGAGGAAGTACTTTAAAAAAAGGATGTTAATAATCATTTGATACCAGTATATCAACCAGAGATTTGGTTACCATGAAAACACCTCTGCAATACCAATGCCTATCTATGGGGCATTTCCGCTTTCATGCTTGTCATCACCTCAGCTATCACCATCCCATTTTGCGTCATTCTGTATCATAAAAGCGTAACGCTACTGCTCAGCTCCGCCTGATCTCTGCTTTCATCGTCAGGGAGATAAAGTTAAGTTAAACAGAGTGCTCAATAAATTCAGGAGAAGATCTTAACACTCAGAAAACTCAATGAATACGATAAGTCAAATCTTCGTTGCGGTTCTACTTTTCAGTACGTACTGTTCAGGTAAGGTTCCGCTATTCAGAAATTCGTGCGCTGCGTAGTGGGTATAGCACCCAGAACGGTATAGCTTTGGCCAACTCTTGATTTTTGCCATGTTCCCATAATATATCATGCGCTGTTTCTACATCACGTTTCCGTGAATTCAAGGTAAATTTCTATCATAGCAAAACGAAAGTGTCTCCGATATTAGAATATCTAAACTTGGCCTTCAATTCCCCTCATTGTTATTTTTTGTAATTTGAACCGATATATCTGAAGCACAAACAAAAGTTCTCGTCGTAGTTTTCTTAGTCTCAACTTTTACTGTATGTTTTGGGTTGCTAATATGGATAAGATTAGGATGAGTTGTATATAAACAGTTACTGTTAGTTTGCTGAACATTTAGGTGTGGAACAGGAACCACGGCATTGTATAAAAGCCCTAAGCTGGTAAATTTTGCCATGCGCAGACAAATAAATGAGTAACGGCACGAAATAAGCGCTTCAAAGATCTAATCGGATCATCGTGTTTATCAGCACTATAACCTGTGAATTATATATTTAAAAACTATGCATGACAATTTCCTGCATCTGCGCTGTATACCTTCACTGTGCAACAACTACAAGTATGTTTATATATGTATCAAAAGATACATGCAAAGTTTTTGAATTAGAATAGGTATAAAAATACTCCTTAAAAGTAAAGTTCACCCTTGGAAGAATTTGTATCCCGAATTATACCGATTACGCACATTCCTCAGATAGCGAAAACAGAATTTGGCTCACATGACTCAGTCATATGGGTCATATGGAAAACACAGTTCCTTCGGTTTTGTGATTGAATTGATCATGCTGCGCGTTTGTCGCGTTTACTGTATCAAAACAGGACTAATAAAAACCTAATGTTTGCAAGATCGCGAATACTAATGCATTACAGTAATAAGCTGGCGATAAGCCGTTCAGTCTATAACCATTCAGGTGGGAAAAAATAGAATAAATAGAAACGTTGCATTTGTTAGCCGACAATCACGGGAGAGGTGTTGAAAACGCTACAGTTGTTGCAGACGACAAGACGATTTGGGAAGACATTTATAGGTCTATAAATGCCAGCGGAACGGCGAGAACGGATGAAGCTAATCTTGATATATTCGACACCATACTCATGGTAAATGCAAGAGAAAGAGGTACGGTTTCTAGATCTTTATCAACAAAATTATACGTGACACCCATAAAATTGACATGCATGTTCATTTCCTAAATTATCTATATATACGCGCATGCATATATGTTTTTATACCTTTGCAAAATCTTCTTCCAGTGTAGTTTTAATTCAAATAGCGCACCCAGATCTAGAGCTAGTCGAAATAAATCACGAAATAAATTCAAATTACTCGAGTAGCTATAACGATACTATTGGTAAATTTTTACAGAATATTTTTAAAGAATTTAAATGTACGAATGGAATTATTTTGGCTTTTCACATGCATGAGCCCATGCAGTTATAACGAAGCGTGGGATGATTTTGAAGTCTTCAGGTTAAAACCAAACAATCGCATGTTATTGTTAGGATGACTATATACAATTAGTATAAACTGACTAATAGGCTATCACTTTTCCTGCGTTCTGATTGGCTACGCTACTGGTAGGCTATTAGTGATAGCCTACTAGTAGCAAAATTCAAAACAATGGCGGAAAATTCGCGTTTCGCCGAAGTATCTGAAGATTTTTTGGACGACTTGTTGGACAATTCCGTACCAGAAAAAACAAAAAAAGCAACAAAATACGGAATTGCAATTTTTAAGGGTAAGAAAATACATAAAAATAACGTATACTCAATTGAATTTTTATATTTAAACTGAATTTTAAAACATTTTACGCGAACAACAATTAAAATATTTTCTTCCTTTAATATACGAAATAAATTTCAGAATGGTTTGCAAGCCAACAAGAATTTTATATTGTGTTTCCTAGTTGTAAATTAATGTTATAGTTTATACTAAAACAATTAGACAACTCGGCCTCGTTGTCTATGAGCAAATAGTCAACTCGGCTTCGCCTCGTTGACTATTCGCTCATAGACAACTCGGACTCGTTGTCTAATTGTTAATTATATACCAGGATCATGTTATTTACTCATTTCGTTCTTGATATTATGATCCTTAATCGTTATTTGCTACCTAAAATATAATTTTTCTCTTTGCATCGATAAAGTTGTTACCCCATCTTAAATTAGGTCCCACGCTCTTTATCAACCTTGTTTATTGGCAAAAAACACCTTTTATAGGAAGCGGAATTGGAAGGAGTGATGAAAACGTATTTCTCTTCGAGGGAGATATAGAAGTCGACAAAACCGAACTCACCAAGTCCGGATATCCAAACTCATCATCTCGAAAAAAAAGAGCAGTTATAAGGAATAATGGACGTAACCTTTGGGGTAGTATCATATACTACGTTTTGGATAGAAGTCTCACAAGTAAGATTTCCAACCGTAACAACCGTTTTAACTCAGCCAAAAATTGAAAGATTAAAACAAAATATAAGGAATAAGGAATTACTTATACCTAAACAACTGCGGCCTTGCCATGAAAATTGATGTTGTATTCTAAAACATTACAGGTAACGCAAGGCACTATATAGGCACCGCAACAAGAGAATGGCATAACACATTGCCGTGCATAACCTGGCGAGATAATACTGGAGGATCAAGAAAGAGTTCGTACATGCATTTCTTCCGAGGCGGAGGGTAAGTCAAAATGATAAGGCCGAAACGTGCGCATGGGACGTGATTCTACACCGCGAGACGCGATATTTCATTGCTCAGAAACAAGATATTTAAATACCTTTGTTTTAAAAAAATTACGAGCAAAAAATTATGATATTTGATGAACGATTTATATTTTACTTCCGTTTTCAATTTGCGTCGTGTATCCGATATGTGTGGGCTACGACATAAAAAACCGCCACAATATTTGACATCATGGCATGTCGTAAAACATGGACAGGACTATGGATTGGACTGCAGTTGTAAACTATGGACTGGACTTGTAAAACATGGACACCAATCTTCGAATTTGTTGGTTTAAGCTCATTAAACACACAATGCACACAACAACACATTACAAAACATCTTGTCACTCTCTGCCCCACCTTTACTTGCCGTCGGAATTGGCGACGAGAACGAAATAGAAAACGTCTACTATTTACAGGCACACAAAGGCAAACATTTTGTATCATAGCTAGAATGTGTAATTAGCCTTTCTCACGCCGCCATTTTTGGCGAACTGTAATTTTAAGCGATTATAATGTGAAAAGCAATATTTCGAAACAAACTATTTAAGTAGTAAATTGACCATCATACACCTATGTTTTCAGAATTCAATGTTTTATTCTAGTCAGTTTAGTCTCAACCTCGTCCCCAGGGTTTTCGTCGTAGATCCGAGGGAAAAGTGAGAAGACCCTGGTAAACACTGTGAAAATCTCCAAGATTCTTGGAGATTGAGTGCATGCGTAGTAACGAAATTCCTTAAGTATTGACCGAAATGAATGCTGGCGTGCAAAAATTCCAAGGCTTTCACATCACGCCAGCATTCATTTCGGTAAGTACTTAAGGAAATTCGCTATTACGCATGCACTCAATCTCCAAGAATCTTGGAGATGTTCACAGTGTTTACCAGGGTCTTCTCAGTTCTCACTTTTCCCTCGGCGCTACGAAGAAGACCCTGGGGACGAGGTTAGTCCGTTCTATAGTTTACAACTCCAGTCCAATCCATAGTCCAGTCTATGTTTTACAACATGCCACGTGTATATTACGGCTGTTAGAGCGATCATGGAACAAGTACAACATATGAAACTCATCCATGAACAATTGTCGGACATTTTTCTTTCATTAATATGTACTTTATCGAGAAATGTAATTAGCAGCTACATGCAGTTGTCGACTGTCGCCAGGTCTGACTTGACAAGTGACTTGGAACGTCATGCGCTCGGATCTCTAGCTTTCTCCCGTGCAGCAATGAAGTTCGATCTGTGCTTTCCACTTACACGCCTTTTTCTAATATACGTGCACGCACTGAAAATTTTAGAAGGCGTCTAAATTTTTTATTTAACATCTATAGGTCAACAAACGCATGCTGCTAAATATGTGGAAAACCAAATTTTTTCGAAATTTTTCAATCAAAAGAAATTTTTCGCTCGATTTTCTTTTTGCAATTGTGACCGGTCAAGGGCATCCGCCACGGTAGACTTCTCACAATTGTCAAGAAAATCGAGAAACGCCTAGTGGAAGCCCGGCTTAAGTTTATTCAAAATATAACAAATATAATGATTTAGACTTTTACGTTCTTGTATATGCGTATATCAGAAAAACGTGTAAGTGAAAAGCAGCCCGTGGCTAAAGGCTAGAAGAAATCTGGGGATTGGGGAAGCCTAATAGCCTAATTAGTGGTTCATATTAATGGTCCATCTTGATAGCTACTCTTTACAAAAATACTACTAATTGCTTTGCACTTTTTGTGAACATCCCAAATCTCTACGGCAGGTCATATTTTAGAGTGATACTCATTCTCATACATCAGGGGAAATTTTACCATCGTCTACTGGTTCGCCTTTTATTCAACCCAAGCCGTCCACACATGCATGCATGGGTAGTTAATAGGGAGATTTAGCATGAGGACGTGAACGTCAAAGACGGCGTGAAAATGGCAAATAAATGGCGTGGCGTGTCCATATATAGACGCGTCACGCCATTTATTCGCCATTTTCACGTCCTCTTTTGACGTCCACGTCCTTGTGCTAAATCTCCCTATTAATATGACGAGCCGTTACATCGATTGGAGATCCCTTTGGTACCTTTATGGCCACCGAAAGCCTCTGCACATTTGACCTCATTTTCATCAAAATGTTTGACAAGTAACGTCTACAACAAGAGCGGCCATTGATTGCATTGCACTGACACGGCCGCAAGTTGTGAAATGAATTTGTAATAAATAAGATTTGAATAGATATGCAAATCAGTATTTTTCCGATACAACCACTAGCTAGTGTTTGTAACTGATTTGCATATCTATTCAAACTAATTTGTATCGTGTATACAGGGTCTGCATGTACCTAGTTCACGAAATTTGGTTGGGTATATTCATGAATAATATGAATAATAATTTCACAAAGTCTCTTTATAGATGTTACTCCCAAGTTGGCCGTGTCGGAGGAGGACAAAGAGTTTCGATTGGAAATGGGTGCGATCATCATGGAATTGTAGTTCATGAAATTGGTAAGATTCAAATTCATATCGGTAGCTTCCACTGTTTTCCTGAGAAATCCTAAACTTGCATTTCAAATATACGTATTACAGGGACGATTCTAAGACTTCCCTATAAGGTCTATTATTTCACCTTTTACGTATAGTGAGGCACTTAACTGGTCATTATAAAATGATCAGCGCACGTTATATTCTACCGAGTATACGATTCCACTCGCAAATTATTGAAAAAGTGACTTTGAAGAACTGGCAAAACAAAGATTTCATTCTTTCCTGCAAATTTCTCATTCTTTCAGTATTTGACTGAATAGCAATATTCTATTTAATAATTACGACTACACTCACAAATCAGGTTTGAAGCTTCCCGCCACAATGATATCACCAACGTCTGTAATCAGACTAACTTGTACCAGAGAAACATGTTTAAATTTTATGTGGAAGGCCATGTTTAAGCGAAATTTTATATTCAATGAAATATAATTAGCGTCATTCAACAGATTATTTGCAATTCTTTAATTTTAGGTCACGCAATGGGACTCTGGCACGAGCAATCACGTCCGGACAGGGATAGATATGTAAATATCCTTTGGAATAACATCATCCCATGTAAGTGCATGCCGTGCTTTATTAGCACTGCTATATATGGTCAATGGTCGACGTCAGTTACTTGTCTCCCAGCTGAGTTTCTATTTAACAGTTATATCAACTTTGGCGGGCATTGCGGTGTATTTTGCGGGCTAAAATGATAAATTTGCCAGGCTCAAATATATTTTAGCCCGCTGATCTAAGCCAATCAGAAGAATGCATGCATGGCTAAAGTGTTTACCCATTGCATATTATTTTATACAAAAATTGCCTTTTAAGTTCAGTTCAGAGTCGGGCCAAAAACTCATTTATGCCCGCGAACATCAACTCTATTGTTTTATTAGTCGCCGAAAGTGAGGTGATTACAACCCTATAGATTCACTGAGCCGAAGGCGATGTGAATATAGTAAAATAGCGACTGGTTATTTCAGATAGATCGTAGAAGTTTTATATTTATAGCCTGTAAAACGTTTAATACTGGACAAGTCTTATTTATTCTAGTTCAGCTCCAAGGCAAAAAGATTTAGAACTAAACAGTGGCGTAGTAGTGGAGTTATTAAAATTATTCGTGTCTTTAGAAAGCTATTGTTTTCACAGTCAGTGAACACGAAAATATTAGCATAGCGGGACAAATCGACAGGCTGGCTACGCTACTGGAACTAAATAAAACCAATTCCGTCGTTCTATAGTTAAAACCTAGTTTGTTATCGTGTTTACAAAAACTATTTTCCACCATTGGGTGTGTCGGGTCTGGGTAACTATAGTGAGTGAAGATTCCTACAAGTCTTTTTTCATTCAGAGAAACTTGGTTTGCAATATGGTATAAACAGATTTCTATATTGTAAATTGTTTACTTATAGTAAGTAGTTCAAAATACATTGGCGTCGTTAACATTTAATTGGCGTCATATAAAACAGATGATAATAATGAATGTTCAGTTTCTTTCGCTCAATTGTAAGAGTATTTTCATTTGGTGAAAGATGGAATGTTCCATTCAATTCTTTGAATGGAACATTCCATCTTTCACCTCATGAAACATTCATTATTTCATGAAACATTCATTATTTCATTCATTATGCGCTCATATATAAACATTCATGATTCGTATGCTATATCGTATGATATATCATATAGAAGTAATAAAATGTGTAGACGACTCCCATAACTAAGTCCAATAGGTCATCATGACTGGAAGTTTTGGTTCAACCCATCCATGAAAGACCCACTCCTTAATTCGCACTGCTTGTTCTAAGTTCCGCATGACGTTACATTTTTCACATTTTCAATCCCCAAATGCATGGCTGGCTGTTTAAATGGATTAATTTTTTTACTTTATTAATTACTTTATTCATATTGTATATATATTTGAGCACCAGTTTGAGAAATATATAAAGCATGCAATCTTTTTTGATACGTCATGGTAAAAAAAGGTGTCGGTAGAAAATTAGGTTTGTTATTCACGCGGTACAGCCAGCGAACTACATTAAGATCTCAGAAAATTACGTCAGTGAAATGTTGCGGTTTATGCAGGTTCTGTCGGGTTTTATTGGGACACCCTGTTATGGGATATTGAAAGTTCTCCTGACTCAAAATTCTTTCACCAATAACTCAAGAATGAAGTAACAGTGTCTATTAAATCTTTGAAGAAGACTCGTGTACGAGCAGTGGCGTGGACAGCCTGACGATTTTGTCCCGCTATATGTAAATGTTATTATAATTGTTCATGTCTTTAGAAATCTATTGTTTTTACAGTCAGTGAACCCGAAAAAATTAGCATAGCGGGACAAATCGACAGCCTGGCTACGCTACTGTGTACGAGTAACAACCTACAGCACATAAAACAGTAACATTGGTATTTCATTTATATTAATACCACATATCCCATAGTCTCGACACTTGGTTTTCTTGTGAATTGACGAATTTAACAAACACGCATAGCTTTAAGAATTTTGTTAAGAAATACTACAGCCGACCATAGTGAAACTGGCGTTCTCTTATTGCCAGGCCGCATATAAAAAAGATACGTCACGGCTAGTGTCAAGTCATGCTTTTTTCATTCTTTATAGCAACGAGGTTCAACTTTCAGGTTCAACCGAGGTCGCGGGTTGACGATTTAGGAGTTGGTTATGATTATGAGAGCGTCATGCATTACGGAGCTACAGCATTTGCCAGGAGCCGTGGCTTGAGAACAATCGTAAGAAAAGATGGTGGGCAACGTATTGGGCAACGTAGAGGATTAAGTACAAAAGACAAACTTCAAGTACAACGTTTGTACAAGTGTGGTACAGCAAAAACTACAGTGAAACCAACGACGGTTAAACCAACAACTCGTCCAGCAAGTATGCATGCTTTATACCATGCAGTAATAACATAATTTAACAAGAACCTTATTTGCAATTGGATTGCTTGAAGGCGGCAAAGAACACGTTCTTCTCAACTGTTCCTGCATGGCTTGAATGAATTTGTGCATGATTCCATATTAGACCAATCAGATCATTACCGTAGAAATTCTCCCACATCGAATGAGGTGGCACAAAAGCTCAATAGATTTACCATATCTATAGTTTGCAGAGATCAATTATCGCACAGCCAATGGTGCATCGAGTCTAAGAAGCTGTCGTTATGTAACAATGGATTGTTCAAGAGTTACATGACTCGATATTGCTGCAGCACATGCAAGCCGACACCGGCTCCTACCACAACGCCGCCACCACGTCCAACCACCAAGCCAGGTATGAAAAAATATAAGGCGCTGTTCATATGAGCTGGGATGGCCCGCTTTGCCGGGCTGACTCGCTAGAGGCGAAATCCCGCTTCCCAAGTTGTATCTATATGTTTTCGAAATTTGATTCACGTGTAAAGCGCGCCAGCCCGCTTTGGCGAGATCTCGCTTGAACGAGGCGAGATCTCGGCAATAACGGGCTCATATGAACGCACTAGGCGGGCTAGCTGAAAATCGTAATCGCTTTGTCCACAAATATGCCATCATGTCGTCGTTTACGTTCCCGTCCTCAACCTAAATCTGTCCGGCTATTAATATAAAATAATTATGTTGTTTGGAGCCGCTTTGTGAAGTTGGAAGCGATTTTAAATTTGTTCAGTTTTTTATCATCCACCCTGTTAAAGGTGCAGACTTGATACGCTTTATAATCAAGGAGCAGCGTGGCAGCGTCTTCAAACAACTTAGCATAAAATTTGGTAAAACAACTGCCTAAATAGACAAAACACTTCTCGACGTTTCGACCTGAAAGCCTTCGTCAGAAGAGTTAGTAAGATACTAACTCTCCTGACGAAGGCCCTCAGGTTGAAACGTCGAGAAGTGTTTTGTCTATTTAGGCAGTTGTTATACCACATTTGATGCTAAGTTGATACGCTTTAGTTTGCGTGTATATTTAATTAATTTGTAATTGCTAATTAAATTGTATCATGTTGAAGATCCTTTTAAAGAAGAAATAACGTGACGATTTCCAATCTTTTAAAGCAGGATGTAGAGATATATCTCCGAAGAACTCGTGTATACGATGGAAAAAAGCAAAGTATTGTACAGAAACGTATGTGGCTTATATGAAGAAAAATTGTTGCGAAACATGTTGTAAGTGTTTGCTAATAGTGTTACACGATCCCGTTTTAATGTCGTTAGCTTTTTCTATTATATGTACAGCCTCGTACCCAGGCGCTTTAATAGTAAAATATATAACGTTGCATTCAGAAAACATATAACGTTGCATTCAGTTATTGGGTAGAGATTATATGTACATAGTCTCTTCATCGGGACCGAATGAGAGACTGCTCGATACTTGCTACACCGTAATGCAACGTCGAGTTATAGACTTATAGTTGTAGTTCCTTGTATCTTTATTTACTATTATAATGTATTTTATTTTTTTACTTATTTGATTTACCGGACCCAGTCAACAACTTAACTGAATAATCGTGCCTCATTGTTCATTGCCATAGTTAGTACCTTATTGTGCATTGTCCATTGTGCATTGGGCGAAGTGTCACTGTCTCCGTTTGTTAATGCTATGTGCACGCCTGGTTTCTATATCCTATATATTACAATAGTATCTTAGCGAATGACATATTTGAAAATTACAATGATCATGACTGGACAACGGTATATATATGCAGCATTGGAATCTGGTGGAAAATATTAGGGTCAGCTCAAATTCGACGCACCTAACGAATGAACGTATAGGCGCTGTATCTTCTTAGGCTCTATTGAGTAAATGCTCGCTTTTCACACCTGCATGCAATATAAAATTATACCTATATATGCTAAATTCGAAGTGTGGGCACAAGCTGACAGCTGATAGTAGCTATATATCCATGCATTCATAACTTAATTGCACGGATTTGCACCGTCCACTTATCAATGCCGTGAAAATGTTTTTAATTCATAGACAAATCACATCTGTTGGTCGCAGATTTTTTTTCAGTAATATTAAAATACTTCCAATGTCTTATTTGCAGCCTGTCGCGACAAGACGGGTGGTTGTGTTAATTGGGCAAAGGCGGGCTACTGCACGGACAATCGGTTCGAGCGTTACATGCGAGACAACTGTAAAGACAGCTGCGGATTATGTAACTAATTGGTAAGTTTTCAGCGGCGTAGCCAGCACGATATGGTGGGCATATTCATGTATTCGTGATACGTAAGATTGGTTTCTTTTTCATTAAATCAATTGTCTTTACAGTCTGTTGACACATTCCCCCCCTCCCAATTATCGATGCTGGTTACCCACTGTAAGTTTCGTGACGATCGATTAATTAAAAATGTTAAGGCAATGAAAACAACAAATTCTATTTTTTCTTTCTGCAGGTATGTATCTTAATCATCAACAGTATATCCGGGAAGAAATAAAGTAAAAAACAAATTCTGATTTTATGTGAACTTTATACCATGTAATCTTTAATTCTTAAGGGGTAAAATGAATAAACAATAAAGTTTTGCATCAGCCATTGCAATTTCTTTTTACTTTGTGCATGTATCGAACTAAAGCCAATCTAGATTCCTAAACTGCAGCTTAATCCAGCACATGTATATAGCTATATATATGAATTTAATTGAGCAAATCTTGGAACGCTTTCATCATATCATTAATTGGTGTTCCACCGTTCCACCAAACCATAGGCAGCCCAGAAATATTAATATACAGTAATTAGTACAGGCAGGAGAAGCTGACCGCGCGCGTAAACAATGCAGTCGAAGACTGAGTATAAACAGATTTCTGGGCTGCCTATGACCAAACTCGCGTTATCGATCCTCACTGATTTCAGTTCTTCTCTAATTCAGATAAGCGCACATCAAACCATTTAGAACTATTTCCTTGTTAAAAGCAAAATCAAGAAATTTTTCCTTGAGCGGAAAATATGCAGTGCGAGATACAAAACAAAGCTTGTTGACATTTCCATGCATGAATCTCTCGTTTGCATGAATAAATTATGCGGCAAATTATCACGTTATACGGGCTTGTTTGGCACTACCATGCTGAAATATACGTATATATACTGCATGTGACTGAACGATGCACGTGTGCATAAGAATTAATAACAGTAAACGTTGCCATGTGCATGCAATATTATCTGTATAGAAATGAATGTGAATCCCCAATACTTTTCGATTGTGATAACTTTCTGTGCCGAGTAACAACATTCTTTCACTGATCGCCGGATCAAATTGGTACTTCTTGCCTGCTAATGAAAATGATTGTTAATGCATATATAATGTTGTTAATGCCCGTTTATAATAGCTCAATTGATTCAGTTTAGCTGGGTAAAAAGCGTATCTTCACAACAAAGATTGTATACGTAAACGCTTTTTTTAGTACTAAGTTCTGTTTTTTTGTTTTCCCTACGTCAATATTTTACTCAATAAGTAATGTCTACAACACGAGCGGCCGTGTTGCATTGAATATTTCCAATACAATCCAGCGTGTTTGTAACTGATTTGCATATATATATCTATTGTGTGTTTGCATGTAACTGATTTGCATATCTATTCAAACTAATTTGTATGGGATATACAGGGTGTACATGTGACCTAAATCACGGGATTTAGTTGGGTTTAAACCTGATTAAATATTCATGATTTCACAATATATATATATATATATATATATATATATATATATATATATATATATATATATATATATATATATATATATATATATATATATAGATACTTGAATTCTACAGCGACTGGACTGAAACTTTTGCCCCCTACTGTATATATATATATATATATATATATATATATATATATATATATATATATATATATATATATATATATAGCGATCATTCGTATTTTTCAATTGCAAATACAAACTGCCTGGCTAATGAGCAGAGGCTAGTATATATGCATGCATGCATGCATGTAGCTATAATCCTGATAAGTTTGGTATAATATCTTTCCGTGCTCATCAAGTTTTATATTGAAATAATTATTTAAGATGATATACAGGGTGTACATGTGACCTAAATCACGGGATTTAGTTGGGTTTAAACCTGATTAAATATTCATGATTTCACAATATATATATATATATATATATATATATATATATATATATATATATATATATATATATATATATATATATATATATATATATATATATATAGATACTTGAATTCTACAGCGACTGGACTGAAACTTTTGCCCCCTACTGTATATATATATATATATATATATATATATATATATAGCGATCATTCGTATTTTTCAATTGCAAATACAAACTGCCTGGCTAATGAGCAGAGGCTAGTATATATGCATGCATGCATGCATGTAGCTATAATCCTGATAAGTTTGGTATAATATCTTTCCGTGCTCATCAAGTTTTATATTGAAATAATTATTTAAGATGATAACTATATACATCCTGTATATTCGTTACATTGTGTATTGTACATCCGCCATGCGGAACGAATCAATAAAAAAAAATTACGAGAAAGACGAGCACGAATAGAATCGAATTAGAGTGATTGTACACCACAGGATCGAGAACGATGCATGCTATAGTATTATTTACATGCATATTATAAAGATGATTTCTCAGTTAATGATCAATGAACGCTAAGTTCAGATTATAGCTAAGCATATTTTATATATCAACTGACACTTGAGGTCACTGCTCAGTCTTTTTGTCCACAAAGTTTTTTTTTCATTTCGTTATAAGAATGCCCCACTTGACGAAAAGGAAATCTATATTATATGGATCGAATCATATATAGGGAAAAGGATTATCGCGGATTCCATCAAGGCAAACGAAAAATGGCTTTAATTTAGTTTGTTTATTTTTTTAAGAGATAACTAATTGCGTTTAATTAAATAACTACACTATAAAGTTTTTTTTCATATCGTTTAGTTAAATTAAAATAACACATCATATATTGTGGCAGCCGATTTTACACAGTATGGCGTCAAGCGAGTAGCTATAAGCAAAAGATTAGCTTATTTATTTAACTAAGGTTTCGATTTTTTTACTTGGTATATACAGAAGTATAGAAATGAATGAGTATCAAACTATTTGCTCATTTTCAGTCGTTTCATGCAGTTCATAACTTATTTAGATATAGTGCATGTCGAAACCGATTCTGGCATCAATTCACTTGACTGTTAGGCGTTAGCCACCATGATGAATTGCATTTCAATACAAAAAATTACACGGGAAAAAGCTCAAAGCTATGACGAGCGTATAGGAATCTTCCTTGTTCCCACAAGTTTATTTATTCAACTTTGCTAATAACATACTTGAAAAAAACAGACAAGGGACATACAGTGTACAGACACACAATGACAGGGACATACAATGGCAAGGAACTCGCTATACAGCTTAACCATGCAGCTTTCGCCAATTACAACGGCCCCTTTCATGCAATATACATGATATGACGTCACAAATACTATTAATAACAACTGGATAATCCACAGGACTTGTTACAAGACAAACATATAGACTTCGATGCTCTTGGATCATCAACGAGGATTTATAGTAATCAAAAAGTTTTGAACTGACTTAATCGACTTGATGTGGTGTTATTGCCTTTTAAGTTTCATTCCATTGGCATTGTGTGAGTATTTCTTTCGGGTGAGATCATTCCTAATCGTGGTATCAATGTGTGGTCTGCCCCAAATTCATTTCAAAATGTTTAAAAGTTTGGCCTTCCCAAATTCTCCATGCAATTTTACTTCTTGTCCCGCAAAGAAGCTCATAATGTAGCACGCATAAAAACAGTGGACTTAACTTGAAACTGACTTTATACCGACATTTCTTAATTCGCTGTTTTCACGCCTCGCGGAACAACTGCATGACACATGAGGTCTGCTTTTTGTTCCACAAAGTTTTTTTCATGCATTTTCTTATGAGAATATATCATTTAACCGGAAGGAAATCTACGTGTTTTAAACGGAATGTATAGTTCAAATCATAGGGAAAAGGATTATCGCGGATTCAAAAGAAGAAAAAAAGACAAATGGCAAATGGCTTTAATTTAGTTATTGCATGTGTTCATTGTTTTAAGAGATGATCGCGTTTATAACTACGTGGCATGGCGTCCTACATGCATGCATATATATAAAGCTTTTTTTCTCAAAATAACACATCTTATCGTGGAAGACGATTTTACACAGCATGGCGTCAAGAGCATGAGCAAATGGATTAGTTTATATTTAACTAAGTTTTTGGTTAATTTATCTGCTCAGACTGATTGCAGTTACAGTTCATGCATGCTCTTAAATCTTAATATAAAGCTCAAAATTAATTTAATAACGGTTTCTATAGACTAAAGCCAGTCGGGTGCATCGCGTGATAATTCTTTGCGGATACCATCAAGACATCAACAGATCAAAGCATACGACAAATGGCTTTGATTTAGTCACTGAGTTTATCATATATTCCCACTTGAGGATAGCCTCCTCCGCATGCAGGCATCTCTTATGTATTTATATTAAGCATTTATATTTGGCTTGGGTTAGCTGTGTCGGGGAGCGAGAAAAAAATAACTCTCCCACTTTTTTCCTCGCCTTCCCCGACACAGCTAACCCAAGCCAAATATAAATGCCTAATATAAATACATAAGAGATTCCTGCGGAGGAGGCTAACTTGAGGACAGTTGAGGTAATAATTTCATGTCCAGAATCCACGAATATAATCCTTGTAGCTGATATAATTCTAATTCTTTATATATAAGTAGTTGGGTGAGGCGTGTTAGGGTCAGGTTTAGGATTAAAGGTTAGGATTCTACTCGTGGGTTCTTGACATGAAAGGTTAGGATTCTACTCGTGGGTTCTTGACATGAAATTGATTACCCCACTTGACCATGGAAGGAAATCTATATGAATTAACGGATATGTTATGAATTAAACCACGCGGAAAAATTCTCGCGGATTCCATTGAAGGAGAAGAAAAACAACAAATGGCTCCAATTTAGTTATTGTGTTTATTGTTTTAAGAGGTAATCGCGTTTAATTAAGCAATTACATATAAAGTTTTTTTTCTCATATATCGTTTAGTTTAATTAAAATAACACATCATATCGTGGCAGACGATTTTACACAGTATGGGTTAAAGAGTATATGCATGCATGTGCAAAACCAAAAGATTAGCTTACTTGGCCAAGCCGTTTCGCCATTTATATGCTTTTGAATATAAGCACACAAATGACTATCAAACTACATATAGATTTTCAGTCGTTTCATATAGTTATATAACAACTTATTTACAGCATTTAGAGTCGAAACCAGTTCGGGACAAAATATGTTATAAAATCCGTGTTAGCAACCGCATGATGAATTGAATTTCGAAATAAAAAATTGCACCATTTGTGTACCAGATTTTCACCAGTATGGCGGACCAAGGACGTGAAATGATAATACATTTTTATCCGAACAGCATTTTCATTTTTTTCCAAAGCCACTTGAGGGCTTGTTTTTCAAAAAGTTTCGAAAAACATCTACAAGATCGCATGGATTTTAGATAATAGGAAAAGTTTTAGACTAACTTTCTGAAAAAACTCGTAAACGAATGATGTGCTTCTCGGCAAATAACGACTATTGATTTAAATAAAATATATTGTATTGCCATGCAAAACACGATAAAACCAACTACGTCATATAACACGTTCAAGTGTGAATGGAAACTGCTGTATTGACTAGCATACATTAGTTGCGAAGGTTTCTGAACTGCTGTTGACAGGTGTGGATTATAGGAAGTAACTGAATAACCTTACAACACATTCGTCGAGACAAATTTTCCTCACCAGAGTATCGCTACGAGTCTCTAAACACCTTACGACAATTTGTTTGTACAGCTTCAACAAGTTAACGACGCGACTATTATTGGTGATCGCTCAAGAGAACAGAATGCTGAAAATCGGATTAATACAATGTTTTGCGGTGTTGTTTGTATTATTGACAGGTATGAGTAACGAAAGCTAGGGTATAAAGTTAAACAAAGTATGTTGTTTGTATATACATATATATAGTTTTATAGGCCCTATAGTTTTAAGTGTACTTCTAAATCAGTTTGAAAGGGTGGCCTAACGGTATGTTACTGCACGAAAACAAAATATAGAAAACAGGATAAAGTTGCGAATGGAAAGCGTAATTGTTACTCCGACATATAGATATATATATATGCACGTGTTTGCGCAAAACTGCGTGTACAACATATAGATGAGAATGGCTGAAGTGTAGTAGGAGTTTGCTGAGAAGTTGAAATTAAATAAGTTGTTGATTATACACAATGGTATGCAACGCGACCACCAAAAACTCTTTAGTTGATAGATGATTTCTTCAGCTGGGGTGCGCGTCAGAGTGAAAATCCGATTATTAGTCATGCATCATATATTTCCCATACTTTGAGTAGCTGCTTTCTTTTAATCCATTAATTTACAGAAACTATCAGTTAAGAACGGTTTATACCTAAAATGCCTAATGTTTTGTCGGATTATAGATATAGCTTATACGTCTCAGTTTTCCTCCCGGCTATACTACCAGTATAAAAGCTAGTTGAGGACTCGGCATATTGCATCCGAGCGGATACGATGATATGAACATTATCTTTCAATTTCTCACAGTTTAAAGTTTTCTCTGCCAATGACACGAGCTATGAAAATTTAGCACTGAGTAGTATATATACCGGATTTAGCACCGAGTTTACCGCGAGTGCCATTACCGATAGCCCTAAAGCCAATATTACACGCATCGCTAAAACCAATTAACTCCCAAGCTCGCTGCAGGTAATTGAATTCAGCAAAGAAGTACTTCAATAGAAAAGAAACACTGGCAGTGAGTTCTTTGTCGGAAAAGGCGGCGATATATGTTTCCGATAATGACATATTATTTTCTAACGATTTATTTAAATTGCATTACCAAAGTGGGACAATTAATTTGCATCATTTAACTAACGAAGTCTTTGCGGTCTAAATTGTTACATAGCTACATTCTTTCTGTAATAACACTACTGACTATACGACACTACTCTAAGATTACCACACAATGTGAACACTGCGAACTTCAATCTTGGGAGGGAGGGAAACGTTTTTCGACTCGGATATGGGATCCAGACATCCAGTAACTAGGAATATACTCCAAGATTGATGAAGATGTTACTTCGTAGATAGAAACAGCCTCCATGGATCCCTTGCAAGTGCTTTTCGCCTATGATATGATTTCCCTTGATAGTTAGAATAAGCTTCCATTTTAATACTCCACCGGGATTGGAATCAAATTTTATTTGTGATACCTTTGTATAATAGGACTACACTCGCGTGTCCTCTAAGACAAACGGTACGTCATTATAAAATAATATTGTGCTGCATAACAAATGGAATAATCAATGCTCGTTAGCAAGCCTTCTCGATCCGGCATAACTACTAAGATAGAGAAATCGTTGAAAATCCTCATTAAGAACCGAGAGAGCCGATGCAAATGTCGTCCACGTTGCTATAGCGTGATAATTGTGAGGGGATTGCATATTCATTCAGTTTTGTCCAAGAAAAACCTTTTGAAAGCTCAAACGCTTTTGAAAGCTTAACGTATTTCTTCTGAGTTCTGAAGCTCCTACTAGTCACGTCCCTCGTCGACGTCTCGACGCTCATCGCTCGATGGACAGGAAAGGATTTTTTTTTTCAACTCTTAGCGAATACTTTATGCTTGTCCGGCGTGTGAGATTCGTTTCGTATGATTTATAAGTGGAAGCATTATGTTACGCAGGTTTCGTATCTTCAGTCTCACCTGTTTTTTACAAAACAATTTACTATTCATCCGTGCCCGGCCTTTGTTTTGTTAGTTTTTGTTACTAGCACTAGTAAAATTGGGCACGGGTACCCATTTTACCCGTGCCAATAAATTGAGTGTAGTGTAAACGGGGCTTATGTGTACTCTGGGATTTGGGAAAAAGGCAATATTTCTTGTCACAAACAATTGCATACAATTTTTCAATGCTAGTCGGTACCCGTGTCATGATGTCATCATAAATTCCCTTATACCTCACATCTGTTGGCATGGATGAGCAACTCGATCATAAGGGAACACTTACAGGGAGTTAAAACACCTCAGAGGGAATTATAGTGCTCACCCATTTGAAAGTCGGCAAGGAACAAAGCATATGTCACACATAATACACGACCCTTGTCATGCAGGGATCTTGGCATTGTCGAGGCGGGAAGAGGAAGGATATCGCATTACAATCAATATTCAGCAACAGAAGGAAATCCGTTTAAATAACTTTTCGACACCTCAAGAGCTTGAAACACATAACGAAGATTCTCCGTGTAACTGTTGATTTTTGAATTGCGTTCTCACATAAACCTAATTTGTTTACACTACGTCGAAAATTTAGTCATTATGGACATATTTAAAAGAAACCGATTCAAACCAATTCAATGTAATTGAGTTTTTGATTTCAAACAAAATACGCGTCCATGTCTGCTCAATCAATGGCGTCCCTTGGTTTTATAATCCAATTAGACTTATTAGAATCTTAGTTACACAGAAAATATTGGAGTCGTTTAGCGGCTTACGTCATCCTTTTACTAATGAAAAATGAAACTTGAGAAGAAATACGGAATAGTTTACGTTACTGCATGAAAGTGTTGTGTGGGATAAACCTGGAATCTACAAGATGTATGTGGTGGAACGAAGGGCCTCTGCTCGAAGTTAGTAAACATGAAGGAACTCGACTTGGCCGAAAAATGTTTTGAGGTATATCCGTATATGCCGATAAGGGCTGCTGAAAATTTACACTTCAGTGAACAGCAAATTCAATTTTTGTGTCAAAATTTGTGTCTGTTTTCTCATATTATCTACATTTTGAAGTGATATTGATGACGTGCATATGTTGTTGCAACTTTTCCTCCCTTCATAATTCCAAGAATGGGTACGTAAAAACATGTTTCATTACATCAAAAATGTTCAGTTTCGGCCGTAGACTGTACAGGGGTATATTTCATACAATAATTTCGAGAATTATAATTGGCGGATCGATATCAATATCACGAAGAATTGACAAACGTTTTGAACATGTTTTCATTTATCGCACCAACGGTTCCGTTAGGAGAAAGCGTTTCGAATACACTTCATGGTGATGGTTCCGTTTTTGCATCCAAGTTTTTGCGAGCTTCCAGACGAAATCCGGTTTATAGTCATTTCTTCGGATGTTATCATGATTGGTACAATGGGGCAAAAGTTCATTTCCTGTTAAAGAAATCCGAATAAGAGAGACACTGCAGACAAGAGTGGTTGACAGATCGATTGACCTATACGCGTAGCCTACTTGGCAAATCAGTCGCACTCTTTGGAGGAAACACTTGGCTCGTGTTTGACCCAGAAATCCTGTGATTGTTGCAAAATTAGTCAAATTAGTCGACCACACGAGAGGTGGCAAGTTCGTCTATACCTGGGTTTCGTCGTTCTGCTCGAAAAATCGCAGCTAACTAGTGTATTCCCTTTCAATTGACGTGTGCGTGAAGACAATTCGAAAGGTGGGTAAAGGTCCACAATACGAATTGTTAAAATATTTATGCTCCGCTGTTTACTGTTTTAACAGGAGCATTAATAGATGTCCCGCTAAACGATAGAACGCTTTGATGAAATGTTGTGGAAGAAATACCCGGGCATACTTGCCACATAATATCAAATGTATATATAGTTCCTTAAGTTTTATAACGCTAAGAGGATTAATTCATCTGTAATAAATCGTTAAGAAAAGTTTGTCACTGAATGTGATGCACGATTTACCAAGCCTCGCCAAAGTGCACTATACTAATACCAAGTGTGCTCTGTTTTCACTTTAATCAGGACAATATTATAAGATGTGGATTAACGACTTCTGTTCGCCCGCCTCTATTCTGCTGCTTTCGATAATCCAGCACATCTTATGGAATAACTGTCATGCGAATATCCTCGAACCACAGCCAGGTATTATACGTAAGCAACTAATATATTCGTTATACGTAGATTATTAACCATTTACTGTATTCGTCATACACATAACATACGCTGTCTATAAGGTGGTTTGCTTACATAAGTACCTAAAAAGTCTAAGGAATCAATAACTAGCTATAACGAAAGCCCCGTTCATAAGGAGAACAAATAGCGGCGTACTGTCGATTAAACGTTTAACATGTTGCGGTAGAACTATATATAAATGAGGATAGAGGGAAGGATAATATATCCGATACTAGTGCGTCGAATATGCAAATGTACACGAAGTTGACATGCGCCAAACCATAAAAGTACGTGCTTATCTCCTAATGTTTTCTCTAATATTCACAATTATCGCTTTTATCAGCATGCCCGTCATTGCTGTTGGTCTGTTGTACGTACATTGTGTCTTAAATTTGCGTCTGCTCATCAACCCACACGAAGAATATTGATTTAAGTTTTTTTTGTCGGTTACCACTGCGTTTAATCGAGCTGTAGAATAAACTGGGCATCACCGCACCACAACAATCGCTCCCTAATGTGAATGCCTTGTCTAAACATATTCTATAATGAATACGACGTAGGTCTGTTAACGTACTTATTGTTACAACTGCTTTTCTTTTCTTATCTAAACGCGATGTTCCGGCTCGATGTGGAGTAACCAAAATTTGCGAGTACGCGTATATCCAGACCCGAGTTCCAGATATTCCATGAACATGCGCTTGAAAAAAATCGCTATATAGTATTACACTATCTTTCGATCGCATGACAGTGTATTTCTATCTATCTCACGCTCTTAGCCATCCACATGCAGCGAGTGCAGTATTCGAGACAAAGCTTGGTGCCGTGTAAGCTAATATTTGAATGGTTACAATAGATTAGTGAACGCCCAAATAAAATAATTGATTAAATATTGTGTCAACTTTGAATATAAATCAATCTGCGCTAAATGCCCGCAAATGTACATTACAAATTGTATTAAACAATGTTAACTCGATACTCAGCGGCCTCGGAGGAATTTCTAGTATTGTAAATTGCATATCCATTTTTTTTCCGCTTGCCGGCCAATTAAGAGACAACAGCTGCATTTGGCACCGCACCTGCATTTTGTTCGGCAAACAGAATACTATTAGGAATCATTGCTAATAAAAAAAAAATAATCTCAGTAACATTTCATGGTTTAACGTTTTCATTTACGCGAGCATGTAAGGAATGTGGCGAGATATATAACATCCTCCCAGAATATATCTGATACATAATGGATAGCGAGATACACTGAGAACACCAATTACAAGCTTGGGTCCCTTGCCGGAATGTAGAAACCGTTTTTCGTATCATCATGTGGGAGGAGATAGAACGATCTAACGTAAACAACTGGCTCCAACTCACGGAGAGGTCATTTAAGTTCATGTGCTTCGCGGCCCTTCTATAGTCAATCTAGCCATCATAAATTACTCTTATGTAAAGATGTTAGTATGTGATGAGCAGCTGTTTTTTCACTACCTAATAAATAATAATGAACGTAAGGAAACATACACTGATGTTGTGCGTCATTCATTATAGTTGCGGGGTTTTAATGAATCACCAGGATCATGACCGATTTACAAGTTTTGGCGGCGTTCTGCCCACTTCCTGCATATCATTGATATTAAATATCAAAGAGTTGAGAATGATAATTCAATGTTCCCCATATTCTGCGATTGCCAATTCTCGAAATATTGTAGACCGAACTTCATATCATGCTATAAATATCCCTATAGGAACAACAATAAATAATATTAAGGCATTATTTTAAAACCCTGCATTAAAATACTTTGCATACTGAACGTGTTGTTCATACGATCGTTGCATTGGCCGTACCGCGTTTGTTTTATCAGTTCTTGCAGCAAAGGGCTTATTGGGATAATCTGAAAATCCTGTGTCATAAGGATTACGAGTGTACAGAAAAAATCATTCTCAGCTCAATGTGTTTAGCTGGGAAAGTTATATATTTAAACAGTTTAAATGTTGACGTTATTACACAAAACAGTTAACCATTAAAAGTCTAGAGATTTGTGTCGCACTTAGACCCTAATCCAAAGCCGATGACGTCTTAATTGGGCTCTTAAATAGTTAAATATGCAGTTAAAGCATGATTTCTGCCAACCTCCATCATAATTACATGTTGATTCAACGAATCATGTTTTAAGTAAGACTATTCGGATCTAAATATATATTTAATTGATATATATTCAGGTCTATATACGGATAATAGGCGTAGAGATTATCATGCACATATCTGTTCCTCCGCCTTGTACTCTCTTTGTTTTTGCAGAAATTGTTTCCGTGGTTGTAGATTTTGCTGCATATTTCTTTGTTTTCATATTTTCTCTATTCAAATAATATGGCAGGGGGCCCAGCCACCTTGATATGTTAACGACAGATATTGACTTCGATTGCATGGAACGGATTAATTAATTTATTTAATTAATTTAAGTTAATTTGAACGCGCTTTTTTTGTAGTGGGAACCTGCAGTTCCCTACCATGAAAGAAATATACCGCTCATATCAAAATTTCGAACATTGGGCCACGCACGTTGTTTTCATAACAAAACCGCCCACAACCCCTCCCCCCATTAAAAAAAAATTGGTTTCAGCAATGGCGACATTATTCATTTGCGTTTTTCATTGACATTAATCAGTGAATCGAATAGGCCTAAATGGATTCCCAAAGTCGGGATGTTTCCTCATTACTCATTAGGCGACGTAGAATGTGCGTGCAGTTACGACTATTCGAATTTCAACCAGCTGCACGCAGACACAATTAAGAGGTCAATGAGACGACAACTTTTTTTAAAAGAAGTCTCACACTTCCCCCATGTATAAGAATTTTCAGTGGAGTTATTCAATGCTGTTAACACATTATAGCTTTAGGGATATAAAAATGAAGTTCGTGCAGGAGCGGCCAACAGCCGGTTACCATGAAACAGGGTCATCGCAAAATCATTATCGTCTTTATCGACAAACCGAATTTTGAAACATCTATATTTATCCCCTAGTTGATCAGTATATTAGTGGTTTTATTTTTCAAACCCTTGGATAGAACAGGCATAAAGGAGGACAAAAATCAAAACAGCAGGCTTTTAGCGCTAATAAGGCTTTGAATCAGATCTGTGCCCCCTTGGGTGCGATCTGTGCCCACTTAGAGCGTGCTTTCGAGGCTTTGCAGAGTTTCATTTGTGTCGTCGCGAATTCTGAAATATATTTTGGAAATAAAAACGCAGCATCCTGAAATGTCTGAGTTTTGTATAGCATTATATATGGTATTTGACAATTCGTCATGCTATTTTTGTATTACAGTAGAAACGTTATATATATAAAGCCTATATATCTTATTTGCCTTTCCGGAAGGTATCAAAGCAATACTTTTTACCATTTATGGACTTTGACTTATTATTCAATCTAGCATAAATTGCGGGCACAATTCGAGTGCCTACTGTCTTGCCGATTAAATCGAATTTATTAAATTACTTTGGAGATAAAATTTATAATCATGCCATTTACATGCAATAATGATCTTATAAGCCACTGGATAGGCCACTTCCAAAAGTAAAGTTCTTATCATCTTCCTGAACAGACAGTCGGTCATTTTCATAGGCCACTGCATATGACACCTGATAACTGAGATCAGTGTACGGCCTGTAACTAAACCAATTTAATTGCAGAAAAAAAATCTGAATCTGACTTCCGAATAGCCCTTCATCTATAGACAACTCAGATATGATTGTATGGCTGCGGAAAAAAGGAATGCAGGGTGCTTTTAGTTAATGCAGGATGCACTTTAGCACTTGTGAAAATGACTGCTTATACGGATTACTTCATATATAGTCGCACAGATTTGTTTTTACTTCTTACCCTGCAATCTAGACGCCGTTGGTGTTTTGTAATACACGCACGAGAGACTAAGTTGTAGACCTGTTATTATTTCGTGCATAAGCGACTATAAAGTACACAGAGATAGGTGTCGTTATTCGCTTCCATAAAAAGAGTACGGCTGAGTACGCGGCTCCTCCGCTGGTTGCAACTTTATCTTGCTTTTAAGCTATGAAAATGTTAACATAATCTTACATAATTTACAAAAAAAATGGAAGGTAGAGACATCTATTTTACCGTATGAGAACTGCCTGAATGGCATGTCTGACATCTAGATTTTATAATAAGAGGGTTCATATGATCAGGATGAAATGCAAGCTTCTTTCGTCACTATTTAATTATTAAAATTTTTATCCCACATATATTTCAAATCCATGTTGACACCAGTGATTGACACACGTCCGTTACCTTGGAGGGTTTTATAGTGTTCTCCCGAAGAAAAACTTTATCGGCATGGGTAATAATGTAATTACTAATTATAGAAAATTTACTCGTTGCCCGCAGTTGTATATGCCGAAGTGCAAGCGCAACTGCTTAAGAACCATAGCCGATTATACCAAAGAAATTGTTCAAACTGCTAATCGATAAAGATTGCCATTCTAACTATTATCTAGTTGAAATATCGTCGGTTGAGTTGTAATCAAGTTGTGTTTCTTATATGCCCAAATATATATATACGTGCATTTGTAGTAGGTTGTGTACGCGTGCATGTCTTTGTTAATTGAAGAAGCCGTTTCTTGTCACAGAACAGAAATTATATCGTGTATATTGAGCCCATTGAACTGACAAGAACAATGGCACCTCCTGATTACATGCCAACACTATATTTGAAACAAAATTTTACCTCCAGACACGCGTGTTGCGAGACATTCTCGCGAGCCCTTTGAATTTAAAATGTTTTAATGAAGGATTTAAAATACTTTACTCTATAGTTTTGACACTATACTTCCGTTGAGGATATAGAGGTAGCGTTCGAGTTCTATTGAGGTCAGTGATATTCATATTGGTAATTTTCATATTCCAACCGTTCTGGAAATGATGGCGTAATAAAGCGCCGGCCGTATAAAAACGCCATTGATGTTACCATAACAACGATATTACCGATATTATCGATAACATCATTTTTGTGAAAAAATCCAACAACAACAAAATTTTAATGACTCGATTTTCCCGCCTTAGTAACAATAAACCTCTTTATCACTAAAAATCTGAAGGACATTTTTTCCCCAGCCTGAGTGCGACCAGCTTATACTTTGCAGACTCGGCGTTGTAAACAAGACCCATCGTGCTTCCTGCATACACTACGTGCATGAATATTTTTCAAATTTGTTTAGTTAGCCAACGATTGAAAGATTGGTGTCATCGTATTTACGGGACCCCGTGCACACGCGGTAAACGATATCCTGAAAATAATTTATGTTTTACAAATTGTTGGATAAAACAAAATGATCGACGAGGACGTTATAACGTCATTGTTGACAACTATGCTCGTGGGGTGCAATAGAGCATTAACAATCCTCATTCGATGTTTTTATCTACAGAAGCAACTCAATTAAGTGGCTTCAGTTACAGCCACCGTGTATCTTTAGAGTGTTATTTGAATGATGTATCAACTCAGTCAACTGTTTATGATTTCATTTTCCATCACGTTTCATGTTTATTAATACTCTTTGAATTGTCATCAACTTTAATTCCACGTAACAATTTTGGCAACATAATCATATTAAAATTAATACTTGATAAAAGGGCATTTTTATAGTTTCATTTCTGTACCGACACAGCAATCAATCGAAAAATATCAAAATATTCACGCAGTAGATATGCATGCTATGGTCCCCTGTGCGACCGTTAGTGAAGGCAGCTGTCTCTTACGCGAATACAGACGATATTTTTATGTTGAATGTGGACAGACATGCGCTTGGAAGCTAAATGATTTTAATTCTATTGAACTGTGGTCAAACTAATCATGCATATATCGGTTTACAACGCTCAGATAGAGTTTCGCCGCCATGTACACATGGATAGCTCTTTTGACTCTGCAGGTATACAGGGATCAACCACCAGGACATTGACCAGGTTAAATGTACGTCCCGACGCTTTGTCGGTGCTGTTACTTAAATTGTACAATATCTGCGCTGTTAAGATGGAATTTCCCCTCGCGACTCGCGTAACGTGCTGAAGCTAGGGTTACATGTTCGCCTTGCATGCATTCCCATGCAATGATGGCGAGTTAAACGTTGCCATATATGATATATGTAACGTGCATGCATATCTGATTACAATTGCGGTGCCTTTTACTATACTAAAAATATATTTAGCCAAGTAAAGATTATATAATGTGAAATTAATTGGAGGGTCCTCCTTTGAGGTAGCATGGGACTCGTTAGATGGCCAGACTCCACGACTACGCCCAAAAGGCGGGAGGCATGAAAACGACCTTATATGGGACAGTATGGATAGCCTTATATAGAAGTTGTAAATATTTTTAAAAAATTCGGAATATGTTATCCATATCGCGATCTAATTGTTGTTTTATCGAAGGTATTAATTGCATTAATTGCATCATAGCATCATGAATGTATATCTGATGACCTTGCAGTCGAAACGAAAGCACGCGGGTACAAGTTCTTATTCACCTGATTCAGTGTTATTTTACTCAGTTGGCGATGCTGTCATGCACATGCACCCTCCAAGAAGTGTTATTTTGGACGCACTTAATTGAAGAAAGAATGCGCAAGATAACAATTTTCATAATATAGCACTATATTATCGACTTCATACGTGAACGTAACAGCCACCATTTTATCGATAACAAACGCATGCTTCGAGGCAAGATCAATATCAACTAAATTTATCGCGTTATCAATGTTTCTCAGGTGAACCCCATCAACGTTTTGAAGGTGAACATTTCAACCATACACGCCCTCCTGCATGTTTATTATTCTATGAAAGTCAGGCGTTCTAGAAAGTCGTGAACTTTTCGGACGTTTTCAATTCCGTTTGTGGTTTTTTATTTTTCGGATGGTGTGGGAACTTTCCTATTATTTCTACATATGTGAGATGGTTTTGAGTGATACACCCTTGGCCATACATAATTGACAGTAATTACATAATTACCCAGGGTATAGAATTCCAATTTGTTTTCTATTCAAAACAAGCAATAAAGACACTGCTTTAGCTTACTGTTGCATGTTTGTGTAACGATATTTGGTTTTAGTTTTGCATGATTATTTAATGTTTATACATTTCTAAATATCGGTCGAGGGTCGCGAGTATGAAAAGTTATCCTCAACCCTCGTCTTTTCACAATAGTCGCCCGAGGAGAACCCAATTGCAATAAAAGTTGTTCCATGGCCATGTATTCGTTACTTTGCGCGAAAATCACAGAAACTCGTGTTGTAACAATACGTAACAATTTTCTATTCTGTATATATAGAGCTTGTAGAAGGTGACATTGTGTTGGGTGAAGCAATCGACGCACTATTAAAACAAAAACACAACAGCGAATATTATCGTGTTAAACGAGACACCATTGCTGATAGCATCAAGCTTTGGCCAGGTGGATTGGTTCCTTATACAATTGAAGATAGTATCGGTAAGATTTCTTGTTGTATGGACGGTCTATTAAAATGGCATGTCTCTCAATACCGCGGGTTTCTCTAAATATTGCCCAGTAGTGATGCACGGACAATGTGAAAAATATAGTTATAATTAAAATAGTTGTAATTATATAACTATAGCTAAGAGAATTCGTCTCTCATGCAAGTCAGTATTCTTTTTGGAAAACAATAATCGGAAAAGGAATAGCTATATTGATGCCCGCTCAGTCTACAATATTTTCATTTTGGCATGGGATCGATGTTCTCGCGCACAGCACAATGCCTGGGATTATTCTAACACATCTTCAAATTTTGACTTATAGATAACGCAGTTAGAAAAAGAATAAGACGGGCATTTCGCCACATATCGAAGCGATCATGCATCAAATTTATACCAAGGCTGAAAAAACAGAAGGACTACGTCAAATTCATCAGTGGCAGAGGGTGAGCACATGTGCTTTTTTATTCGATTTTAAATAGCCTGATATACCCTTCGATGGTTCTTTGCTGAGCATGCATTTCTGCTTTGTCAGAGATTTTCTGTTTCTTCAGAATTTTTTTTTCACTGACAAAGGATCGCGTGACCAAGTAGTATATATACGACAAATTACAATGACAAAAAAGGAACCTTTAGTAATTATCATGCCTGTATGTCAACAGCGGGGAAGCCTGCTATCATGTATAACCAGTAAAGAATGGCATTATTTCATGCTCAAAGATTTACTGATAACTATAGAGAAAGGCAATGTATGAAGCCCCTTTCGCTCTTGACAGAGCGCCATTTACCATTCGCCTTAGTCCCTGGCGAGTAATTCCCACAGAACGTATCTAAATAATTAGAATGCATGAGGATTGTGATTTATGGGAAGCATGAAGAATGTAATCTTTATCTTCAAGCATCCTTTCAGGCGATAGCTCTTTGCCATACACGTGATAATTGCTATGGAAGAATAAAATGCATGACGACCAAATATCAATGAACGCCATAAGAAAACTAGGACTGCAACTTGGCAACGCACTTCAAAGCGGCTAAATTAACCGTATAGTGACTGTTCTTTTCCATCGTTTTCGCGGCTACGTGGTTGACAAATGACAAGAATTAAACGTGCCATGCAGAATCTAGTTTCTCTTCCATGATCGAACAACAATATGATTTTATGAAATATAAGCCCGTTTTCCAAGCGATAATTGAAATGCGGTGATGTGATTGGTTGGTGAAAAAATTCGCCGCGAAAAAGTAAAATCGCTGACCGCTTTTCATCTGTTCGCGCGAATAAATTCGCCTAGTGGAAAACGTGCTTAGCTCGTTAAAGATATTTCTAGAAAATAATGAAATTTATAACTGCTTTTATGACTTTAATGATCGTTCCAACTTTCATCAAGTTCAGAAATTAATGAGTGTTGTTAGACGAATTGTATTTTGTTTCAAAATTATAGATGTTACTCGTCGATTGGCAGAAAGGGAGGTGCACAAACAATATCCCTGGTTCGTGATTGCGAATATGGAGCAATACATGAAGTAATGCACACATTGGGTTTCTTTCATGAACAATCCAGACCAGATCGTGATCGGCATGTTAAAATACTGTGGTGGAACATTCAAAAAGGCACGAACAATTTCTTACCTGACTTGATGAGATTCTGCGCGAATAGCTTAGTCGACAGTGTAGCGTTTCCTGTACCCGCCATGCATTTCGTGTACCCACCATGCATGTTCCTTGTTTGGCTTTTACACTTGCAATCCAATCCCCGAGTACCGTTTAATATTAGGAGGTTAACATATGTATTGAGGTTGAGTGTCCGGTATCCTAAGGAATGAAAAAGTTTGATATGTGTAGAAATAAATAATGGAATTAATAGAGAAGCATGCTTGTACTCGTGACTCCTACACAAAATTACCAAACAAAAAACCAGCCCCCCTCCCCCCTCCTCTTTCCCGCACCCAATAAAATGCTGTTTGCTTATATAAGAAAAACAGAGTAGAAAAAATGCTTTTAAAAGACTTGTGCAATTATTCGTTCAGTCAGGAGAAAGTGTGGCAAATATTCAAAGAAGCCGGAAGAGTCACGTTCGGGGGCGAAAATAAGACTTGAAGAGCATTATAGGGTGAAAATTAATAAGAACAAGTTAAAATCAAATCAAGGGGCAAGGTGGAAGAATTCCCCGCGCCCCCCTTCTCCGGCGTCCTTGCAAATATTTCCGACCAAACATTGTGATAAAGTGTAGGAGCATGAATTTAATAGTCTCTATTAACATCTCTCATAGACATGGAAAGAAACTTTAGAAGCTACTCTAATGGAGTGACTGACACACTAAACCAACCATACGACTTGAAGAGTATAATGCACTATGGAAACAAAGCTTTTAGCAAAAATGGCGGTGATACGATTATCTCTAGAAAATACCCTTGGCTCAAACTAGGAGCTAAGAAAGAGAAACTGTCGGCGGGAGATACTAAACAACTTAACCAGCTTTACAAATGCAACATCAGGTCACGAAGGAGACTGGGATATTATAGTAAGTTCTTTTCAATGTGCTTTACGTAAGGAAATCGTGTTTAGATTCCCATGCCTTGAATGTTTGAGAAAAACAAAGAAATCACACTTAGAAACGGAATTATCGGTAGAAATCTTTCTTTTTACACTCATTATTCTGATGCGAACGGATTACGATGTTTGATGTCACAATGAATAGCAATCACGAAATATAAATGCCAGATTTCCCCAGTTGTTATTTACATACTTCGTCTTAAAAATTAATGTTAAGAAAACCCAACAGAGTTATCGTTCACAATTAAGAAATATAATGAAGTAATTATTTGCTCTTTTGTACATTTCACAGATACCTGTCGCAATGTCATTTCCGGATGCTTCCATTATGCCGTAAATAGTGATGCATGCGAATGTAATTACGACTTCATGGAACATTATTGCAGAAGGTCCTGCGGGTTTTGCTGGTACGTTATGTGTTCTATATCTTATAGTTGTATATACGCATGTACGTCATCTAGAAAATCTATATAGCCGTTTAAAATGCACGATAAATGCTATATACATTGTAATTCGACAGGATGTTTCAACAATAATGCGGCCATTAAGGATTCGGGAAAGTCAAATGTAGATATTTTTATCATAAATATGGCAGGTCTTAATTCTCGTGATGTGAAGGAAAGAAAGTAGACATCTGTTTTCAACATATGCGTGAAAAGTTCGATAGACAAACGCTGGAGGAAAATTTAACGCTAAAGACAAACGCGAAGGGTGATGACCTATGGCTATGAGCCTCATTTTCATTTTCAGCCCATTTATTCTTAGAACTTGTGTCTATTTAGACTGGAACTACATAAAACTGACGATTATTTGCCTGTCTCTATTTATTCCTTTGTCGGCGCGTTCGTCAACCGTGAGTCCGCGTGACAGCAAAAACAATAGAAATGGACTGGCACTGTTCCTTCAATTTCGGGCTTCATGTCGACCAAGATATCGTTTCCGTTCTGCATGTATATAGAGTTCACTCTGCATGCATGTGAAGAATCACTAAATATGCTGATATGCATCTGTCAGATCACAATTATAGGGCACAGTAGTATAGAGAGACCGTTCGGAAAACATCAATATTTCAAGTTCCTCCCGCTGATTTAAAGCTATTAATTGTTCAGCTTAATCCATTAGTTATCACACAGGTCTTACACCTTGTAGTAATATAATATATCCGCTACGTCTGTAAATATATAGCATTACATATACTAGGTTACCGCTTGCTTGTAATCAGTTTAATAGTCTGACGATATCTTTGGAATAAAGACGAAATATCACTGTCTCTGTATTTACACTCTTGTTTTATCTTGAATATATCAAGAACACAAGATGTCTATCTTCGGAGTCTTCGGAATTATTTTGTATTTTTTTAATTGTTCTAGTTTTACTGACTAATGCACGTTTTTGCTTTTATTTTAGATGATTATCCATGCATTCATTGCTCGAATGATTCAGTCATTTTTCTGTATATACGAAGATTATTGCGGGTCTCTCGGGAAACACGATGGAAAACATAGCGACTCAAGCACACAGCCACCTTGTTGTAATAATCAAACAAATGCACGTTGCCTGTTTTCTTCTAAACAAGTTTCATGTCTTTCTTTATCTTAAAAGACAGAGAAGTCTTTTTGGAAATGCAGTGCAACACTTTTCGCCAGAATATATAAATACAAAAGGCAATAATTAATCATGGAACTACATGTAAACAGAGCTGAAACATTACATATGTGATTCCGAGTAATTCTTTCAACGAACTAGACGCTTATAGTTGAAAGTAAACTGAACGACACGAGCTCTTCAGTATGCCTATTTGAAGAAGGATGTACTTCTCAAAAAGTTGTTATTCTTAATATACCGTGCATGAATCAAAAATAAATTTGAGATTTTAAATATACTTTCACATAGAGAGTTAGATTTTAAATATACTTTCACATAGAGAGATGGCACGGCACGGCTAAAATGGGTGCCCGTGCACAATTTTATTAGTGCTCAGGCTAACAAAACAAAGGCCGGGCGCGAATGATGTAAGCCCCGTTTACACTACACTCTATTTATTGGCACGGCACGGCTAAAATGAGTACCCGTACCCATTTCATCTGTGCCCGGCCTTTGTTTTTGTATCCTGAACACTAATAAAATTGGGCACGGGTACTAATTTTAGGCGTGCCGTGCCGATAAATCGAGTGTAGTGTAAACGGAGCTTCAGAAAAACTATTAAGAATGATATCCTTTATAGTAAAGTTCTCTCAGTCAATAACACCATAATTAGAATAACGAATTTTCCGAATCAATTAGGCTATACATTACATATAGTACGTTTCAGCTCTATTTTGTTTACAGCGACACATGTTCTCTAAACTAATGACAATAAATATATACCAATATAGGTTAACTAATAACAGTATACAGTATATAGCTTTAACTAATGTATTTAAAACACCCATATCTTTTTTAATGCCATCCTTTGTATCAAAGGTCTACGTACTCCAAACAAACTTGGTGCTAGAAAACAACTTATTACCAATCGACTATATGTAATTGTATTAAACAAGACCACTTTGAAATATTGTCTAATAAATTATCCCAGCCGCTCATAGATATTTCCATATTTGATCAGAACGATAAGGTAAACATCTTTAGACAAAACATTGCATCTACAAAAATTTCGTTTTCGCGCTAGAAACACCCATCATTTCAGAGATAGAGGACGAAAGGGCGTTAACAGGGAGACTTGCCAGTTAGGAAATTTTTCGCTGGGGATCCTGTGGTTTCATTCCCATTTCCTCGTTGCAATGCGCCAACCTGTAGACGGTAAATACAACCAAAGGAGGACGTGAGGCAAAGGGGTGAAGCAGTTCTCCCAAAATGTTCTTCAAACGCGGGCAAATAGCTGCGGCAAATTCAGGAAAAACAGAATAACGAGTTGCTCTCATATCATGATATCACAAATAAAGTTAATTTCTTTAGAAATACACTCTTTCCACAGTCAACGAACACCAAAATAGCAACATGCATGGCGGGTCTAAATCATTGCTGATGAATAAGCCATTCATCTCAATGGTCTAAAACGTCAAGCTGGATACGTTACTGCTCACAAAACTTTAAATTGGGCCTATGAATGCAACATTACTTTTCCAACCTCGTACCCAGGCTCTTTACCTACGCTATTGTCTTTTTCCCCAATGAATACTGATTAATTTAATGTTTTAGATGAATAAACTTTATTATATGCTCTTCCACCCTAAACTTTTTCCTCATATGTTCTTGTTCAAGACTAAATGTTTTGCAAATTTTAAGTTCTTGTCATAGAAGTCTTTCGCTTACAAATTTGTGATTTTTGACGCTCATTAGCCGCATATCTGGCTTTTTTAGTGGAGAAACTGGAAGAAAAATACATGGTTTTTTAAATGATATTTAACTCCGAATTGCTCAATTGTGTGTATAAAATAATAATGTAATAAAAACTTTCTGTAAAGTTTTGTATAGCAAAGTTTCAAAGCTTGAAATCTACAGTAGGGGACAAAAGGTTGAGTCCAGTCGTTGTAGAATTCCAGTATTAAATCCTGGCAGCGTATTCGAGTTAAGACAAGCGTGCTAGTGTTTCAGTACTGTAAAGCATATTAATTGCAGACGTCTGTTTTGGTCCTAATGATCTAAATTATAACAAAAAAAAGTTCTTATTCCTTTACACTGCCCAAGATGGGTGGGAAAAAGGGCAAAGTGATAGTGCACAAGTAAAAATAGCTGCATTGAGTATTGAAGAATTCTTTCCTCGTAAGATCGCAGAAAAAGTGAGAATTTCAAAAGGTGGTATGCAACTAACCTTGGAGAGGTTCGAAGAAACTAAATCCTACTCAAGCAAGCTTTTAGCTGCTTCGGTCATGCTGGGTTTGGCAATATTGAACGACATAAATAATAGGATCCTAAGTTAAAGAAAAGTATCATCCAATTCTTCATGGAGATGGAATTTCATCTGGTACAAAGATGATCGCGCGTTTAACTACATGATAATCACCCTAAGCACATGCACATCTTCTATGTGCCAGAAATCTTTTAGAAGCAAACGCATTCTGGTGATCTCGTTCTGGACCTCTGGTGATCTCGTTCTCATGGCTTTCCACCTCAAATTCCAGATCTAAAACTCATGGAATACTTGTAGAACCGTTTTGACCGCAAAAGGGCGAGGCACAGACCCACCAGCCAGGATGACTTGAGGCACGTTGTCAACGAATGCTGGCAAGGTAATGAACGTGCGACATTAAATAACCTATGGAGCTATTCCAGCAAGAATAAAGGCCGTTTCAAGAGCAAAAAAGCGGGATACTAAGCATTGACATGTAATGCATGTTTGCACATTAACATACGTTAAATGAATATCATAACATCTCATATTCGTTGTACAGCATGTATTTTTCAGTTTACTTATTTACTTTTTTCTAGTTCACATATCGGTAAAATAAGGTTTTCTGTAGAAAATTAATATACGCTGCTAAAACAATGAAATACAGTCACTGGACTCAAACGTTTGCCTTCTATTGTATGCCGGTTACAAGTAGTTTCTATGGAGATTTGCACGTCATAGCTTTATTTTTTTTTTATTTTTACATTTTTACTTTGACGTACGAGAAAGCGTGTTCGAGAAAAAGGTTAGCTTCGACGGCCATCAATTCCGTTTCAAAGATAAAGACGAAGTTAGCGTTACATGGGTATATATATCGAGTTCACTGGTATACCCTTGTCTGAGCATCTATAACTTCGCCACTCGTTGCATGGCATCTATCCAATAAGGAAGATCGCACCGAAAATCTTAGCCTTAAGGCAAGTTTTAAGCATTCGAGTACGTTTTGGTATTACGATTAACGTTATAGCCTTATAGGTGGTGAGTGACAAAGTTATTGTCAAGTGTGAAACAAAACACGAATTTCGTAGATAGCCATAGACCATTTGTTCGCGAAAGGACTTCGATGCCATTCCTATTCGACAATATCGCTTTTGTGCAGCTAGCCTCGTTCTCGAAACCCGTTACGTTGAAAATACAACTATATACAGTGATCTGCAAATTACTCAATATTCACAACTAAGAAGTAATCAAAGGTAAGGATGAGGCATACATTGATATTTCTCTAGACAGCATTGACATCGGGCGCGCTTTCAGCTAATCAAAGCAGGACTCTCCGTTAGATCATCATGGTTACAAGAGCGACCACCAATCATTCAGTCATTGCTCTGCATGCACGGATTTCAATGTCAAGAAATTTGTTTCAAAAAACAGCGAAAAGAAGCATTATAGATTATTCATATACGTATAGGGAAGATGAAAATGAAGAATGTGACATTTTTGATAATTTTTATCAGTTCCCCAGTAGCTGCACCCGGCGACAACATAACCACTGTTGTTCATTATCAAGTTGAAAGCTATTCTCGTCTGTAAATATCAAACAGTGACATTACCGCAATTAATCGCGACCAAACTAGAAAACCGATAATCCTTTCAAGTTACTTAGAAATGGACTTGGCGCTTCTAATTCCGAAGCGTTGTGTTAAATGTGTCCAAAATTGAAACTTCTTTCGTGAAATAGTTTTAATTTTAGCTCATCCGTATGAAAATCAACTTGTCGCGTTTTTGAGGATAGCGTGCATGGCCCACATATATGCATATGCATGGTATATATAGTCTCTGGTAGTGGTATACTTTTTAAAATACTTATCCTTATATAAAATATTAGGAAAAGCAGGTATACAAAACAATAAACAAACAAACGATCATAAATGCATATGGTATACGAAGAACGTTCCAACATTTCCACATGCATATATAAATATATATATATATACATATATATGCATGTGGAAATGTTGGAAGGATAATTAAATCATAACATTAACCTTCAAAACTAACAAAGATATTTAGATCAATATCTTGCTATATGGTCTATAATAGAAATATCAATGAAGCGTATGCTCCTATTTCACAGAATTAAAATACATGCATGCATGCAACTATATATTACCAAAGAGTCGTGGACAGTAACGTGCATGTATGTAGATTATAATCACATAGGTTTCATTGAGTCCGTTAAAATATAAGTAAGAATATATATAAGTTCATACATATTCACATACTATACAGGTGCCCCAAAAAATTCCCCATCTATTGAAATCAAACCTTTGTTAGAATCTGATTGCCTTAATATTGTGATAAACCCAATTGAAATCAAGATGCTTTATTTGAATGCCTCAATCTAACTGACTATGCTATTTATACACACTACTGCGTTGATCGCTTTTCTTTCACTCTGTCTCGCGACCTTATGAACACTTCATTTTGGATATGCTAGAGAGATTTATAATTATATATCTCTTACGAACACTATATATATAGAATATAAAAATATATATATATCTAAAGAATCGATATCGCCACAGGGCCCACTTCACTGACACAAACGCTACTTCGAACATGTCAAAACAATGTTAATAATTTACAAAATTGATCCGTCTATTATATGTGTGCATCCCGAATTATATGTAGTTGTCATGATATTATAATTCGCACAATTATTGTACCTATTTTAGAACCGCTTATCAGTTTTTGAACCATGCACTTTTGGTGACAGGCATGGTCGTTGATGCAGGGGAGTATATAATATTTAGGATATTTGCCGGACATTACGGGTGCAAGTAGTGCTTCCTCGCTGCATAGGTGAGTATATATATCCCATGCATTGTTGTATATGAACCGGCTTTCCTTATTGTCATGTAGTATTAACTAATATATATATATATATATATATATATATATATATATAAATATATATATATATATATATATATATATATATATATATATATATATATATATATATATATATATATATATATATATATATATATAGGGCCTATACCATCGCACGCATGGGTGACATAGAATCTT